AGAAGTGTCGTACGACAGCTTAACTCTTCTTATCTTTCTTCTTCTGTACCATAGGCTAATGCAAACTCGTTCGAAGGCCTCTTCGCCCATAACAGGTATTAAGGTAATAAAAGACTTATTCTTATTCTAAGACCTATAACACGCGCTATATCTATTTTTAGAGACTAAGAGTAAAAGAGAATAGCGCTTAAATTTATTATAGTATTATATTATTATTTTAATTTAATAAAATATATCTTACTATCTAGAGAGGCTTCTATGTATCTCCTTCTCTATACGGCGAAACTACTAGCATCTATAATTTTAGCTATTAGATAGTACTAAACTCTAGAATAATAAAACTTTACTTCTAGACTTTCTTTATAGATATCTAAATATATTATAGAAATATAAAATCGCGTTTAGATAGTAGTAAAGAGGTAAGGAGAGGTCTAACTACGTTAAGAAAAAGATTAGTAATATATTTAATTTTATATAGATCTTATTTAGAGGCTATCTAGATAAAGAGGTAATAGTATAGATTTATATATAAAAACTACAAATTTATTAACCTACGCGTTCAGTTTTCTGGAGGTCCGAAGTGCAAAACCGTCTCGCCTCGGGGTGCGTCCCGGGTCTCAGGGATGGACATTAGGTCAAACGATTATCATTGTGACGGGCTGGACGCCATTCGGGTAGCTCCTCGACGGAATCTCGGTTCATGACCCGAGCCAGCACCGTAGCTCTAGTAGTAGAGAAGGACAAACGGCCAAAACGGTAGTAGTATGATGATGGATTTGGAGGAGCTGCTAGGCAGCTGAGCTAACTACTACTACAGTATTTCCATCGATGTGCTGTGCCCCCTGGCTCACCCTCCTTGATCTGCTTCCTGATATACCATATTCTTCTTATCACTAGGTCACCGCCATAACGAACCGCTCCTTTGTATGACTTGCTCCCATGCTCGCCAGTCTCTGAGCCTTCACTCAATGACTAGAGCTCGCCATGTCTACGTTGCATCTTGGAGAGGAACTTCTGATAAGCCTCGACACCTTTGTTGCCGTCAGTCAACACTTTGAGCCCAGCTTCGAGCACTTGAACATCTGAATGAAGCGCGGCTACGTCTTCAAGTTGTTTTTTGTGGTTGAGGGAGGTATGAATGAGCTCATCAAGTTTAGTGTTGAGGACTCGAAGCTTTGTATCCTGACTTGCAACATCTTTTGCCACGCCGTAAAGTTGTTCAAAGGTAGAGGTCTTTTGGATCTTTTCCCCGTGTTCTTTGATCTCGTCCCCGTGTTCTTTGATCTCGTCCCCGTGTTCTTTGATCTCGTCCGCGTGTTCTTTGATCTTGTCCGCGTGTTCTTTGATCTTGTCCCCGTGTTCTTTGATCTCGTCCGCGTGTTCTTTGATCTTGTCCCCGTGTTCTTTGATCTCTTCCCCGTGTGTTTCAACGATCGTATTGAGGTTATTGAGTCTATAGTTGAGCTGCTGGACGTCTTGCTCAATGCGAGACATGGCGTGTCTTGTAGTCGCACTAGGCACCGTGTACACAAAGATGAAGCTTGTGAGCGCGAGGATGATAGTAAGTATCTTGAACCCTATATTTTCTAATGTCAGCTCTGATCTGCTGCTTTAGAATATATGTCAAGTACTTACAGAAGTCTAAGCGTACCGAAAAACGCTTCACTTCACGGTCGAACCTTTTTCCCTCAGCTTCGTCCGAGGGCAGGGTCTTGAAGGGCCACATGGTGGATGCCTTGATGGGTTGAGATGCTTGTGGTGGGCTTGCACGTTCACCTTTGGGTTGCTCGTAAGGGGGTGGAATGGAGTTGGTGGAAGCACGTCGGTTGGGATGCTTTTGAGTCATTTTATTAGCGGCAAGTGAGTGACGTAAATGGAGGGAGGAGCGGGTGGTGGAGTCAGTCGAGGAAGGAGCGGATGGTGGAAGCTGCAGGTCACGAAACCGCGAGAGGACAGAATGAGAAGTCAGAGAGCGCAAGATTAAATAGGAAACAGAGCGAGATGGAAAGATCCATGGGCCAGCTTCCTGCGAAAATAAGAGAGATTTTGCCTCCTGAACCATGGTTGGCTATATTCGGATTGCTAATAGGACAGCTGTCTGTGGGTCAGCGCATGAGTCAAAAAATAATAATAGTGGAATGCTTACCATACAATTGATGAGAGTGATTGTTTGTAGTACACTCGGTCACTTCAAATGGTCCGGTTTTGATGACGTCCAGGGCTGGGGAGTGCAGGATACGGTAACCCTGGTTCAGGCTGCGAGTGGCATTGAGTGACTCTTTTTCGAAAGAGTGCCTGCAACGGTCGGCTTCATCCTCAGCAAGCAAGGCGTCATTTGGGAAGTGATGGAGCGAGACAGTGATCTATTCGTCTTTGTTTGTGGCAGAACTGACAGTGATAGGCTTCTGAGTTCTGCCATGGCACTGCCGGTCGGTTTGTTTACACGATTCGATGGCGCAATCGATGAAGGCGAGGACGCACGGGTATACCGGCGTCAAGGGCTACTCGATCGCGGTTCTCGTAGATCGTGTAAGTTGAGTTGTAGGTGAATGCCTAGGTCCTTCAGTTCTACGAACTGATTGGCGGCATGGAGTTGTAAGTACGTTCATGAGCGCTAGGTGCTACCAACTCGCAATGGTCGATAGGTTGCACTGTAGACAAAATTCCTTTTAGGTACGATTCTGATGGGGCCAGCTTTGGGCTATTCTCCGGGCTGGACCTCGACGGTACCACGGGTTCGAAATTATCGCGCAATGCGTTCGGGGGAGCACTGCACACGCAATGTAGGCGAGGCAGCACTGCGCAATACAAAGAGAAAGAACAGATATCAGATGCTAGGATGCAACGCCAAAACGAAGAAAAGTAGCAGATACAAAAAGATAGTCAAAACAGTAATAGTGCAGTGAGAGATCAGGTGGAGCTGCTGAGCAGTTGGACTAAGCACAAGATATCCGCCAAGGCGCTACTGTGCCTCGTGAACAGGTCACGTGCTAGTGTAAACACCTCTCTATCTACTCTCTCCCTTGGATTCATCTTCAACTCTCTAATCCAACCCCTCACGCTAAATTCCGTCACTTAATATCTACAGCAAACTGCACTGATGCATAACCCGCTCAGACACTCGCCCGTCCCTGGACCTTCGCCTGATAACTAAAGCCCATTACTTGTACGCGGACTGTCGGCAACAGCATCTTTCGTTGCAACATCCATTCGGGCCAATCCAGATCTAGAATTTACCCTTGGATACATTCCATGACAATGTAGGTAATGTTCAATGTGGAGTCTTGTGCGAAGTTCTGGAACAACGCGTAGACCCGCGGAACTGGGATCTGCGATGATTGTGTTAGGAAAATCATAGTCTTGCCCTCGATTAGATCGACCTGCATTCTATACTTGACGAAAAAGTGAGGGCCAGTGCTAACAACTTTGCGTCCAGTCGTTTCGCTGTAAATCTCCCCCATAGATTCGATATCGTGCACTGTTGGTAGAGAAGCTGGTAGACTCGCTTCATTTGCAGTATAATGCAGGGTACAGGGAGTCATTGTATATATGATTATCTTCACGCGAGGAGCTAAAGATTTGGGTTTGTGGCGTATGAAGCTAAAAGTGTTTGGGGACTCGCAGCAGTTCATGTACCGCAGCCATTCATTGTTCGATATGAGGAGCCGAGATCGCGCACGAACCCAGGGCACTCAAAACGTCAAGTTACTTACTAGGATGCACGTACCCTTCGACTCGTTACACGCGACCGCGCGACCGCACGCTTCCTGTTGCATCGACCATGAGGCCAAAAAAAGGATCCAAAAAAATTACGTCGCATATCTGCAAACCTAATAAACTAAATGAGTCATACTTGCTTGAAGATCAGTCTAGACACGACAAAAGATTCCATACCTATCGTAAACATAAGCAAGCCAAGTTGTCCTCACCCCAAAAAGGTTACAGCCAAATACTAACATCTGTCACCTTCCTTGTCAATTCTTCATGACTAGGGAACTCAACGGTTACACTGCTTCCTCGGTTGTATCTGTCTTCAATGTTAAATGTTCAGTACCGCGCGCCAATCTGTAGGCCCTAGGTAGCAACACGTGAGATAGGGAGATGCAATCAAAAACTTCCAGCGCCTAGGTTACGAAGATGGATTATAAAGAACTCTGGTCTGCGCATCGACACGATAGGCAAGCATTGCACACCTCGATCCTCATCTCCTAGTCTGCCCCCACAGCATTATCATCCGATATCTATCGCCTATTCAGTACGAGTAGATTGAGCATTGCAAGAGGCAACTATAGCTAATGCTTAGTAGCTCATATATACACTTTCTTCATACAACCACCCTCGCTATGCCTTATTCAGTTTACCTAGCCTCTTATATTGGTGCCCCGTGAGACCACCACGCAATATTCGTTGAGACAAACAAGTATGAAACCGGGTGCATCTTTCAGGTGACTGGAGATATCATGGATGGCATGTCATTCGGTCACAAGAACGGCAGGAAACCAGAGGATTCGGTTAGTTTTGATGGTAAATCCTACATTGGTACAATAGATGAAGCCGACTTTGGTCGCATTCAATCTGTCGTTGAGTCGATTCCACCATCGCCGAAGCAGTTCGACAGAGCGAGGCGCATTAATCAAGGGAACCCCTTATGCGATCTCAATAATGGACTAACAAAGCCATCCAAGCCCTGAATGATCGAGGTATCTTGAAGGTATAGATGCTTTGGAGAAAGCTATATTGCCGGAGGAAAATCGTTACGCGTATACCCAAGAGTGTTTTAGTAGTGCTATTTCTAGAGGGCCTATACTACCGAAGGACTTGCATAGAGGATAGTCAGAGCTGGCGGTTCTTTGTATATACGTACGGTACCCTATAGAATGTCATAGCCTCGTATATTGATCATACATCTTATATTCTCATGATAATAACACATCCACGAGCTTATGAGGTAGGTCAGCCTCCTCGCATTCTGTCTACTGTCTCAAGACTCCCCGTGAAGGAAGTATTCCAAGAATTGATAGAGGGGCAGCGCAGTTATTTTTGTTCAGAAGTATTCTTCCACCACAATGCTAAGGAACCCGCAAGGTAGAGACTTTGAGTCTCTCCGCATCCAGAACCAAACGTAGCTTCCAGATGTTGAAAATCATTTCATTATGAAACCTCATTTCTCTTGAATTCTCGGCGACTATAGAACAGAGTTTTTAGGTTTTAGTGCTGAAGAGCTTTCTTTAAATCTTTTTCTTGCTTGGCTACTACAATACTAATTTCTGGGCCAGCCGTATATCTAGTCACTTCACATAGCCCGTATTATTTAATACGTTTAATTAACTGTAGGTAGTAAGTTACGAGTAAAGTTAGTAATTTTGATACTCCGGCTAGCGATTAAAACTACTAATTTAAGGCGCGCTTGCGGCGCGCGCTCTTTGTCTCTATGAGCTCTTACAGAGAATAGATTTTTTTCTAGCTACTCTAGCTAGTTAAGCTAGTTAAGATCTCAGTATTCGTTACGTGACTAGGCGCTATCTTAAAGTAGAGATTCTCAATATCTTAGTATAGGGAAGGCTAATTATTAGGGGCGAAGAGGCCTTCGAACGAGTATGCATTAACCTCTACTATAGAAGAAGAGAGGTAAAAAGAGTAAAGTTATTATACGATAGCTACTACTTTATAATCTTCTATTAGTTCCCTCGTACGAAGAGGTTCTGGAGACTAAGCGTCCATGAGGTAGGCAAGTGGTATCATCACGTGCCTTATTCACAGCGCAGCCCCTTACACTAACAAACGTAGAGCTTCTTAGAGCTAGTTAAATTGAATTTCTTCTTATATAACCCCCTCTGGGGATAGCTATAATATACAGCTAGAGCTGCAATGAATGATGTGTCCTGCTATTCGGAAATTCTAGCTAGTGGCGGCTTCTTACTCTTACAACTTACAACGTGTTATGGCGTTGCCGGGGCTTACCCTGTTAGGTATAGCGCCTTGCCTGGGATTCTATACTTAGGCCACCCTACCTCCCGCAGCTCCAGGATAGATACACTTGTACGCATACTGTTTTGATAATCTGTCCCTTTTGGTGGCCGCCCCGGGTCTTGACACAATGATGGCGGGAAATCTTCTTGAACACGATGATTGGTTCTTTCAAGGCCCTATCAAGTAAACTGTTTAAGATCATCCACTGAATCTGCCCATTTCACAATGTGTCTGAGACACATTGTGTGTATACATAACATTCTTTCACAAAGGTCAATCCATGAGCTGGGTGTGTGCCTTTACACATTGGCTCGACATATGGTGTACTCACAAAGTCCAAGGTTCGTCTACAATACGTTCAACAATGATCGTGACTGGCTTCACTTATAATCTCGCCCCAATAATTCCGTAGACCGACATTGACCTTGAAAGATCCAAAACAAAACAGCATCTAACAAGCCTAAGAAATAGGAAAAACATCATCATATTCTCGAAATCATTTCATAGGACCAAGGCAACAATGCAGGGCTTTTCGTATCCAGCTTATAGTACAGTTTCAGTCACTGAACACACCACTGTATATGTAACAGATGCTCCTGAGGTAGCAAGCACGTATCCTACCGCTTCAACGACGAATGTTGCGTCAACAACGACAGATAGCTTTTCAGCGGTTACACTTTTGCCAATACCTACAAGCTCTACAACGACAGATGTCTCTTCAAACGTCACTCCTTTGTCAACATCTACAACCCCGACAACGACTGATAGCTCTTCAGTAGTTACCCTTTCATCTACAGCCTTGCAGACAACCCCACCAGTCTCTTCTGCAACCGCTATGCAACCCGTCTCAACTTCCTCACCTGAGGCAGCTTCCAGGGTACCGAAGACCGACGACAACTTCGCTTACGCAGTTTTAGCATTCATCATCCTACTAGCAGTCCTTCTCATAGTAATGCTCGCCATCATGCTCTGTTTACGCAGCAAAGGCAAATGCCCCAACTGTCGTAGCATGCAGAAGAAGCTTGAGAATTGGGAGTCTGGTAAACTGAAGCCAATTACTCCAGCAGTGGTCAAGGAGCGGGATGCACACAATAGGTCGTCCTCACACAGCAATGCTCCCTCCGAGTTAGATGTCGAACTAGGTGGCGCACATGAGACCGATCATGTGTGTGCCGCTGAAAAAGAGGCGCAGAAGAAGCCATCAACGTGGCAAAAGGTAAAGAGCAAGGTCTTGCGCGACAACAAGCCTTCAGATACGGCGGAGAATCTGTATGTCGAGACTGAAGCTAACCGCCCCTTCACTACCGTCGAGGGCGACACAGTTCACTACTATTCGCCCCGCGTCTCCCCAGAAGCACCCAGGGTAGAGTACGAGCCTAAAACCCACCTCACCGTACCCGCAACCCATCGCTTCTCAGGTTCCTCCTTCTACTCCCCCCCTACGGGCCTTCAGCGCACCAACGGCCGCTCATCCCGCGTCTTCGCCGACGCCCCAGTGTCGGAGCCCAAGCGCTACTCCACCAACAGCAACCAAGAAATTGTGCATGCTCAAAACGCGCTTCAGTCAGAAGAGTACAAGCGCGCTGAGACGATTATGAAGCGCGGGACGGCTAGGGATAGTATTATCCACCGCGCGACGAGTATTGTTAATTTGGTGGATCAGCAGCTTAATGTTGCGCGGCATCCGTCGCTGTATCCTGAGTTTCGTGGCGAGGAACCGGGGGAGCAGTATGAGATGACTGAGTGGCGGGAGAGGGGGGATGGGGGAGTTGGGGTGAATGGGGATCTCTATAGTAAGTAATGGATTGAATGGTTGGGTTGTGGTAGGTGAGAGAATAGTATGTAAAAGATAATTTCATAAGTTTTTGATCAGTTATGGAGTCAATAGTGAACAAACATTATTCCAATTTGTGTGAGTAGTATGTGAGTGAGTGTATGTTATGTTTTTGGTTTGTAAATCTACAACTGAATTGTGAATATTATGCGACACCAGCCTGATTATCGTATCTCTATCAGCAGAGAATCACAGTCCTATCTCTTTCACATATCTTAATGTATCCATACGTTCGGGTTTTTCGCGAGGGTGAAAATTGTGGCAAGTCTAGAATCGATGGTTGCTGTGGCTTGACATTTGGAAATCGAAGCCACAGAGGGTCTGCGGAAGCCACACGCTAGGCTCCCGCCCATGTCCTCATCCGTTTCTCTCCTACGCTCACATCCACAAACAACTCCGACATGGGCATCACCGATTCTGTTGGAACAGTATTATCCTTTGTCAGCCTATTATGGATACCAGCCACGTTACTTTGCTGCTTGCCATGGGTGCAGAAACGTCAGGATTCACAAGACACAAGTTGAAGCTGATTCACGCTGACAAAGATAGAAATGCTGTACCTTCACAGCATCACCTTCTTTCCTGGGAAATGGCTGACTGAGCCTGAAAGAGCCGGATTTCTCAGTATGTCATGCATGCCCATGCCAGCACTAAGTAGCAAGGTACATACTCACGGACGCAGAAAACCAGGTTGTACCCTTTCGCATTGCAACGAAAGACAAACATGAACTGTTTGCATGGCTTGTTGCACCACTAGGTGTTTATGCGAAGAACGGAAATGCTTTCACTGAAGAAAAGACCGGCAGCAAAGTAGAGGATACAGTAGCTTGGAAATCACTATGCAAAGACCCAGAAGCAAGGCTGCTCATTTACTTTCACGGCAACTCAGCAACCTTGGCCCAGGAACGTCGAACAATCGAGTATCGATCATTCTCCGCCGGTGCATCAGAAAAGATATTCGTGCTGGCATTTGACTACCGCGGCTTCGGCCTCTCCAAGGGAGAGCCGTCTGAACCCGGGTTACTGGACGACGCAGAGGCAGTTATAGACTGGGCATTAAACACATGCCACGTACCCCCAGAACGAATTGTGCTTCTTGGTCATTCATTAGGAACAGCGGTGGTGTCTGGTATTGCACACCGCTACGCGGCTAACTCGGGCATTGAATTTGCATGTCTCATTCTGTGTGCAGCATTTACCAATGCTGGCAATGCATTTTCATCGTATTCTATTGGCGGAGTAGTTCCAGTGCTGGCACCAATCAGAATCTTCCCTGCGTTTCAGAAATGGTTCGCGCAGAGAATGGTCAGTACATGGCGTACCGACGATCGACTTGCGGCCATGGCGCGTAAGTTGAGCCAATTTCCTGTGGCGCACGTCGTCTCGCCAAGTCACATCATCGTGAGATGCTGGAGCCGAGTTTTCCGTTGCTGACGACAGCCTAGGAACTTGTCCAAGGTTCAATCTGGTCTTGGTGCATGCCGAAAGCGACTCGACCATGCCATGGCACGAAACGGAAGCCCTTTTCCATTCGACTCTGCGGGCCGCCAAGGACGCGAGCCCAGGTGACGAGAGCTTCAAAGAGGTTGAAGTTGTTGACTTGGGTGAAGCGGGCAGACGCGAAATATGGCGCAGCGACTCGCGCAGTATATCCAAGACGATTGCAAAGCATGGAGGTACGTACACATACTCAGCCTCACCTCGCCTCGCCTCAGGCTCAGACTGTGGGCGTCGGCGTCTGGGCAGCGAAACGCTTTCGCCTATTGCTGGAACAGGCGCCCCACATCCGTCTGACAAGTTCGCGACGCGCAGACACGGTCCTTCATTTTATGGCTGCAACCACGGTTTGAGGCTCCTCGGAAGAGAGTCGAGGCGGATTGTGCTGGCCTGGGATTCGATGCCTGAGTGCGCGCACTGCAGACCCTTTCCCCACAGATGGATGTTCTCTGGCCAGGGCCTGGCCCTGCATCCATGTTGTCATCGCCGGCTCTTCCGAGTCCGGTAGCGAAAACCAAGGGCTAACGCTACGCTACAGGCCACAATACGTCAATGACCTGGTCACCTGTGGCGCTCACCATCCTTCAGGTTTTTGGCCTTACGGCTGGTACGGCACGCGGGTAGCGTCATGTCTAACAACGGGAGATCCCCTATATCCTCGTTGTTTCTGTAACGATAGCAACTCCGTGCACGCAGGTACAGTAACCAAGTGCTGCGCCACTCATTTCAATAGAATGCACGGTGTCGAGATGGAGTACTGCTACGGCTTCAGTGGATGACGAGTTGGGCTCGGCGACAACTGGACGACTACTTGGAAGACCTCGATCTACACCGCGCGCGTAGTAGCGTATAGTTAGTACGTAAACGCCACAGTGTCAAAAGGCTCGGCATAATGGCTGTATGCGTCATGTTCACCCTCGATGCCCCATGACGTTTCCGAGAGTGGGCTCCTTTGAGACCCGCATACAAAGCGCTTCATCGGCAAGTGCAATACCTTTGTGTTTCAACTTCTATCCACTTTCACAGGTGATTACCACCTTTCACCCCTCGCTATTCGAACGTTGTGCACCCATTTCCGTCCAGTCGTTTCTATAGCAATCTGACCATAACCCCCCCACCGTGACTGTTCGTTCGCATCAAGACACCACTCCTCCCTGTCGCCAGAAAATATATCGACCGCATCAGCTGAACAAAGTACATCCACTATGCCTGCCATCAATCACCTTGAAGCGCGGTTTCTGGGAGGGACCAGCAGTAACGGCCCAGCAATCACAGGAACCGCCATCGCCCTCATCATCTGCCTCGGACTCATACCCACTATCGCTGTCGTATGGACCGTCTGCTATCTCTTCTGGGCCTATCCATACGACCGCAACTGGTGTTGCATCAAGCGAAAGCGGCGCCCAGAGCCGCAAAGTGTGCTGAACCAGGCACCGATGAGCCAGGAAGCACTGTTCGAAAAGCAGGGCATGGGACTCCCACAGCGGCCGTTTGCTGCTCAGATCAGGACGGACTCTGGAAGTTCTAGCAACAGCGGGCGTCTCCAAAAACAATATAGGCCTGGAAGCGGAAACTACAAGAGGGATACCAGGATGAGCCTGCAGAGTGTAACCAGTGCCAACTCTATGCCGTTCGCACAAGAGCCCAAGCCGTTTGTGTGAGAGAAGCCAAGACTGGCGTAATGTTTAATCACTGCATGCGCATACGGCTGGCCGAATGAAGTTGCGGGTTGCCCGGACGTGGGAGTTTAGATCTCTTCGTCTGACGATATGTCACCGGAAGTCAAGTCCACACAACAACGTTACAGCGCAGAATCACGATTCCTAACATGCAACAAGAAACTCCAGATTGAAATTGGTCAAATCATTCTGGTGCTCTACCACACTCTACCACAACAGCTTCACCGACAAAGAGGCCTGTTGGATTCCATGGCGCATTTCACTACACCACCAGAGAAAGAAGAAGAAATATGCGTCGAGCGATAGCGAATGCTTTTGACGGCAAGCGGAGAGATTGTAAGAATACAAAGGAGCCGAAGGCGATTACTGTACACTACATGCATGCGGGACATTTGCATTGGGACCGGAGTATTTGTTTCTTCCTGGTTGCATAGCGAGGGATACCATATTACGATGTACATGACAAAGCAACAATACATACATACATACATACAAACTCTCCCGGCTATTTTCGCCTTGTGCATATGTCAAGTGCGTAGACGGTGAAGACACAAGCCAAAGAGTTGGATGCCGCCAAAGGAACGCCTTGGTCATCAGTGTGGTGGATCAGGGGGATGTGATTGGTGGGGGTGTGGTAGTGCGCGCGGCCAGGCAGGTGATGAGGCTCAAGTGACTTTTATCGATGTTGCGGCAATGGCACATGGCATTCTGAACACCTGTTTCTCTACTTGTATCGTTGCCAGGATTGACGCATGTACATACCTGGCTTGCTCACCTCAGCCCTTACATGATACGTATACCACCTACTCGGTGTAACGGGGCGGCCTGAGAATTCGCCCGACGTCTTGGTCGATACGGCCGGTGTTCACTACTTATCTCCGGGTCGCAATCTCCATTCGCCATCCGAACTCGTCCAGAGAGCGTCGACGTCAGCACTTCGCCCCATTTACTTCATCGCAGCCAGCGCCTCAGGGCGCTCTGCGACACCACAAATACCGCAATCATACCGCCACCTACTGTGAGTTCGCGTTTGCGGACATTTACTACTACAAAGTTTCCCTTGTCTGCATACACGGTGCGCCTGCGAATGCTCCGGTCCTATTTGGCACGACCAACTGCACGCAGCGTGCTTCACAAGAGCGTTGGATTTGGTGGCGCGAGTTATATCAGTTTGAGCCTCAGCACTCCCATTCGTATCGAGAGCAAAGCGAGTTCCACCATGGCAGCTCCGGATCATCCAGAAGGCGCCCAGGGAGGCCAGCAGAGCATGCTGGCGAGCCAACGCGCAAAAGAGCAGGGAGAAGCACAAGGCCGCTTCTCCAAATGGTTCCCGCTATCAGCAAAGGCAGGCTTCGAGCAGTGGTGGGCTGGCCTTTCCCCTATGGCAACCGAACACCGCGTCCTCTCCTTTGTCCCTCACCTCCAGAGCCCACCGACACACACGCAAACAGGCGCCGCCTCAGGCTCTGCAGTACCTTCATCCACCGACCTGCATGCGCCACCGAAACACTCCGAAGACCACACCACAACCACTACGGCTAACGACCCCTATGGCCCACGACGATGGAACTCGCAAATGGTTGAGCTGAGTGGCAAGGATCGCGCACTCAATGAGTTTTCTGTCGAGCGCCTGGGCGAGGAGGTGGAGAACAATCTGGTCATGTTGCATGGCTACGGTGCCGGGCTGGGTTTCTTTTACCGCAACTTTGAGTCGATATCGCGTGCCGAGGGCTGGAAGGTTTATGCCCTGGATCTGCTAGGCATGGGACGAAGTAGCCGGCCACCATTCAAGATTCACGCCAAAGATAAGGAGGGCAAGATTGCAGAAACCGAGTCGTGGTTCGTGGATGCACTCGAGGAGTGGAGGATCAAGAGGGGGTTGGAGCGCTTCACACTGCTGGGCCATAGTCTGGGTGGATACCTGGCTGTGGCCTACGCATTGAAGTATCCGGGTCATCTGAACAAGTTGATCCTGGCTTCTCCTGTGGGCATACCAGAAGACCCTTATGCAGTCGATGACGAGATGCCTGGACCCCAGGATTCGACCATGGCAAACGAATTTACCCAGGACGCTGCCGAGACGAACCAAAGCGGGGTACAAGCGTCAACGGCGGATAAAAACAATTTCATGAACCAGCAAAAGGGTAAAGGTACGTTTAGATCAGGGTTGGTGGCGTCAGCACACAACTAACATGTCCCAGCTCCAGCAAAAGACGGCAAGGAGCCACCCAGACGTCGATTACCATGGTGGTTGTATTCACTCTGGGAAGCCAATATGGTTTCCCCCTTTACCTTTGTCCGCTGGTCAGGGCCTCTTGGCCCACGCCTTGTGTCGGGATGGACATCACGCCGGTTCTCGCATCTGCCCGAAGAAGAAGCGCAGGCACTGCACGACTACAGCTATGCTCTGTTCCGCCAGCGCGGTAGTTCAGAGTATGCGCTGTCATACCTCCTAGCCCCCGGTGCATTTGCCCGAAGCCCTATGATTCGGAGGATACAGGGCGTAGGGCGGCAGTGGATACAAGCACATGACACGCCTTCTGTGGATGGCGATGCCCCACCAAACCAATCTGCAAGCTCTGAACCGGCCGCGCAGCGCGAGAAGGGTTTCCCTGTCATCTTCATGTACGGAGAGAATGACTGGATGGATGTTGCGGGCGGGTTCGCTGCGGAGGAGAAGATGAAGCAGGAGCGTGAACGCATACTAGCAAAGGCATCGCCCGAGGAGAAGAAGCAAGATCACGGCATTGCCAAGGTTATCATCATCAACAAGGCCGGGCACCATGTGTACCTGGACGGGTGGGAGCAGTTCAACCGGGTGATGCTAGAGGAGATGGAGGAAGTCAGGCGGAGAGAACAGGAACGAAGACGCGGATAGAATTGGGTGGATAGATGGATGTGCATAGTATTGGGCGTTTGTCGGTTGGGTCGTGAATGTGAAGCGCTCGGCGTTTGGTTAGTAGAGCCTCTCCAACTGCAGGCATGACCATATTAGCATGGTTTATTTCTTCGTTCAGATGCAGTCGACTTGTGATGGGTGGTGGGTGTTGAGAGTTCCGCCCGGATGGACGGTACCCCTCCCATGGCCGGCGGGTGCAGAGATGATCTCCTCACATGAGGCCCTGCATGCAGTCTGCCCCGGCCCCGTCCCGTCCACGTCTTGATCTAGTGCATAGCCTAGGACGTGTCACCTCATGTCGTCGAAACCTCCCAGCCCGGCCTGCCTATACGATGCTAGGCGTGGTGGGGTAGACACACAACGGTGCCAGCAATCCTGGTCTTCACCGCTCCCGGCTAGGCCAGCGGCTGCATCCTCCCATACTACCCGAGTCGCGCATACACGACACCCTCTGTCCCTCTCTCTCGTTCGATATGAGCACGAGACCCTTGCATCTTCACGTGAAAGTCAAAAACCCAGGGACGTCTTCTCCCGGCACATATATCGCCATGCAATAGCGCTCTGCCCTTGCTGCTACTACAACGCTCGGTTCCTGTGACTCGGGCCTCACATGTCATCGCCAGACGCAGACGCAGTCGACGTCACAGAAGCACGCCACGGACGGTGAACACCACACGCAAAATGGCGAACCAGACGCTGGACCAGATGGTCAAGGGCGCTCCGCCGCCCAGCACAAACGTAAACAAGCTCGCCGAGAGCATGGAGAGAGACCCGCCGCCATACTCGGCCTCGATACTCGCACACGGCCCCCACGACGCAAACGACCGGCTCCCTACCATCAAAACCCCACGACCACCCGTTATTAGCGACCCCACCGCCCTACTTCCATCGTCTCCGCCCCAGATATACTTGAATCTTCTCATCCTAGAAGCCAGTCTTCGCAGCCAGTACCTTACCCTACGCGCGCGGCGCCGGCAAAACACCTTTGTGCTTACGCTGCTGGCGGTATGGATAGGCTTCTGCTTTTACCTGCTGTGGCTACGGCCGCGAGAGGACGGCAAGGGAATTGGTGGTTCACAATATTGGCTACTTGATATGCTGCAAAAGGTCGGCTTCATCACCGGTGTTGTTACGGCCCTTTTGTTCTGGGCAACTGGACAATGGGAGAGAGGAGTCCGGTGGCCACGACGCTGGATTGGTGTTGCCAACCGCGGGCTGAGGGGCATGAACGCCAAGATTGTCGTCATAAGAGGACCGTGGTGGAGAGAATTGGTCGAGTGGGCGCACTTTGTTGTGCCATTTTCCGGTGGTCTTTGGGGTGGAGAGACTGGGGGAAGTTCATATCACTTTATCAATGTTGCACAGGAGAATAAGCATGCGTTGGATGGAGGCCGCCCACGACACCGTATAGTCGAAGACGGCAAGGAGTACGCCGAGGAAGATATTGCGCCTGGAGGCGACTACATCAAGCTTCTTCTCCTACCGAAACCATTCACCCCGGACTTCCGCCAAGAATGGGAAGTCTACAGAAACGAATACTGGGCCACGGAAAACGAGCGTCGCGCCGAACTCCGCAAGCGCGTCCGCGCCCGCCAACGTGAAATCGCCCGCGAAGAAGGCGGCTGGCTCTGGTGGACGGGCTGGCGCGGCTGGAAGCGCGCCCGTGGCCTCAACAGCAGCCGCAGCGCCGACGTCGAGAAATCCGGTCACGCCCACGCCCACCACCGCACCCTCTCCCACACCAGCTCCTCCTCCCGCAAACGCCGCTCCAGCCTTCTCCAACCAACTCGATCCACACGCGACCGCTCCCACTCCCGCTCTTCCTCCCGCAGCATCACCCCTACAACCACCGACCTCGACCTCGATTCCCGTCTTCGGCCCCTCGAGTCCCGCGAGCGCCGCTGGAGTAACGCATCCAGTAGTACAACTACGAGTCGCAAATCTTCCCTCCGCTCTAGCTCTACCTTGATTTCCCAGGGAACGGCGCAGTCCGCGCGTCAACCCCCAAGTCCTATAATCAAACAGACATCGTGGGCTGAGAGACCAGGCACACCGAGTGAGACAAGTGCGCAGGCTTGGCAGAGTAAACGAGCGAGTATGCTGAGTAATGCGGAGAGTATGAGTGAGGATCCGGGGTATGAGGCTGAGGGTGGGGAGAGTGTGAGTGGTAGTAGGGGTGTGGGGAGGAGGGGGAGTGGGAGGGCGGAGAGTGCGTGAGCATATCTTTCACATATCCCTCTTCATCTTTTTTTATCTTCGTTTTGCGGTGCTTAAAGGGTGGATTTTTGTACAGTTAAGAAAAGTGTGTGTTTTTTTCTTTTGCAGAGAGAGAGAGAGAGAGAGAGAGGAGAGATGTGTGGGGAGAGAAAAAGAGAGTGATTATGTTCTGGGCTTTTGTTTAAATGATACCTTTTTTTTTCTTCTTTCTCTTTCAACCATCTACTCTTCTGTAAAGCTAGCTGGTTTTTCAATATGTAGACAGAGAGTTTTAAAGAAGAGCATGCGTACAAGTGTGTAGTTTATTTTCTATCCCTACATCAAAAGCATTGAAGAAAATTTTCAAATGCAAAGTACATGTACGTCTGAAGTCGGATGGGATAATTTGCTTATTTCATTATTCTTGTCTTTTGAACCTATAATATTATAGATGTAAGAGAGCAATCTTCCAACAAATCAAACACAAGGCCGGTTGGCGCAATGGTAGCGCGCAGCCCTCCTAAGGCTGAGGCTGTGGGTTCGAGTCCCACATCGGTCGCTTCCTCTTTTTTTGTCTTTTCCTTTCCCATCTATGACATAGATGCGATGAAATTTTTTTTGGGTCAGGGCAAAAGGGAAAATTCGAGTGGAGTGGGGGTGGAGATGGTGGGGTTATGTGGGGGAGGGTGCGAGCTTGGACTCTTTTTTTTTGGGGGGGGAGGGCGAGGAAAGGGAGGGGAGATGGGATGGGATTGTATGCAATGAATTGAGGGAGGGTAGGAGGGTATTGAGGATAAAGGAAATGGGGGAGCGAGAAGTCAGTGAGCAAGAGCGTCTCTTGAATAAATCTTGTTATTTCTTTTTGGTAAAAATTGCTATCATGATTGAGTGGAAGAATTAGACTAAATGCAATGACGGGGAGATGGTGCTTTTCTGCTTATTCACCGACTACCACAGCTAGGTATTACTATTTCAGAGGCTGTTTTGTCGTTTGACAGTGGATGAGTGAGGGCTGTGCAGTCGGAGTTTTGCGAAACTGTTATTGTTCAGACGACTCGGGCTCTGTATCTTTGGACCCATCGTCTGTATACTCTGGTTTTTGGCTGTCTTGTGACTTTTGAGGAAGCTGAGGCACCTCGTCTATCTTTTGCGGCTCCTGAACGGTTTGTTCCTGGTCTACTGAACTTTTTTCCGGTTCCTTGTCTGCAACTTTTGGTTGCGGTTCATTGGTTATAACTTGCAATTCCTTATCTCCTGATGCCTGCGGTTCCTGGATCTCTGGAATCTCTTGCGGCTCCGGAACTACGTCTTGTTGCGACTGCTGAGGTTCTGGCACTAGCTGTTGTGGCTGCTGGAGTCCAGGTACTTGCTGCGGCGATCCCCGGAGTCCCGGTATCTGCCGCGGTCGCTCCTGGGCTTTTGATATTTGTTGTGATCCCGGAACGACATTCTGTGGCGGCTCCTGAAGCATGTGTTGCGGTATCTGATGAATCTGCTGCGGCATCTGATAGACTTGGTGCGGTGCCTGGTGAATCGGTTGTGGTACTGGATGAATGTGTTGTGGGGTCTGGTACATCTGCTGCGGTACGTGACGAAGGTTTTGTGGAAGCCCCTGATGTGCGTGTTGCGGCACTTGGTGGACTTGTCCTGGCAGCCCATGATGGTATACTTGTTGTGGCATCTGATTGATATGTCCGGGCAAATGATGGCCATGGTATACTTGTTGCGGAACTTGCTGATGATTTTGCTGATTTTGCTGTGATTGATGCTCTACGTGCGTCATCCCATTATTTATGTCTTGGGATTTGCCATTGATATTCTCCAGCCCCTTTTTGATACTTTTTTGCCCATTGCTAGGACCTTGTACCCCTTGCCGCAACTCGAGTAGTCTGCTGTTCAAATCCTACAGTCCATCCTTGAGTTCCTGTACCTCTTCCTCTGACGCTGGTTTTTTCTTAGGTCGACCAGTTTTCTTTCGTGGTGTTACGGGTCCGCTAAGTACGTACGTCACTTGGCGAAGTTTGAAGCCAAGATGGTCTGCTATCCATTGCTGTTTATGTCCAGCTTTCCATAATGTATGAATTCTCAACCGATCATCTCTAGTCAGAGGAGTGGTGCGGCGACGTTTAGGGGTGCCAGGCTGTTCTACGTGGGGACTTGAGTGTTCCATGATAGCATTTTGTCAAAGTCTGATAGTACAAGTGGAGTTGAAATGGAACAGAGAGTAGCGAGGTGGCGAAAATGACCAGGTTGGGGCTGACTAAACCTGTCTATCAGATCGACAGAGCTTGGGCGTTTTCATATCCGCAATACTGCCGATGATATTGTACCACCGCCGTGTTTTAGCCATTGAGATCCTTAAGTCCTTCGTTTAATGGAAGCTATAACATAGGATCAGCCCAGCTATTCGTCTCGTGTTATCACGTGAGGAAAATTATGTTGTGAAATAAGTAAACAGTGCTATGAGTGTTTTCAAGTGAATGGTGTATATTCAAAGTAAGATTCCCCGAGGTCGAGAGTACAAAACTGCAGAATAATATTGAAACAAAAAATCTCAAGTACTTTCTTTATAAAATCAGGTCAAGGTTTCAGCTGCTATTAATTAAAAAGACTTGATAAAAGTATCAGTAGGGATCAAGATTTGCTTAGTTACAAGAATGATGCCATCCCAAGGGATGATTTCAGCTTAAATAACATACCCGAATGTACATTTGTTCATACAAAGTGATTCCAGCCTCATTGAGTGGCAATCACCCTTTCGTGTCTAGAGCCAAACGCCTGTCGTCACAGATGCACAGATATGGAAAAAGAGGAACAACCCTCTCCAGCGGTGGAGGAACCAAAGATGCAAAAGACAGACCCCAAAAGCCGCCGTCAGGCTAGAGGCCAAGTGAAAAGAAAATCCTACTATTCTCCTCGATCGAGTTAAATTGTAAAACCCCCTAAAAAGGGTATCTTTGAAATAAAAACGCCGAAAAAGAAATCTAAAACACTACCTCCCGCCCTTGCTGGTGCTAAACCTCCTTTGCATCGCCGTCGTAGGGCTGCCCAAAAAACTTCCCCGCGGACTCCGACTGGCGGCCGGCATGAGCGGTACCTTGGCCATTCCGAGTTTAGTTTCGAAAATGCGCCCCACAAGTGCCTGTACACTGCGCTGGATGTCCGGCGCCATCTCAGTGCCCAGGAGCCCGACTACCAGAGGTGCGAAAAGATCAATATTCTTTTCAAAGTCGGAGTTGGGAAGACCGGTGTAGCCGTCCAGTACGGTGACAACAACAGGCCGCCAAGTGACAATGTTGCGCTGCTGGGTTTCTTCATCGAGCTCCACATAGGACGCAATGATGTCTTCGCACAGGGGGATCAGCGCAGCTTCAGTATCCGCGCGCGAGGCAGCGCGGTCGTTGGACGTGTCGTGATACATGCGGAAGAGAATGCTGACGTAGACCGACGCAGATCCGCTTTCCTGCTTGAGCAGATTCGGCGGCTGCTTCATAAATCCTTCTCTGAAGAGTCGGGATCGCAAGTCGCGGTTCGCATTGAAGCGCTTTGCAAAGTGGTACGATTTCTTCAGTACGGCCATCAGACGCAAGAGCTCTCCCGAGGGAATCTTTTCGTAGACAGCATCGTTGGTGAAGAGCTCTTGAACTGTCTCGATCATGAGCAACTGAAGAACACACTTGGTTATGATTTGGTTGAAGAAACGTCGACGAGCGGCCGTAACTACAACAGGAGGTTGCTGGAGGTCTTGACCTTCAGGACGATAGTCCTCAAGCTCTTGTGTTTGGCGTTTGGGTAGCGGAGAGGGCATACGTTGCTCGCCACCAAGGGTGCTAGTCGATTCTGAAGCGACGAGGGATGGTCGCTGTGTGGTTGACAGACCGTTGATGCCAAGCGCGTTGTCTACCTTTGGCTCTTCCGCAGGTGTCTGCAGAGAGAGCTCGCCTGTTGGCCCATCTGTTGTTGGTGTCATGTTGTCTGCCGAGTTTCCTGATCCGTTCACTGCATGTTGCGGTGAAGATCCGCCGGTGGCAGCAGAAAATAATGCGGTAGCCTCTGTCCTTTGGAAAAGATCGACGAACGCCCTCACAATTTGGCTCCAGTGGCCTGGCGTGAACTTTTGAACATTTTGCAATATAAGCTGCTGGAGGCAGTTGCTACCAATCCGCGCCAATGTGTCATTCTCTTGACATATGCAAAGTGCCAGAAGATCGAGGAAGCGGTCGAGCATGTACTCCAACGAATCGAAAAAGTGCGTAAAAAGCTTAATCATGTTGCGCAGAGCTTGGATCATGGTTGTCGAGAGCCAGACGGAAAGCTCTTCGTGGTTCAAAACTTTTGTCATCTCCGACTTGGATTTCAATACCATGAAGATCGGGTACAGCAGCTGCCGCCAAAGCATGTCCCAAAATTCACGGGGAAAGTTGTTGCCGTAGCTGATCAGAGTGTCGAAGAGGTAACTCAAGGCTCTTGACCGTACTTCCAAATCCTCGCCAGTCATCAAGACGTCGTGGAAAGCAAAGAGGACAGGGAACCAGAACTGCTCTTCCTGCGTTTGCCGACTGGGCTGCTTTGGTATCGAAGAGGCTGTCTCGGACTCTTTCAAGTAGCCAGCGCGAGCAGACAACGAACATTCAGGCGTCCGGAGCATCTTGGGCACAGATGACTTCAAAAGTTCTATCGCCTGTAGGGACTTCTTCTGGAACTTGAAATTCTTTGAGAACTCAGTAAGGCAGACGATCAGGTCAGCAAAAGCGCCTTGCGATATGACGACACCAAAGCGTGTGTTGTACACTTGAGTGACGTTTTCAAATGCAAGGTTGACAATACCCTCTGCTTTTCGTTAGCGATTGTACATGACCAGGGCCAATTTCAACATACCGTAAGGCTCTCTCGCAGCTACAGTGAAGACACCAAACATGGTTTTCCAACCCGAGCGAATGTTCTCGCCCCGTGCCTGGATCATCTGAATTAAGCAGCGTAGTACCATGTCTTTAACGGACACGACGTTGGTGTTGTTGATAATGTGCTCAAAAGGCTTCAAAAAGTCCTTCTGGAACTTGAAACCAGGCAGTTCCTCAATCTCCATAAACTTCATCGACAGTTGTCGCAGCGAGTTCAGAGCAAAGTAGACGACATTGGTGTTGGTGTGGCAGCCCACGTCGTTGAAGTGAGCGCCCAGTACCTGCCAGATATTGGTCCACTCGAAACGCACACGCGTCATGTTGTAGCCACTGATTTCTACCAACTTTTGCAAGCTGTATGTGCGCGGCGACTCACTCTGACCAGATGATTGAATTTCCTGCCAGCTGACTTGAGTGAGCGCTTTGACAAAATCGACAATCGCTTCTCCCGACAAATTTGCGCTGTTGGTGAAAATGCGGTCTACCCCCCTAACGATTTCGGCAGACCGACTTTCCTCGGCCACTTCCGAATGGAAGCCGAAATTGCCTGCTGTAGAATTTGTTCGTCGGTTTTTTCCTGGAACGTTAAGGTTTTTGCGCGGCTGTGAGGTTCCTGAACTAGACTTGAGCACATCGGGAACGGCACGCTCGTCAATGCCAGCAGAGATGAGCTGGAAACGGTCCAGTTGAGACACACAGGTGAGCACCTCACGCCATGATTCCCGAAGAAGGTTTCCCTCTGTTTGTGCAATTTCGATCAATGCTTTGAGAGCCTCCATGTTCCTAACCTTCATCTCGCTCACGTTATAGAGATTTGTGAAGCGCGAAAGGAACGCGACGAAAGCTTGTCGCGAATTATCCAGATCAAACAAACATGAGATGCGAATCGACAACTTGATGCCTTCAATGCACAAGCGAATAATTTCAATGTTGTGATCCTGGGCTTGGCCAGAGAGAGCGGTGAGGACAGGCATCCAGGCGACTTCGAACATTGGTCCGACATGCTTGGAGGATGAAGCAGGAATAAACTTGGACACACTGGGAGTGGCGGCTGTTCTCCGCTGAGCACGAAGGAGTTGTTTGTAGAGCTGTTCGGTTTTGTTTGCCATTGCTTCTGAAGCCTGAACAATTGCCTCTCGCTGAGAGTCGCGAGCACTGCCTGTCAGTACCTGACCAATACTTGATAGTCCGCCAGTAGGCTGCTGGCTGATTAGACCTTTGTCAGCGGCAGCCTCCTGTTCTGTGTTCAAGACAATCTCGTTTCGTGAGATTTCATCAAATATGCCTTGGAGATACTCCTCCGGGAGATCGGCGTTGTCATTGATACCACGGTTGTTCTTGATGAAGTCAGCTGCAGTCATGCGAGGGCCCTTCATCTTCTTGCTATGCTGGTCAACGTTCAGCATAATGACTGAATAAGACAGGACGTATGCTGTATCGGCGTTGGCGAATGCATTGGGGTTGCCAGTAATATATCTTTCCGCAAACTTAAGCATGAAGCGATCGATTTTCTGAGCCTCACCGGGCAATCGGAAGCTCTGGAGGAAACGTCGCAGAGCGTCGGTAAAGCGTGTCTTTGAAAAGTCCATCAAATCTACAAAAGCATGCATGATGGCAATGTTCTCTGGATCGCCCTCACCGAGAAACTCGCCAAGTGCTGTCTTATCTATCTGGTCATTGTCCAGGAAGAAACGAGCAACGTCTTCTGGCTTGTTCGAGGGAATGAAGCCCTCTGCTATGAGCGTCTTAAGCCCACGTTTCGGCTTGTAGTTGAACTGTTTCAAGGCATTCGTCAGAGCAGTCTTCCGCTGCTTGGCCTTTTCAAGCTGGCTGTAGTCATCTTCCGCAAGCGGCGTGACTGTGCCAGAGTCTGCACCAATCATTGGGGACTCTGCGAGTGTCCTCGTATCTATGGATACCCTGAGGTCATCTAGTGATGGGCGCAAACTTGAATGGGCTGCCTTTGTGTTCTCGGGAAGCGCCTGTTGCGCCCAGTTGACGAGAGAACGTAGTATCTCGACCAACGCTTCAAGCGACTCTTGCTTCATAGCGTATTCTTGGGGAAAGCTCTGTTCAGGCTCGTGTGAAGAGTTCATGGAGGCTGTGGTGAGCGAGGGGGGCAGGGTGCCTCGGGTTTGCCAATCCATTTGCTTGGATTGCTTTTCGCGCTGCTCCTGATACGCCTGCTGCTGCATTGCTGTGATTGTGACAGGGTTGCTCGAAATCTTGGACAGGTGCTCGACAACGCGTTGGAACATGTTGTCAAGCGCGGTGCGGTCGCAGTCATAGTTGAGATAGATCTCTACCAGGGCTCGGGGGTCTGCAGCCAGCCTTCCAAATATTGTCAAAATGTATTGCTTCTGAAATGCAGGGGCACTTCGTTTGTCTAATGTTGCCAGGTATATTTCCTTGAGAAACACCTCGACTTCCTTTTTTAGTGATATGCGCAGGAACTTGAGCATCTGCCAGAATACTTCACAGGCTACTTCAAACACCTGCTTTACTGAACTTGCACCATTCCGACTGAGGCTCAAACACAGGTATTGCTTGACCGCCTGAATGAAACTTGTAGGCTCGTCGCTGCCACTGCGGATGGTGGCGTAGGGCGATTCAAAGACGGCAATGTTATTAAACAAGATGGTGTGGATCATGTGCAATGAGAGGAGTTTGGAGCGCATGCCCTGCGACCGCACATCGTGGGCATGGTCAACTGACAGACTCTTTGTGCTCAGCCGACACATGGCTCTGAAGACTAGGTATGCATCTTTGACGAATATCTCATCCTCTTCCTCTTCCTCAGTGTTGATGTGAGGCGAGGCGCCGTCTTGACTCGAGACCTGCCGCGAGCCAGCCTTGGCCTTGATCCGAGTCACGAGGGTTGGCGCATTGTCGTGTATACGATCGTCATTGAAGCTCATGTTATTTTCAAAGCTTTGCAGTGTAATCTTGGGCCCAGTGTGTTGGTCGACGGCCTTGTCGTTGGGTGTGGCTGATTCGTCACGCTCATCCTCGCCGTTAGGCTCGTCACCGTCAAAGCCTATCGGACTGGGTTCTCCCCGATGTACGCTCTCTCCGGAAATGTTCTTGTCGTTCAGAGACACACGTGACAGATTCAACCGAGCTTCCTTGGCGGCCAATCTGGCCTTGACTCTCTCAAAGACGGTGCCGACCATCTGTGTCAGTGCACCTTGAGCAACCTGCTGGTTTGCACTTGACTTTGATAGGAGGAAGATGTTGTACGTGAGTCGCACAGCCTTGAGCAATCCCGCTCCATGTACCACAATCTTGTCGTTCAATATGGCGGCGAGCAGCGACTTTACAATCTGCAACTGGATCTCTGGGGCCGTAGCCTCACCCTGGAAGCAATCGCATATTGTGTCAATGGCCCTTTCAATTAGGGGTGGCGCCTCGCTGTTGTCAGGGCGGGGCTCGGTCGGGACGGAGAAGTAGGAATAGCTGATGAGCTTGCCGATGCAGTCGAGGGCGGTGATGGAGACGGGGACATTAGGGGCCTCTGAGGCGAGTTGAAGGGGTTCGAAGAGGACTTCAGGGTTGATGCGCGCGGGGTCGCCCTCGTTCTTGATGGCAGACAGGGCGGCATTGGTGCTGTCGCCCAATTTTTTATTCTTGCGAGCATCCTTGGAAGCGGCAATGGTCTCGAGTGCAGTGACGACGAAAACAAGGGAGCTGCGCGTCGAGGGGCGGGTTGCGGTGGTGGCGACGGTCGACTGCGAGTCTGTTCGTGAACGGGATTCGAGGGGCAGGCGCTGGTCGAACATCTGCTCCGAGGTGCGCGGCGGGTCTGAGGTATCCGGGACGGATAACGCTGGTGCCTCGGTTGTAGGTGTTGAGGTGTCGGCTTCTTCCCGAGCGAGTTCTACTGCTGGTACTTCTGATTCTGCATTCGCTGCCTTGTCTGTCTCTGTGTCTGCCTTATCCGGGGCAGGCGAGGCATGGTCGGAGCCTGCATCAGAGTCGCTGTCCTCGTCATCGTCGTCGTCGTCTTCGTCCTCATCGTCGTCCGTCTGTTCCGCCTCTTTCTTCTCCTCGTCGTCCGTTGTTTTTTCTGGGACTGCGGCGGGCGTCTCATTTTCTCCCATGGCGGCGGCCTTTTCCTCGGCGTCCGGGGCCGGTATTTGTGTTATTGGCGGGGGCTCGGTGTCAGCCATTGTGGTGTGTGTAAGTAGGTTGTCACGACTACGCCCAGGCTACTATGATTAAGGGACCAACGTTGGATGACGGACGAGCGGGCTGGGGTCAACAACCACCCATGGCCCCAATTCGAACACGAAGCAAGAGGCAGGAGGGCGGTCGCACAGTCGCAATGGCGCACAAGGCAACGTAATGCAATCCAGGCCGATTCCAGGATGCGGGCCGTGCCTAATTATGAGATGACAAAGTGTCTTTCCTGGCTAGCTGGGGCGGACCCAAAGCTGGTGAGCTGCGTACCTGGCCGACTGGGGGCACGGCAGGCGCTAGTTGGTCAAGCCACACCGGCCACCAGCCACACCTCGATCAGCCACTCAGGGATCATCAGCCACCGCCGCCACAAGCCCTTCCGAAATCTCGCGTTAGGGCCATCGGGTCATAACGCTTAGTACCCGCCGACGGATCTCCAACAAGCTGGCCAGCACTAAACTTTTCTGTTGAGCGACATCTCCAGTCTGCCATCTCTCCCTTGCCCAGTCCAGCTCCAGAGCCTTGAGCGGTCTCCCAGCTCCATTGCCTGCGCCTGCTCTCTTCCCGACCTGTCCCCGAAGAAAGAAGAGCTGCTGCTTCTCCCCTCCCTCTTCCCGGTCATCGCTTAGAGCAAAATCTCAGCGCATCCAGGAACCCCGACACAATGCCCGCTGCTACCACTCTGCTATCCCGGGCGGGCTCCCAATTGACCTCGAGGGGTTCAATTGCCCTGCGCGGCGCCTTCTCTCCCGCGACTTGTACCGCGTAGGTTGCTGCCATCCATACAACACAGCACACGGCCTGCAAACACCAATCCCGGGCCCAATCCCGAGACCATTGGCTGACCGCAAAACATGTAGACGCACACCCGCCCTCTCTGCCCTCGCCCGGTACTATGCCTCCAAATGTGAGCATCCCGCTGTCTGCTAGGAAGTCCAGGCCGCATCGCTAACCTCCACTCGCCGCAGCCTACCCACCCCACAGCGTTATCAGCATGCCTGCCCTCTCCCCGACCATGACCTCCGGAAACATTGGCGCATGGCAGAAGAAGGTTGGCGACTCGATAGCGCCCGGTGATGTGCTCGTCGAGATCGAGACGGACAAGGCACAGATGGACTTTGAGTTCCAGGAGGAGGGCACCATTGCCAAGATCCTCCGCGACGCTGGTGAGAAGGACGTTGCAGTCGGAAGCGTAAGTGTGCTCGGGATTTGTGTGAAATCATTATGCTAACCATCACAGCCAATCGCCGTCATGGTTGAGGAAGGTGAAGATGTCTCGGCCTTTGAGAGCTTCTCCATTGAGGACGCCGGTGGTGACAAGAAGGCCGCTTCATCTCCCAAGCAGGGTGAGGCTTCGGAAGCCAGCGAGCCCCCCAACAACTCCGGCTCCAAGACCGCCCCTCCGGCCAAGGAGCAGTCCGCACCCGCTGCCATCGAATCAGACTCAACCGGTGCCCGTCTCGAGACCGTCCTCCAGCGCCAGCCTGCCGTCTCCCCCGCCGTCAAGAAGCTCGCTCTCGAGAAGGGCGTCCCGATTGGTTCCATCAAGGGCACTGGCAAGGGCGGAGCCATCACTAAGCAGGATGTTGAAAACTACAAGCCTGCTGCGGGAGCTTCCTCTGCCGCTGCCGCAGGCCCTGCTTACCAGGATACCGAGGCCAGCAGCATGCGCAAGGTCATCGCCAGCCGTCTTACCGAGAGCATGCAGCAGAACCCCCACTACTTTGTCGCCTCCAACATTTCCGTCTCCAAGCTTCTCAAGCTCCGCGAGGCTCTTAACGCCTCCGCCAACGGCGCCTACAAGCTGTCTGTCAACGACTTGCTCGTCAAGGCGCTTGCTATTGCCGCCAGTAAGGTCCCCGCTGCCAACTCGTCATGGCGTGAGGAGGGCGGCAAGGTCATCATCCGCCAGCACAACACTGTCGACGTCTCGGTCGCCGTCTCGACCCCTGTTGGCCTGATGACTCCCATCGTCAAGAACGTCACCGGACTGGGTCTCCAGACCATCTCATCACAGATCAAGGACCTTGGCAAGCGCGCACGCGACGGCAAGCTCAAGCCTGAGGAGTACCAGGGCGGAACCATTACCATTTCCAACATGGGCATGAACCCCGCCGTTGAGCGATTTACCGCCGTCATCAACCCCCCGCAAGCCTGCATTGTCGCCATTGGCGCCACCAGGAAGGTTGCCGTACCCGGCGAGGCCTCCGAAGATGGCTCCGCCAGCATTGAGTGGGACGACCAGATTGTCATCACTGGAAGCTTTGACCACAAGGTTGTTGACGGTGCCGTTGGTGGCGAGTTTATGCGTGAGCTGAAGAAGGCGATTGAGAACCCTCTTGAGCTTATGTTGTAGATTTTGTTGTAATTGGGTGCATTTCAGGGTGGATGAATATGTGCGCGTGTAACTTTACCTCTCTGGCTAGATGAGAAATGGATTTCCAACCAGGACGGAACGATTTTTTTATGTATAGTGGGATGGATGGCGCCTTGTTCTATCTCCCGCCCCCCGCCATGAAATTATTTTGTCCCATTGTTGTATTGCTTGATAGTTGATATCTCTCCCACTCTTGAATTTTGTGTTGTTTTTTTGGCGAGTTGAAGTATTACCTTGTTGAAGTATTTTCCCCCTTGTTCGTCACTCTACTAGACTAATCCGCTGGCTAGTGCATTCCATCCAGCTTCGACCGACATTCTATACCGCTACCAAAGAAAATAGAAAGAGAGAGAAGAAGAAGAAGAAGAAGAAGAAGAAGAAGAAGAAGAAGAAAAATCATTTATTACCAACCTCAAACACCACAACCTCGACCTCCCCATCCCCACCCACCCTCTCACACCTAACCTCCGCCTTGCCGCCCTCCCCCCTCATCTCCACCCTCACACTCCGAAACAACCTCTCCTCCTCCATTACCACCACCTCTTCATCTTCCAGTTCCTCCAATTCCAGCAGCGTCCCTAGATCCTTCTCCTCTTCTCTACTCCCCTCCCAAACCCCCGGGTCCTCCATGCCCATGACCCTCTCCACCACATTCGCCACTACAGCGCTATCCCAGCAACCTTCCATGCGCGGTACCGCCTTCAGCGATGCGTGCGCATGACGCCGCAGACACCTAACTCTGCATTTAATGCCTGTGTAGAACAAGGAGGCAACGACGCCCGATTCGCAAATCGAGTGTTCGAAATTTACATTTTGCGGAATCTGCACGGCGGTGCTGTAGGCGATGTGGATGGTGCGTGCGCAGGCGAGTATGCGGTGGAACAAGTGCGTATGTGCGGCATATTCCAAGGGGGATGAGGCGAGTAAGGTGTGAGCGCGGATTTGGGCGGCGCTGTGCGACATGAGGAGCAAAGTGTAGGAAAGGGGTGTGCGTGAGTCTCCCGGGTGTGAGCCGAATGCCGGGGTATCTTTCTCGGGGGGACAGGAGTTGAGATGGGCTTGTGTGCGGTGGTAAGTTTGATGCCAGGAATCGAGTAAGGTGAGGAGGTGGGATTGGGTTTTTTCGAAGCAAGAAGGGGGTTGTTGGTGGGGTTGGGAGGATTGGAGTAGGTGCTCTGTGTGGGTTATGCGGCGGAGGATGGTGTCTAGGGCGTCTTTTGCGGCTTCGGGGCTTGCGAAGATGGAGTTTGGCAGGTGGAGGGTTTGGAGGGAGTGCGGGAAGATGTCTGGGTTGGAGAGGTGGAAGTCGGAGGCGAAGAGGGTGCGTTGCGTGACGAGGGCGGCGAAGCTGCGCACGATGCTTTGTTCCATGACGCTGGAGCGAGGGACACTGCCGTCGCCGAGTAATTTGATGCCGTTTTTCAAGTGTGTCTCGGCGATTTCGTGACGCCCTCGAAGGTATTCGAGGAACGTAAATAGCATGCATGTTACCAGTACGACGGCTACATCTTGTGTATCACTAGTCCTCGCCAGCATTGGCTGTAAGGCGGTAATCGCCTGGCTGTACTGCTTCAAAACGAACCTCTCTCTTGTATCGATACTCTGGCCCGGAATAAAATTACACTCGTGGGCCGCACTCAGGGCTACGACGGCATGCAAGATGGCTGGTTCAGAGGCAAGGGCCGGGATGACAGTAGCGTGCCAGAAGGGATACCCAAACCAACCTGACGATGTCCATGATACGCGCTGTTTGTATAGCTCAAGATAGCGTAATTCGTCTGATGGAAAGGACTTTGCCAGAGGTTTTGAAAGCTGAACTTCTGAGGAAGTGGTAGTTGGTTGAGAGCGACGGCCATACCGATCAAGATAAGTATTTCCTCCTCCTCCCTGGGCGCCATAGCCCTCACAAGTCCGGCCAGTGCTGAGACAGCGATTGCAGACTGGTTTTGTCTCATCACATTTTACTTTGCGTGCTCTGTCTTCATGTCAGGTACATATAACCTTGGGTACCTAGCATGGCTCGAAATTCCCATTGGCTTCATATTCCATGTCTTCATGATAGACAAATGCAGGAAACCCAAAATGATCAATTGGTCCGCGGAGGAAGAGCGAAATAACAGTAACATACTTGCACGTCCCACATCCGGACTTTGATTTCTTCCGCGACCGCCCAGTACTTGGAGGATGCAACGCAGTTGTTGTAGACGCAGGCGGTGCTGGTAGTCTCAGGGGTACGATAGTAAGCTCCTCTAACATCCCGACTACCAAGCAACGATTAAACCACTCTCACTAGGCGACAAGGCTGGGGGGGGACTGGTAGAATGCTGAATAACTGAAGGAGCAATTGGTTCGTGCATGGTGCATCGGATCAAAAGGCAACCTGAAGCTCGCTAATGGCGTGGCTCAGCCTTTCTCATTCGCTCGCTACTCCTTGTCGGCTTTTACTCAATGTGGATGCCTGGACGCCTGGACGCCTGACGCCCCGTCACCGTGCTCTTCGAAGATCAAATACTCAACATGCACTCTCTAAACTTGCCAACATTGAAGACATCGAATCTCATATTCGTTCATCTATGGACTGGTCTATCATAAGCATCGCATTACCATGATCTCATCACAGAAAACAAAATGAACAAAGTCGAATACCACTTTCCTTCCTCCCAGAACGTAGTTTGTCATATACACTACGCCGTCCAAATGCTTTTTTTCCATTTGCCAATACGCCTGCATACATCTCCTCGTCTAAGTCTCAGCACCGTCGGCCTTTTGGCCCTCGGCATCAGCCATCTCGGTATCCTTTGAGTCTTCAGCAGGTGGCGCGTCAGCCTGCTTCTTAGACTCGGCCTCCCGCTTTGCGCGCTCCAGCTCAGCTTGCTTGGCAGCGTGCTCCTTTTGTTGCTTCTCCATGGCGGCTTGCCTCTCACCCTCGATCTTGTCGTTGTAGCGCTGGATGATAGGGCCAGCAATGGAGCGGATGTCCTCCTTCTTGGAGACGTATTGTGCCTTGGACGCATCGTCGCCCTCGTCGTACAGCCATTCCTGTGTTTATTAGTATTTTTTCCCTTCTGTAGAATAGCTTTCAAACTTACCTCGATGGTCTCGAGCTTCTGGTTGAGCCTGGCCTTCTCGTCATCGCTGGCAAACTCGGCGTAGACGTCGAGGATCTTGTCCTTGAGCTCGTAGATGAAGCTCTCAAGGTTGTTCTTCTCGTTCTCAGTGTCGGCAACGAGCTTGTCCTCCATAATCATGGCGTTCTCGCGCTCGGCGGCAATCTGCTTGGAAGCATCGTCAAGCGAAGCAGTGCCAGCAGACAGAGGCAAGTCTCCCTTGCGGAGCTGCTTCTTGACCTTGCGCATCTTGGGTGGCTCCGGAGGAGCATCCTTGTCCACGTCCATTGCCTGCGCATGATTCGTTAGCTCAATTGTTTCGGGCGCAGAAGCAAAAGGACGCGCATGTACAGAATCATCGCTAAGCTTGTATCGTTTCGCAGCACGTTCTGCCGAACTTTGCTCGCTGGTACTCGAATCATTAGGAAAGTCAGAAAAACGTACATCACCCTCTTTCTTCTCCGAAGACTCGGGAATTGGCTCCTCGACCTCGGTCTCCTCGACGTAATATCCAGACTCGACGTTGAGCACACCGTGCACGTTGAGGCGTGCCTTGAGTTTACAAATCATAAAATCGCCCTTGGGGTCTTCCTTGACGCCCTTGACGGAGAAACGGCCGATCCAGGGGTTCATCTTTCCGGGAAGCTGTTCAGGCTTGGCGTACCTGGCCTCCAGGTCGAAGGGGTGTTTTCGGTAGAAGGTCAGGATCTTAGTGGATGGCATGACGTTGCCCTTGTTAAAGACGGTGAGGCTAGTGTCCTCATCGGGAATGTCCTCGGACTTCTCCCATGTGAATTCAATGGGGTAGTTGACCATGTCGTGGACGGAGAAGTCACGGACACGGAAGACTGGAGAGAGGATAGCGCAGCAGAAGGCGCATCCACGGGCGACAGCCTCGTCTTGGTTCAGGGTGAAGGATAGAGGCTTACCAAAGAAGTCTTGGATCCTCGTCTTGAGCGCAGGGACACGTGTGCATCCACCGACCATCTCAATCGAGTCAATGTCTTCGACGGTAAGCTTGGCCTCGGCCAGAGCCTGCTCAATAGGCGCAGTGGCGCGCTCAAGGAGCGGCTTAATCAGCTCCTCAAGCTCCTCGCGCTTGAGCATACCACGCACGTCAACGTCGTTCATGATGGACTCGACGTTGATGGGCGCCATGTTGTTGGCAGAGAGGACCTTCTTGAGCTTCTCAACGCCGGCAGCGAGACGGAAACGCGCCTTTCCGTTCTCCATGACATCGATCTTGTACTTTTCCTTGAACTCCTTGGCGAAGTGCTCGACAAGGGCCTTGTCGATGTAGCGGCCACCAAAGTGCCTGTCCCAAGCACTTGACTTGACGGCCAGTTCGCCCTTTCGGAACTCGACAACAGTGGCTGTGTAGTTGCTGTGGCCAATGTTAACAAAGACGACTCTCCGTGGCTTCTCCTCTGGGCCAGGCAGGTCGAGCTTTGGGATTCCCCAGCCGAGGGCGACTGCGGTGTTGTCGTTGATGAGTCTTAGGCACTTGAGGCCGGCAATCTCTGCGGCGTCGAGAATGGCGCGGCGCTGGGCGTCGGTGTACCACACGGGGCAGCTGAGGACAATGTCGTTTACGGGCAGCTTGAGCTCAGCAGAGGCTGTGGCCCGCATTTTTGTGAGGTGCATGGCGGTGATTTGGGTGGCGGTAAATCGCTCCTTCTTGCCCAGGTAGTTGACCTCTGCGCCCACCTGGCCGTCGACATCGACAAGCTGGGCAGAGACAAAGTCCTGCTCAACCTGGACATCTGGATCTTGAAGACTGCGGCCGGCGAGGCGCACAAATGACGAGACGGTGTTCTTGAGGTTGGAAATTTCTTGGTTCTTGGCCATCTCACCAATGTATCTGCTCTTGGGGCCGAAGCCAACTAGTGATCTGTATCATGGCCAGTCAGCCGAGTGTTCTCTGGGAGATGATGTGTTCGCGGGGGGGGGGGGCTACTTACGGTGTCGCGCGGTTGGAAACCTCATTTGCGATCTGGATAGTGAGTCAGTGTGAGCCATGGACGCAAGAAAGCGACAGTGAAAGATATGCGGTGGCACTTACGACATCGACACCACGATTCCGCGCAACAGCGATGACGCTGTTGAGCGTACCCAAGTCGACTCCTACTACAGACATTGTTGATCTGTGATGGTGGGGTGTGTATGGGGGGGGAAGTGGGAGAGTTGTGTTGTTTTGTGTTTGCGGGTGGAGGGGTAAGAGAGGGTATATGGGGTATCTAGTGCGGCGAGATTTTATGGGCGGTAAACCAGAACAAGTGTCGTGGAGTAGTAGCGAAGCAATACAAGGAGGCACGCGCCGCAAAATTTCAAAATTTCAAGACTGCGCTGGTATGACCTAACAAGAATGCCCAACTCGACAAAAGGAACCACACAGAACTTTCTCGATGGCCCCAAACAGCGGGGCTCATTTTTGCTGGGCGGGCGGACGGCACAGACCAACCGCCCGACAAGTCCGCCGCCGCCGCCGCATCATTACCGCCCATGCCAACACCAAACCGTCCAAACATCAACACCAAAATATCAACGCGCGGACACTATCACCAGCAGCAACGCGTCGCGTCATGCCCAGGCCGCTCCGTGCCAGCGCCGACGCGTCTGTTGTAGGCGACCTCTCTTCACCACCTCGATAGTCGCATAGTGTTTGCATCTACCGCGCCCGCCTTTGCCAACAGCTGAGGACGGCTGACATCATGGCATATGTGCCCCCCTACCCGCTGCTAAACAGGACCTACAACCTGTATCGCGCATCCCCACTGCACCATGGCGACTCGGTTCTGCTCAGCGATCAGTCGATGCGCGCCCATGCCAAGCGGCTCAAGGAGCAGCTCAAGGGCGACAATGTGCGTGGTGTGCAGGTCGACTTTGCCGGCGGAGAGGAGACGGCAAAGCTGGGCCCGCTCGAAGAATGCCGCTGGGAGGTGCTTGGCGACGAGGATGCCTGGATTGACCGACGCCTCCAGTCTGAGGATCCAGACGCACCGCGACTCGCGCCAGACGTCACGTCAGACCGTGCCCGTGGCATCCATGTGAGCCTCGAGTATGAGAAGAACATGTACAATGCCCTCCTTCTACGCGACCCGCATGCCACGTCTTCGCCCAATGGTTTCACCTCGCTCCCTCTTGTGCTCGTGAAGATGCCAGCGCCAATACGCGAGATATTTCTAAACTACATCCGAGCCACCTTCGACGCCCATGTAGCTCCCTTGAGGCTCCCTTCGTCGTTTATCACGTCGTCCCTCGAGACCTTCTTCAGTCACCTTACAGCGCGCACTTCCACCCTGTCCATCCAAGACACCATAAAGCAGCTGCACGTCCAACTCACATTCCCCAATGCCACGAGCCTCCTCAAGCACATTGAAGTCACAATCGCAGCAGAAGACGTAGCCGGCTTCGTCCAGCGCGGAAAGCTACTAAAAGCAACCCACGCCAAACCCTTCATAGCCGCCCTATCCAACTACCTAAACCGCCACCTCGCCCTCGACCTGTCCCACCCAAAAGTCCAGATATCCCGTATATCCTGCGCCAGCTTCCACCTCGGCACTGAGCGCCTCAAAATCGTCGCCCCAGATACCCTCCCAGACACGTCCATCACCGACCACGGATCCCCGTCGCAGTCGCAGGATTCAAGTGCAACGCAACTTGCCGTCCATCAGTTGTATACCCTGTTGGTTCGAGAAGCGACGGGAAGCGGCAAGTTTTTGCCAGAAGATCTGGCAGCGGATGTAAGGGAGGACACGCCGTCTTCGACTGCGAGTGCACGCAGGAAAAGAGCAGTTAGTAGCACGGCGACTGCGAATGGGGCTACCAAGAAGACAAAGGGAAAGGGGAAAGGGGATGGGAAGCAAACCAATGGGGATAATCCCCAGTAACCAAAAGTTCATCCGTCCTTTTCGGTATTGTAGAATTGGACTGTTTTGCCAAGTGTACACTATCTATTTCTCTTTTTTGTATGATACCCCCATAGTCTATTTGCAATCATGCCAATAAAAAAATATACCTTTTCATTAGTCACACATTATAACCGTGGGGGGGGGGGGACGAGTCAAACTAGTCAGCACGTGATATATACATGCTTTATTACACTGCCTTGCTTCAAATCCTATCGTCACTCACATCCCACATCACCATCCAAAAAAGGAAAAAAAAGCGTCATCGAAAAAAAATCAGTTCAATAGGGAAATAAGTCGTGAGGCTAGGAAATCCAGAAACCAATACATAGTAATACGGCAAAAAAGAACATAGGGAATCGAGAAGAAAGAAAAAAACAACGCCAACCCACAACTCAAGTATAGACACTCTCGGTAAAAGAATTCACCTGTAACCCGCGCTCCGCCATATCTGCCTTTTCGAGAAACTTGAGCTGCATCCACACCAGATGGCCCTTGATGCGATCCAACTCCTTCCTGACCTCCTGGGCCGGGCGGTCAACATCATAAAGATGCCCTTGTTTGTGTTTTTTGTCAGAATTGGGGTTGGGAGTAAACTCGTCGTAGTCTTCAAAGGTAAGAATATTGTCGTCAGGGTCCGCATGAAACAAATCGCGGAAGACGGATGTGTTGGTTGAGGCGCGGGTGCACCATTCGTCCCAGAGTTTGGGGCTCAGGGGGTCCGAGACGAAGTCGGCTTCGGGACCCGGCATGGTGTCGTTGGGGGAGTGCTCGCCGGGTGGCTGGGCGTTGGGATCGTCGGTGGCGTTGAGACTTTGTGGGGGCAGGAGGCCGAGGTGTTCGCGCCAGAGGGAGCTGCGGAGGTCGTGGGCGAGGCGGGCAGCTTTGTAGGGTTTGCCGTCAAGAGTGGTGTCGATTAGGTCCGTGTCTTGGAGGACGATGGAGAGTTCGGAGTCGTGGAAGCCGAGCTGTGAGCGGTCGTTGATGTTGGAGGAGCCGCAGATGACGGTTTTGTCGTCGATGATGCAGATTTTGGCGTGGACGTAGAGTTCTTCTTGGAAGAAATATTGTTTTTCGTCTTCGGTCTCACCTTCCCAGGCCTCATCGCTGGGCTTCTTCTCAGTGAGCATGGCGTCGTCGGCGATGGAATCTGGGTCAATCACTCCGCCCTGGTCACCCTTTCCAAGTTTGTCATCCTCGTCCATATATCTCTTCCTCATCTCTGCTGCTAGTCGTCGCTTTTCATCTCCACCCTCTTCTGGTGGCGCTTCAAGCTCGTCAATTTCGGCAGTCTCCATCTCCATGTATGTCATACCAGACTTCTTCTCCATCTCCTTGAGCTTGGGCGTGACATTAATGCGATCATACGAGCGGAGGTTGAAGAAGAAAATGTACTTTTCAGGGTCGACACCGGCAGCCTTGATCCTGCCAAAGATGCTCTCGTCGCCTCTGCAGATACTCTTGAATTGGTAGTCCATAATAGCTCGCGTTCCAGCCGCAGCCTGATCCCGCAAATCTCCCGCGAAACCGGGGATAGCCGGGATGACGATAATGATCCTGAAGTTCCGTTCTTCCTTGGCAGCCTTCAGAATTGCATCGACCATGGCACCTCCAATCTGGTTGTGAACTGGATTCTCGTCATGTTTGGTAGTCGCAGTAATGAAGAACTGGTTCTCAATGTACACGTAATGCTGGGCGTTCCGGATCAGCTCGCAATAGGCGTTCTGAATGCTTTGTTCATGAGGCTCGATGCCCATGCTCCAGTCCGCGCTACTCCTGACAAGCTGTGCATGTACAGTTCCACGGTTGTCGAGATTCTTGCTGCTGAGCTGCGTCACGGGATGATGTATGTAATGACCAACGGGGAACTTAGGCCGTTGGACTCCAATCAGGTCTTCGTCAGCACCTTCACGTCCTTCCATGGTAAGCCAGTCATATCGTTCGTCACGCTTGTACTTTTCACGCTTCACAAAATTCCATCGCAGGACAAAGTGTTCGGCAATGTCGTAGATTGCCGGGCCTATGATTCCCATGGCGACGTCGTGCCATGGCATGCGACCATACTCGAGCTTGTCCAGCTTGTTTGATTTCCAGTCGTCAACACTCTCGAAATCCATAATACGGTTATTGTTGTAGTCTTGGCCGGGGAAAATCTGGTTCTGCACACCGGAGGGATGTGCGTCAGACAGGGGATGCTGCTTCTCATCCCATCGGCCGTAGCACAGATCCAGTCCACCGATAAAGGCCATGGCATAATCAATGACAATGAACTTCTCGTGATGAGCCCAGTAGAATGTCATGTCTGCGGCATTTTCAAACACATTATGGTCAGGGTGTCGCATTACCCTGATGTTCCCGTAACCAGGCTCACCCTCTTTGATAAGGCCCATGAGGGCCTTTTTGGTATGCTGACTGTTGCAAGTAAGAGCAGCAGAAACCTGTAGGGTGGGTGAGTAGCTGGACGCTCGGCAGGCATGCGCATGCTTACCTCCTTGTACACGGAAATATAAATCTTGACGCCAGCCTGGGCGCGTCGCTTGAGAATTTGATCCAACCTGGATTGCTGATTGTAGTAGGGCGGGCGCTTCAAGAACAGCTCTGGGCTGAGCCACCAATCCGCAATGTAGATGGTCTCCTGGGCCTTTTCCAAAGCCTCGGCAACGGCCCAGAAGTAGTCTCGACCATCGACGTACCATTTGACCAGATTGCCGTCTCTTTCGGGGGCAAAGCTGTTGAAGCGATGGCTCTCGGCGATCTTGCTCCTCTTGGCGTCGGTTGCTTTTTCGTGATCCTCGTCATGGCGATGGTTGGTGTTGAAGAGGTTGCCAAACTTTCCAACCTTGTGCTTGAGGTGTACAGCTTTGATATGGGCACCGCGCAGCTTGGTGTGCTCGAGCTTTTGTTCAATTTCCTCGACCTTTTCCGAAAGGCGGTGGTCGAAAGGATGAAAGAGCTTCTTAAGACCCTTTTCTTTAGACATGTTGCCAGCGGTGCGTAGCGACCAACGATCAGCGATCAGCGATCAGCAACCTGCAATGGCGTGGCGTAGCAATGGCAGTTGTGAGGCTTGTGAGAGAGGCGGGTGGAGGGGGAGGCTGAGGAATGAGGCGCGTGGCAGAGTGGCAGAGGCGGTGGAGCAGGCCTCAGCCATACGGGCACGTCTTGTACTTATTGGGCCGTCCGGGTGAAGAAACCTGTATGTAGTCATCTTCATCCTGCGCATAGCAGGCGCGCGCACACACAGTATTGGAGACCGGGTGCAGGGGTGGGGGGTGGTGCCTTCCTTCGGCACAACAGGAACCACTGACGTCACTCCCCGCTACGCCCCATTGCGACGCGCTACAGTACACGCTATGCCTGCCCCTCCTCGTATCATCAGCCATTGCTTGTTTAGAGCTACCAACAAACTCGGCATCATCGATATGAGCAGAGTTTTCTGCTTTTTACCCAATCACACGGTGACGTTGTGCCGTCTAGAACATTGCTGGAGCCTCACATCATCTCAATACTGTTGCTACATACTTACATACTTTGCCCCCCATGAAACAGACCCTTGCAGGGCTTACGAGTACAGAGGAACCATAGCGGCATGGCTCTATAAGCAAAGTGCATGCCACGTAACAAATAGAAAAGAAAACCTTTCACAAAGATTGCCTCTTTGATCACCAACCGGAGAGCCACCGAGAGCCTTGACGAAGCCAACACAGCACGTCTTCAGGCAACCACTACCACAGGCCACCCATCTTCCCAGTCGAGATAGTTGTAGCCAAAGAAGAAGTCCTCAGCCCCGTAGCCAACGCTTGGACGAACTAAATCAATCGTCAGCCACCCTCAACTATGCTCAACTCATCATCGACCTTACCATAGTGATAATACATGACGGTCCTCCCATTCTCCGGGTCCATCATGACGCCTTGCCCGCCCGGTGCATATACATCTCCGTGGCTGGCCAGAATCGTCGTCCCACCGCTCGCCTCTAAACAGCTCCTGCCGTCGCGATCATAAAATGGACCCTTGGGCGTCTCTGAGCGGCACACGACAACATGGTAAACCTCGTCGTCGGAAGCGAGGCCTCCCTCTGGTGTGCGGCAACAGTGACCAACACTGAAGAATAAGTAGTAATATTCCTTTTCCTTGTACATGGTCGCGCCTTCAACTACCAGCGCGTGCTGTGTGGTATTTCGTACAATGTTGGTGATGCGTCCATTCTGATGGGCCCAGTCCCCAAATGCTATTATGTCGTCGTCGGGAAAGAGCTCGACTTGGAAAATGTCGTGCCAGTACGAGCCAAAGGTGAAGAATATAGGGGTATCTGGTGCTTCTTGGAAAACAAAAGGATCAATTAGGTTGTACTTGTGCGATAGAGGGAGGCCGATATTGCCGTGATCTTGCCAGCTACCTGGTTCGAGCGAGCTTGAGGTAGCCACTCCAATCAATGAGTTGTGAAGTCCAAATCTAGAAACTGAGTAGTGACAGTAAAACGTGTCACCTCTCTTGGTCACCGAGGGTGCCTGCATACCATCATGAGAAAGGATTTCGCTGACAAACTCTTGTCAAGCACCAGACACTGCACTTACCCAGATATCCTGTCCATCAGCCACATATATACTAGTGCCGTTGTACAACAACGCACCTTCGTAGCGCCATGGTCCCCCGAGCGAGGGTGCAGTAGCAACGGCAATGTTGCCGCTAGTTGAAAACCGCCAATAAGTTCCATCTTCATACCAAATGCTGGGGTCGTGGATCCACGAACAGTTTCCCCGACATGGTTCGGGGTCTGGGTAAAGTCCATCTACTAGTGGAGGGCCTGCCTGTAGATTTGGCAGAGGACGAGGTTCCGGCCCTGCATGAGGATTTGGTTGCGGTACTGCAAGCGGGCTTGCAACTGTGCTCTTTACAATAAATGGCACAAAGGTAGCGCTAGTAATGAAGAACGCGCCAAGTAGAGCAGTAGTAAATCTTGCCGGGCCAGAGTCGCAAATCATAGTTGTGGTTCCTTTCTCTATCGCAGATAGCAGTGTTGTTCACTCAATTCTATACGGTGCTGTTACAGATTTCAGCAAGTTGAGTGCAGTTTATATGGTACCGAGAAGAGAACCACGTCAGCGGTCATGCGCAAAACTCGGCCTTGAGCTCTCCTTGTTTGCGATCATAACTAGCGGCTGACGTCGGGGCTCATACTCTTCCTTCACAATGTAATCAGTGGTGAATTCTGTTGTGACAATCTCCATTATCGTCCTTGAAGTTAGCTGCAAAGCTTGTGTAATGATCATGTACATCGGTTGGCCGCGGTTTTGTGCGGACTTTTAGACTAGCCTGTGAATGTTTGAAAATTCTCCAAGCCAACATGTTGGAGCCGGTCAGGCGACTTGTCTGCCTATACCGAGCATGAGCTAGGAGGCCATGTGTGGTTTCTCAATACCGGCTCTCTATTTGCATCGGTAAAGGTATGGCGGTGAAGCAAGCTAGACTTCCGATAGCAACCCACACTGGGTGACATACGGAAGAGTTGTGCAACAGGGCCGATTCTGCGTCTGTTCCGAATAGCTGGGGTTCTTCCTTGATAGAATACAAACTTGGTAATGTTATGTCCGGGTTCAGACGCGAGATTTGTCGCTACTTCAATGTGTCCACGATTGGATTCGCGCCTTCGTTGCTTGAGCCATCCCAGTGATGTCAGTGATCGCCATTAGTACCTAGTCCTGCACTGACTATATTGTCGTTGCCACGTGCATCATGTTTGGTGGACTGAAATCGCAGCGAAGCTTTCCGTGGGACGTCGCACAACTGGTTGTAGCAAGTCGTTACTGGTATCCGATTGACCCTAAAACGAAGTGATGCTTTTTGTTGGCTCCCAAGTGCTGGCACATGATGACCATTGGCCTTAACGTCCTAAACAAGACACTGTTGGCCGTTAACCATGCGCTGTATTTGCAATTGGAGGACAAGCCGGCCCCGTAGATCGGGCGCAACGTGTCGACAGCTACCACATCGTACTTGTGTGACCATAAGCAGCCTTGCAACCAAACGTCCCCATCTGGAGTTCACGTCACCAAATGGAAAATCTGTGGCTCTAGAGGCGTATTCTGACTCATAGCCACTCCCCAACGGTACAAGGACGGATCTTGACTCTGCAATATTAGTATGACAAGTGGAGGCTGTAAAGAAAACCATGATCGTGGGAAACGTCATTGAACAGATGTTGTGATTCGGCGCCAGTTGTACTTGGGTGTGACATGGATATCCTCCGCTACTCCCTCTCCATATTGCTTGGACCGTCCTATTCTTCGGTACTCCGTCACCAGAATCTAGCTTGGCGCTTGGTATCCATCGACATCTGTGCTATTACTCCACTTGTCGAACTTCTTGATGCTTTCACTGTATGTCTCTACCTTCTTGGTGATTGTGCTGTACGCGTCAGTACCAACGACGCATCGTAGAGGCGGATCGTCCATGACTGCTAGATCGTAGAAGACCTTTGCACCTTTTGCTGGATCTGTACATAGTTTGTAAGTACGCTATCAGTTCCAAGTCCGCCTGCTGTCTCACCTCCTGGTTGGTTTCCATGGCGCGCTTGGGCTAGCTTCTTCGGATCGACATGGGTGTAGGCTGGGTGTGCAATTTCGCCAAAGTCCATACTACGGCCAGACCAATCTGTTCGGAAGCCGCTGTGAAAGTGAAGGGCACGAGATTCAGCTTATGTCTTACAAGTATCTTTTGTACCAGAGACTTACCCAGGCTCGATGCAGGTGAACTTGATTCCCCATTCTGACTTCACTTCTTTGGAGATGGCTTCCGTGAAACCCTCGACCGCCCATTTACTAGCACAGTACATGGAGAAGTTTGGGACGCCTGAAATCCATTAGTTGTAGCCTTAACTGTATGGAGAGTAGTATACAGACCAATCTGGCCACCAATAGAGGTAACCTGCTGGATAACGCCTCCAGTCTTCAATTCACGCATGGTCTCCATCGCCTTCCTCGTCACATCAATCAGACCGAAGAAGTTGATTTCCATCTGTTGCCTAATCTGCTTCTCCGACAACGTCTCAAATGGGCCCATTAAGCCGTATCCAGCATTATTGACGACTACATCAACACGCTTGAACTTGGTGATTGCAGCGTCAAATGCCTTGTCAATAGAATCCTTCTTGGTCACGTCGAGATCTACAAGCAAACTGTTGGAGTCATTTGCATTCTCGAAAGATAGTTTGGAGGAGTTGCGTGCGGTAGCAACGACGTAATCGCCCTTTTCGAGGACGACTTTGACGAGCTCTTCACCGAATCCGGTTGAACAGCCAGTGATGAGGAACACGCGAGGGGCCATGCTGTTGGTTTCGAGTAATGCTTATGGGGAACCTGGTTGAGGGATTGGAGGGTATTTGAACTCAGCCAATTGCTGCGAACCATTACGTCAGCTTGTATAGAGGGCGCCAATGATGTTGGCGGGCTAGCTAGTTAGTATTTAGCTTGATTCTATGCAGCATCGGAAAGTCCCTGTCAGTGATACGGTGTCGACCATGCCGAGGAATTGGCAGCAAGAAGAAGACGATCTCGACAACTCAAAGGCGCGATAAACTAGAGAGTGTGAGTGTGCAAGACCAAAGAGAAGATGCAGCTGTTCGATTGGAAACTTGTCACATGGGAATTGACAATAGCTCGCACTGAGTAATCATTTTTCTCTGTTTGAAGCAGGATGGTAAGCAATGGAATAGCCAGGACATCGAGAAGATGGGCTGCACATCACACTCGGGTATGGGCGAGGGGATGAGTAGAGGCAGAGTGCTAGGCTGGAAGAGGAGAGATAATGAGACGGGACACGCGTGACGGAAACAGACTAGCGTGGACGCGATCGCGCCCTGGCTGAATCTGCCCCTCGTAACTTCACCGGGGTAACAGCGCAAAACAATAGACAATCGAGACAGCCGTCAGGTGAGATATTCTCTGGCTCAGTCTACGCCAGCATACACGATTGTGCGCTGCTATACTATAACATTCACCTGATCCTTGAAGCACAACAAACAACATGGCCGAAGTCATTAGGGACGAAGAGGTGCGCCGGCGCGTGCGACTTGCACAGGAGTTTCTTGACCCAGGTACGTTTGACAGAGCCTCAATATAGCCCTGATGCTGACACAGGTGTAGATGATGTTTCAAGGCGAAGGTATGCTGCAATTGCTTACTTACCAGGTTTGCGGCCGCTGACCGCTACCTCTACAGCTACCGACCAGACATTCTGGTGATGCTCAACCGGGGACAGCGAAGACTCACTGTAAGTGAGACAAAGCTCGGGATTGAAATCTTGCATGTTGACAGCATTCAGGTCAGCATAGACGAAATCCGCACGCACGACCGTGAACTCGCCGACGGCCTCCTAAATCAGCCCTTCGAATTCGCAGAAGCCTTTGACCGCGCCCTCAAAGATGTTATCCGCACATTTGCAGACCGCCCCAAATCGGAGACCGCCGAAGACGTCATGTATTATTGTGCCTACGTCGGCAGCTTCGGCGAGTTCTCTTGCAACCCGCGCACCCTTGGCTCCAATCAGCTCAACCACATGGTTTCGCTCGAAGGAATTGTTACCAAGACCTCTCTTGTCCGCCCAAAAGTGGTCAAGAGTGTGCATTACAATGAGAAAAAGCAAAGGTTCCATGCGAGAGAGTACAGAGACCAGACCATGACCACAGGTGCTGCAAGCACTAGTGTATACCCTACAGAAGATGAAGAGGGCAATCCCCTTGTTACTGAGTACGGCTACTGCATCTACCGCGATCACCAGACCATATCCATCCAAGAAATGCCTGAGCGTGCCCCTGCTGGACAGTTGCCACGATCTGTCGATGTCATTCTGGACGACGACCTTGTAGACCGAGTCAAGCCCGGCGACCGTATCCAGCTAGTCGGTATCTACCGGTCGCTTGGTAACCGTAACGCGGGAGCAGGCAGTTCGACTTTCCGCACACTAATCCTCGCAAACAACATCATCTTGCTATCCTCCAAATCTGGTGGAGGAATTGCCCAGGTCAACATCACTGACACCGACATCCGCAATATCAACAAGATCGCGAAGAATAGGCGTGTATTCGAGCTTCTATCACAATCGCTTGCTCCTTCCATATACGGACACGACTATATCAAAAAGGCCATATTGCTCCTCCTCCTTGGAGGACAAGAGAAGAACCTGGAAAATGGTACCCATCTGAGAGGAGATATCAACATTTTGATGGTTGGTGACCCTTCTACGGCCAAGTCACAGCTGCTTCGGTTCGTGTTGAATACGGCTCCTCTTGCCATTGCCACAACCGGTCGTGGATCTTCTGGTGTCGGTCTCACAGCAGCTGTCACTTCAGACAAAGAAACAGGCGAGCGACGACTGGAGGCTGGTGCTATGGTTCTTGCAGATCGTGGCGTGGTCTGTATCGATGAATTTGACAAAATGTCTGATGTCGACCGAGTTGCAATTCACGAAGTCATGGAACAGCAAACTGTCACCATTGCCAAAGCAGGTATTCACACGTCGCTCAACGCTCGTTGCAGTGTGGTTGCTGCAGCCAACCCTATATTTGGACAGTACGATATCCACAAGGATCCGCACCGCAACATTGCTCTGCCAGACTCCCTCCTTTCGCGTTTCGATTTGCTGTTCGTCGTTACAGATGACATCGAGGACGCTCGAGATAGGCAGGTGTCTGAGCATGTCCTTCGCATGCATCGATATCGCCAGCCTGGTACTGAGGAGGGCGCGCCTGTTCGCGAGGAAGGTGCTCAGCTTCTAGGCGTTGGCCTTGACACTGAAGCTGACGCCAACCGTCCAACCGAAGTGTACGAAAAATTCAACCCCATGTTACACTCTGGAGTTACCATTACTGTAGGAAGGGGTGCTTCGCGGAGGACCGAAGTCCTCAGTATCCCGTTCATCAAAAAGTACATCCAGTACGCCAAGCGTGAGAAGCCCATCCTCACTAAGGGTGCTGCAGATCACATTGTGAGCGTCTATTCTGCGCTTCGCAACGACGAGCTTGATGCAGGTACCCGCCGAACTTCTCCCATCACTGCGCGTACTCTTGAAACACTCATCCGTCTTTCTACTGCGCACGCAAAAGCACGTCTATCGAAGCGAGTTGAGCGGAAAGATGCCGATGTCGCGGAGCAAATCCTACGATTCGCTCTGTTCAAGGAAGTCGTCGAGGATGACCGTCGCAAACGAAGACGTACAGCCCGCGACCCAGACGCCATGTCCACAGACGAAGGGTCATCAGGCGATGAAGACGACGGTGATGAAGCAGACGCTACACAGTCCCGACGGGCAGGCGGACCATCTACTAGAAGCCAGCAGACAGCTACAGCACGCACTCCCGGTCCAGGAGCTGGTGAAGACGACGATGACGAAGAGGCGAACGAAGATCTATACAGAGTTACACCAAAGACGCAACGTACCACCAACCGCTCGCAGTCTACCCGCGGCGAACCCTCGTCACAATTCAGCGTTGCCTCATCACAGCCCGAATCTCAGCTTCCCCCTACTCAACCCGAGTCCCAAGAGTCCCAGGAGATCACTCCCGCACGTCTACAAGTATTCCAGACAGCACTTGGTCAGCTCATCGACGGCCCATTGTTTGCCAATGATACTGCAGATGTGGAGCCCCTTGTAGCTGCAGTGAACGCGAGACTGGGTGGTGGTAGTGGAAGGGAGCCATTTGGACAAGGCGAAGCGGAGAAGGCGCTCGAGGCGCTTAGTGAGAGGAACAAGATCATGTATTCTGGCGGTATTGTGTACAAGATTTAGATGTGTTGGCATGATTATATGCAGATATGATTGAATAATGGTTGTTTTGTTCGAAATGAAGCTTGTGAAGGCGCTGTCTGTTGAATGAATAGCATGGTGTTTGTCACTGAACGTAATGTGACCTGTTCATGAATATCTTTGATCAAGTATCACCTTGTTTCCTTGCCACCGTGAATAACTGATATGTCTTCCGTCAGTGCAATCAAGTCAAGTCAACTAACTCAACATCACTTATCTTCCACAGCACAACGGTCGTCTCGCATTACGTATCAAATCCGAAATTTACTTTCATTTATTCATCACATCGTCATTTATACAAAAAACCCCTACCTCTAAATCGCCGAATCCTGCTTAGCAAACTGCCTCGCCAATGCCTCAATACTTTCCGCAATCCTCTTAAACTCATCCTTCTGCTCCTCCGCTACCTCACCCCCTTCCATTGCAGGATCCTCATCCTGGTTTCCCCATTGAATTTCCATCGTGTTGAAATCAATCTTGGTGTCGAGCCCGTAAATGTCTTTGCTCAGGTGCGAGGGGAAACCTCGGAGCGTCGAGACGAGAGACATGAGTTCGCGGACGTCGTCTCTGTAGGGAAGGGGGTGGGGTTAGATTTGGTGAATGGATTGGGAGGGGGTAAGGGGGACTTACTGCGGCACGCTGCCCGTTTTCTCAGACGACTTGTTGCCGCCGTTGTAGTTGGAGAGGCGGATGTTGGCGGAGCGGTTGGGCTCGCCGATTACTTCGATCAGGTGTGTTGGGGCGCCTGAAATTTTGGTTTTGTGAGTTACGTGGGAATGACGTTTTCAACTTGGAGATTTGACATACCGTTAAAGGGCTTGCTAAGGACGATTTGGAATTCGTCTGATGGCGGGGGTGCGTCCATACGGGGCATTTTGGAGGATTTGGTAAGAAGTGGTAGTTTGGTTGGTGAAACTTGAAGGACTGTGGCGTAAGATTTGATCCCAAAGACGTTTTGATTGATTAGAGTAGCAGAATCGTATTGTAGATGGGATTGTCATGCATTTAAAGTATGATGAGTTTAGTACTCGAATGTGATGCTAGCAAATTCCCCACACTAGCATTTGGCGTTGATGTCATGATGAATCATATCTGCAGCTGTCGGCCATGTACGATTTCTATCATCACTCCACTTTGATGCAAAAATATTCGAGATCTCGATGATATGCAGAGAGTATTGTGGATGGAGTGTATGAGGCTCGCTGTATGGTGGAGCGGATTGGGCGACGCGTCGTTTGACGCGCGAACACGGGGTGTGACATCATCGCCTTCTATTTCTCACTGCGCTTTCAGTATGCAGCCACTGGTGCCTGTGAGTTTATTACAAGATGCTTTTTATAATGATTTATCTTATTTTTGCCCAGTGCATTTACTCTGTGGCCATCTTTCCAATTCATAGCACGCTCATACGCGCTAATATCTGTGAACAACAAGACTGTTCAGTATCTACAACTTTGCCTTGTACACACGCTTTTTGAACGGAATATTTTCTTGTTATCGGAATGAACATATAGATAAGAAAAGGTGAATCCATTGACCGGAGAGGATGACCACTTGGCTTTGAAAGAATAGTGCCATGCTCTTGAATACAACTTGCATCATTCAATCTTTTGCACTTCGAACAGCAGGGTATGGTTTTTCAAGATGGGACTCAACACACTTCCCAGACAGAGCTGCTTGTGCTTTCATGCGAGGATACAATGGATAGCAAACCAAAATATTGGTTGCTGACATCTCCAAAATCAGGCAACCAAGTCAAGGCCGACACTAGAGGCGGAGGCCGAAGAGGCCGAGAAGGGCTTACAGGGGGTACTTCACGCATACAAGCACCCGTCTCGCGCAACACATATCCCTACGTGACATGCCCTCAAAAAGGGCCTTCATCGCCCCTGGTATCGAAAATTTGCTCATTCAGTGCACCATTTCAGTTCACTACTGGAACAAATCCTCAAACTCTACTAGGTTGACTGCCCCTTGCTTGGGCCCCATTTCCGGGGTATCCTGGGCAAAGGTATACCACCATGCGATAATAAGTTAAACAAAGCAAAGGTTGTTGAGCACCGCTATGGCAAGTAGATATCACTCCATAAGCAGCCTCCCGCCCCCATGCTTAGCATAGGGTCTAACTTAGTCCATCATATTTTTCATCTATAAAGAACAAAAAGAGAGGAAATACCTCTCTCTATTTCTCCCTTTTTTTCTTTCTCTTTGACCACGTTTCCTTTCTTTTATCTTCCACCTTCTCTTCTTTCTTAGCTCTTTTCCTACCTTGTTCTTTCTACTAGCGTTCTTTCCAAAAACAATAAGATAAAAGTAGAAATAAGAAGAGCGAAAAGGGATCGAAAGAAAAGAGAAAGTAACGGAGAAGAAGATGGAGAGAAAAGAAAAAGAAAAGGAAAAGGGAGCATAAATTATAGCTAGATAGAATTGAGGTAATATTACACGTCTATTCTATTTACAGACAAGTAGCGTCGCACTAGAGAATACCCCTACTCACTACGTAGTCATTGAATTTTTCATTGAGTGGTTGTTTATGCTTTGCCCCTCGCCTCAAAAGGCATCGTTATAAAGCTCGTGCAGTAGTGATCAGCGTCCTAACCGTTATACGGTTACCCCAGATGTCGGAGAATTGGAGTAACATCAGCTTTGTTTGATTGGCTATCACAGAGTCGTACGGCTGCATGTCGGAGATTTACCAAGATCGTGGAGGCCTGATACTTCCACCATGAACGATTCAAATCACGGACCCTCTCGATGTGTTTTTCGACATCGCTGGCTGTCACAGACGCGTCTAAGGCCTTCCAACAAACTTATTTCAGAGCCCTGCAGTGACAGTGTCACAAGATGCACAGGATAACATTCTCAACTACGTACCTTGTCCTTCTCCACTTGTTACCAGTGCGCGCCGCATTCACCGACTTCTTCTTCGCAGGCAACAATGGGAGCTCTAGCGCACTGAGGACGTGTCCCGGTTCGCCGTTCGAATGCATTCCTCCTTCTGTTTGCTCGTTTGACGAACGAACATTCAAAACTTACTGTTGTATTCCTGGTTCTAAGGATGCGGTTTGCTGGGGGCCCAGTGAAGGTTGTGATGGAGGAGACCGCACGACACCCGCGGGTAATCAGCGTTCGTGTGGATCCGGTATAAATGCCTTTTGCTGTTTGAAGTCCAGGTCAGCAACAATTTCCCATTCGGTCGCCAGCATTACACAGAACTGAGAAAATTTAGTGAGATATGTACTGAGGCACTAAATCAAATCAACATTTGCTGGAGTAGCCTGGTCAACCCGCTCGCCTCGCTGGATGCAACTGCGGTGAACAAGACCGCGCAATCGCTTATATCGGCTAGCCCGTCTGCAGCTTCATACCCCGTCAAACTGCTTGATATAGAAAAGCCAACGTCTACCACTGCTGCTCTATCATCCACGACCCCGAGTACACCCATCTCGACTTCTACCGCCTCTCTCATAACTGTCACAACTTCCACAGCCAGCTCTTTGGAGAACCCCGTTTCTTCGGTTAACCAATCGCGATCTACTTCAACTCCTGCCGAGAATGATAGTTCAGGAATCTCTGGTGGCGCAATAGGAGGTATCGTAGGTGGAGTCGTTGGTGGACTGGCTCTCCTTGGCTTTATTGGCTTTTTCTTATGGAGACGGAGAAAGAACAGCAAGCGAAACCCCTACCAAGCAGCGGACTCATTCGACGGATCACCTACATATACAAACCTTCAGACAGTAGAGCTAAATGCGAACCGAGAATATGCGGAGGCACCAGTGCAAGAAAAGTATGGAGGAGTTATTAGACCTGTCGCAGAGGCACCTGCGGATAGGGAAGTGGCAGAGCTACCTGCTTCTGACATGTACAATCATCCGACGCACTGAGAAACTCGTAATGAGAATAGAGAAGAGAACAAGGCGCATTTACGGTTTTGGAAAGAAATATACAGGCTGGAGGCGTGATATCCGATCTTGCCATAAGCGCGATGGAGTCGGCGGACGATAAATGACAGCACGACTTGGAAGGGAAATCATGACGTTGGTTCTCTTCAAAATCATATTATAACCAACTTATTGGATTGCAGCAGGTTGCCTCGGAATTCCGAACCCGCACCTTATTTAACGTTATACATCTCTAGTTTTTCATGTCGACTCATTTCGCCCTTGACCACTAGATCAATATAAAGTCTTCCAAATCACATGGTGATGTTGTTGAATGGTCTTCGTCAGGACATCGCTCGCCATTCCACCAACACCGCATTATTTCTTCGGTTTTTAGTCAAGGAATTTGGGATTAAACGACCAATAAACAGAAAGCAGGGCTTATATCTACCTAAGAAACACATGGAAATGAACGAAAATAGAAAAAAACTCCAATATCGCCATCTTCACATTTCTCCATCCCGTTCCGCTACGCCACTACAGCGGAGCGGAGTGCCAAGATATAATGCACGTCCCTCCACATTCCTCCTCCCACATCGCTCGCATCCCCTTATCCCATCCCTTGGCCCTACGTCACCAAAATGCAAGACACATCTGACACACAAACAGTCCGGCGTATGCTCAATGCAGGAGCAAACGACAAGCCCATTGAAATGAAAAATGAAGATCATGGCTGGTAAAGAGTGGAGCGGAAAGCAAAGCGATAGGACTGAGCGGATAAAACGGCACGGGTAGAGCTGTGGCGCGCTTGGCCGCGGAGCTGCGGTGCGCTTGGCATGTTTCGTGCTCAACGACATGTCAGGGGGCGTATGACAATCACATCTGGGCATGTTGGATGAGAGAAGAAAAATCGCCAGGAAAGGAAAAGATGGAGATTGTATGAGATGGCCTTGGGTGCTGGTCTGTCAGGCTTTGACGTTTCAATCGTCATTGAGTGTGTTCAGGACTCGTAGTACGATGAAAATGGGGTGGTAAGGAACGATATAGTATCACATTGCTAACCATATATGTCTGTATACTTCTGCGATTATGCATCTAGATGTCTTTCTACTTAACGATAGGATACTTAATGAGTGGCATGATGCGTGATAGTAATGGCAGATAATCGCCATGAAAACAACTGCTAGAACACCGGGATGACCCAAGATCCCCTCATATCTCCCTCCAGCCCTCTCTCCCAGTCTATCACCATCTCTCTAACCCAGGTTGGCTTTCTCATGGGCATAGTCTTCTGCAAATCGAATGTTTTGTAGCTTCTGAGCATAATTCTCGCCTTGTGGTTGTAAAGAAGCCCTGTACGTGGCATCGCTGTCTCTTACCTGAGTATTCCACCTGTACAGTTCCGGATCAGGACCTGTAGAAACGGGCCTAGAGAAGCGGTTGTGTACGTAGATAGAGTTGCGTTTGGTGCTCATGCTGGCATTGTTTGGCAGCGCTTCATGGACTGAGAGTGCGCGAATCTCTGCTGGTTCAGCCTCGGAAATGGGCAGGATTTTCTTGTAGCGGTAGAATGCATCAAGGGCTGGGATGGAGAGACCGTGGACGACAATGGAGAAATTGACGAGGAAGTAGACGATAGGAACCATGGCGGCTAGGAGGTTCTCTTCCTCTTCTGTCTCCGCCTCTCCAGGCTTGGGGAACAGATGACGCGTATGCTCGACATAGAAGACGGCTCCAATACCTGGGGTGTGTCAGTTGAACTCCTTCTTGTTATACAAAGCCAACCCACCAATGGGCCCAAAGTATCCCATGAACAGCGCCTCCTTCCAATCCTTGATAACTCCGGGCATAGCCTTGTAGGCCATGAATATGGCAGGAATACGACGGAAAGCAAGGACCAGAAATCCGAGAATCATGAGCCTTCCCACAGTAATGCCAGTGACATCCGGAAGTTGGAACTCTCTCCAGGGAATGATTGTACCGATATACATGAAGCCACCAAAGTTGAGGATGACGTCGAAGCAGCTGTTGACTTCGTCGTGGCGCTTCTCGGTCTCCTCAAGGTATAGGCCATTCCAGTTCATGACGTTACCGGCGACGAAGCAAGCAAGGAGGTCGTCCGTGCCAAGTGCACCGCAGATGCCAATGAGGAACAGGCCGACTGCCATAGGCCAAAGCAAGAGACTTTCGGTGTCTATCCACTTCTTACGGAGACCGAATCGAATGGCAAATAGACTTCCAGCCCCAACAACCACCCCAATGGCGATAGCCATGGCGATTATGTACAGCCATCCTTCTACAATCCATTGCTCCATGGCCATAGGTATACCTCCACCTAGACGGCCAACGTGGGCTTCGCTGCGCCTGGTGAGAATGTTGACTGCGCGATGGGCAAGCTCGCTTGCGCCCGCGGTAATGCCTTCCTTGAAGTTGACACCCTCGAGGTCGGCATGGCGAATCAGGTAAGTGGCCAAGAGAAGAAACGGAAACCCGAACCCGTCATTCGCACCTGCTTCTGACGAGATGATTTCTCGAAGCGCACGAGGAACGAATTTGTCGGCAAAGGGACCTTTGGCCACGGCTTGAGACAAGATGGGATCTGTACAGGTGACACAGGATCCGATGACCAGCGCAGCCAAGAAGGTTATCTTGGGGACAGTGATCAAAATACACAAACTTGTGCATATCCACATGGTTGCCATGACTGGGAGGAGACATATCACCATCTCTTTCCATCGGGTTTGTTGGTACTTGGCTGGAAGCTGGAAGCCGGCGATGACAAGCTGGACACCGATGACTATGCGGCACATGCCCTATGTGGAAATAAGTGGGATGCCAACAAAGAGACATTCTTGTAGTTGTGCACCTACCAGTGTGATGGCTTCTTGCTGGCCCTCAACAGCAGAACCCCATTTCTCTGCATCGAGGAATCTGGCAGCTATCGGGCCCAGGATGATGCCTATGAGAACGGCGGGCACTAGAGTATGTGAGCAGAGGCTTTCATGGTAGCACACCTGGGTACACTGAAGAGCTGCTGACTTACGAGCTTCACCTAAATACCAGACTTGTTTGATTTTGACCGAAAGGAAACCATAGCTGATAATGAAAGCACCTGCAATGTAATTGTGTTACTTGATGCTGGAGGGAGTGAGTGCGTCAGGGGGGCGTACCTAGAACGGCGATAACAATATTAAGTTCGCTGACATCGAGAACCGGCATGATTACCCGCTTAAAGAATCCTGGAAGATGAAATATACGGTTCTAAAGAGAAGTCATACGTTTTGGAGTAATGAAGAGGTATGAGTAAGTAGTGTGAAAAAAAGGGGACGACCAGCGGGAGAAGAAAAGTTAAACAGCAGACCAGCTGCACACACGTACACAAAGACAAATTAGAACAGACAAGCAAGTGGAAGGAGGGAAGAAGGGTGCGCAAGATCGAGGTTAAGTCGCAAGGGATTCAAAAGGAATGTCCTCAACTTCCCATGCTTATTGGTTGCTACACTCTGTGACTTCGTATCTCCAGCTTTGCCCATAGAAGGTACTCCTCTCCCTGGCTTGAAACTTGAAGATGTCAGGAGGTTCTTGGCCAAGCATTCATTCCCACTCTTAGACGCCCGATAACCGAGGCCAAGCAGTGAATGGAATCGCGAAGAGAGCCAAGCTACACTCCAACCCTATCTTTGGAGACTCATGTGGGGCTCTTGTCCTTGGAATCTGTTTGAAATCCCGCCATGCCTCACCAATCGATGCGAAAAAGAAAGGCAGAGAATCCAGGAGGGAGTGGCTTCGAGTCAGCCGCGGAGAGTCTGGGCAGCTTGGCGCCTAGAATGGAGCTCCCCACCACTCACGACTTGGCATTACAGCCACTTCCAGTGATGATGAAATGCCATTGTCTCAGGCTGCTAAGTACCATGCAGTAGTGAGGTCTGTTTCCGAATGATCGTATCGAATTCTTCCAATCCTGATCGGAGCCGAGTCACGATTGTAGCGCTGTGCACGTGCGTTCATCAGCATAACTTGTATTCGTCAGCCGCCTGGAACGTAGTGGTGTTGATAGCCTTGACTTTGGGGGCCTGAACTCTGTTTGTGAGAAATACATTATGAGAGAGTAGTCAGAGCGATGGGAGGAATTTGATTGCTTCCTCTCGCGTTTGGTACGTTCTTTCAATATTCATTTTCTGATGCGGTCCTGCATGTGCATGTGCATGTTTACATCGGGCGATAGTTCACAGAGTTTGCTCTAACACCATGAATGATCGGTGAAAGATCGATTGCTTGGCGGGTTTGAAAGAAGTAAATCGCCGAAGTTGGGGGATGCTGCTGGCACATGAGTGTGCCGAGACGCCCCATCAAGAACGTACCTCATTTGCCTCAGGTCTGCCCTTGGGAGCAAAGAAGCATATTCGAGTTGTTGCCCCATTGCCATTGAGGCCGTAACTAGAATCGTCGGTCAGTGTTAGGGGAACTTTCCGATCAGACAACTAAGTCTTTTTACTCCCACGAATGACGCTTTGGCAACGATGGACCCAAAGATGCAGAGAGCCGAAGCTTAACCCAAAACTTTTCCTCATTTCTCTCCGATGATTTCTGCAGGGAAATAGCCGCAAGCCTTTGCATTCAAAGCTTCTTTCTGTTGGCTTCAAAGGCAAGTTTCCAAGATATCCAAGAATTATCATGCAAAGGAGGAATTGGCTCCGGATCAGATGTGCCGTGGATATATCCTAAGATTGATGGGATTGGCTGTCTATAATCTCCCCGGCTCCTTCGTGCTGCTCTAGCGGCTGATAATCGAATACGAACCAGGTACGCTAAGGTGTGGAGGTATATCTGTTACCCAACGTCGCATTGGACCTTTAACAGGAATTTAGGAGGCCAGTCGCCTTCATTTCGTCAGCACACTAACTGACAAAAATGTAACTGCTTCAGCTACATAGCTCTGCAGGATATGTTTTGAACAAGTGAAAAGAATATTACCCGAGTATATGAATATAGCCAGCCTAACCTTTTCCTGCAAAGTAAACTGCGCTGAATCAAGCGCTCCAAAGAAGTCCTGTCGACCAACATGGTGTTGGGCCCCCTTACCAAATTTCTCCATATCGCTATATATTAAGTACCGAATCCATGAGAGCTCTACACAATGTTAATGCTGTTCTCCTCCATCAAGATATATAGACATCATCGATACGCATGGTCAAATGCGATGCTGACTGCATGCCTCTGGGAGAAAATTATTCAACGGCGTGATCAAAAAAAGGCTCGTTGTCTTACCTATGCGGGAAATAGGTGTTGGTCGACGTTCTTCTATATTGTTAGTACATTTCCAATTCGAAGTATGTAGTTCGCAAGAGGCGTTACCAATGCGGCCTTTGGGTCGGCTCTCGAACTAAGTAGATTACAAACATTCTGCTGATACATCTTGTGTAGGCTATACACCCGGTAAGCAAGCACCACAAGATGTTGCTTCATTACCCCCGACCGGAGATAAGATGGCGATAGGATGAATTATCAATCTGACGTTTGTTTCGAGTAACTTCGATGATGCTTCGCTGGACATGTGCGCGTAACAAGAAATGCGACTAACACAGTAACAACTCCTTCTTTCGCCGCACATCGCCGACTTTGATCAAGATGCGCGATCCAGAAACAGGAAGAGAAAGCGGTGAAACGTACTCGTGGCGTGTGGAACTTGACGGCGACGGCCCGATCGAGTAGAAACTCCGATCCAAGAAGCCATTGAAGACGAAAACGGTGTCGCAAGTTTGTAGTGCCAAATCAGCTTATTGAATACGTGTGAGGTGGAAATGACGCAACCTTGTGGTGTTGCGCGCACTTTTCTTCATTCTCGCAAATACCATTGTAACTATCTCTATGAGCCATAGTTAGAGAGCAGAAAAACATATGTTAAAAAAAGAGCAGAACAAGCCACAAAGGTACGGCCGAAAGGACACCAAGGTACCAGCCATTTCACATGTAAGCGTGGGTCTTCAACGTCAGTCGTAGTGGGTCAACCCTTCAGCCCTGCATAGTCGGGCCTTTTGACCAAAAAAGCTACCCCGCATGTCGTCACACATACACACGCCTGGAGCTATCGGCTCAAAAGATATAAGATTACAAACTACCCCTCTACCCAAGATATAATAATATAGTAGAAAACATCCATCACACATCAATCTCATCTACAACACATATCCACCACACATCAATTCCATTTTCAAAAAACAATCACATCTACCACAATGTCCAAACCAAGCATCCTCTTCGTCCTAACCTCCCACAACAAACTCGGCGACACAGGCAAGCCCACGGGTTGGTACCTCCCCGAGCTCGCACACCCCTACCACGTCCTCCACAACAAAGCCAGCATCACCGTCGCCTCCCCCAAGGGCGGCGAAGCGCCCCTCGACCCCGCCTCCGTCGAAGCCGCCAAAGACGACGTCTCCGTCGCCTTCCTCAAGAACGACGAGGCCGTTTGGAAGAACACGCAGAAACTCTCCGACTTTGTTGGCAAAGCGGGAGACTTCGATGCGATCTTCTACGTTGGCGGCCACGGGCCCATGTTCGATCTCGCCGACGACGCTACGTCGCAGCAGCTCATCAAGGAGTTCTGGGAGGCTGGCAAGATTGTGTCGGCCGTGTGCCATGCGCCCGCTGTGCTCTACAATGTCAAGTTGAGTGATGGTAGTTTGCTGGTTGCGGGCAAGGAAGTGACTGCGTTCACCAACGCCGAGGAGGAACAGGTTGGATTGACGAAGGCGGTGCCGTTTTTGCCAGAGGATGCGCTGCAGAAGGCGAGTGGGGGCAAGTTCGTCAAGGCGGCGGAGCCGTGGGGGGAGAAGGTGGTTGTGTCGGGCAAGTTGATTACGGGACAGAATCCTGCGAGTGCGACGGGTGTGGGTGAGGCGCTTGCTAAGGCGTTGGGTATCTAGAGTATGATATGAGTAATGGATATGTACAGTAATGAAGTATATGCTTTGACGAAGCAATGATGGTGAGAAACACAGCAATGTATGGAGAAGTGAAGAGTAATTAAAAGACGTCATCAAATCGTTCGTATACTCATTAGCGGCTATGTATCCAAGATATTATTTACAACCACTTGAGCTTTCGCTCAAGACCTCCAGTCCCCTTTGACTGAACCTATCTCTACCCACTTCACATATACTCATATACGTATGCGTACTCCGTCACCGTCTCGTAGACGAGAACCGGCGGGCAAACCGGCGGGTGTGCAGGGTATCCCGGCGCCTTTGTGGGGACTGGAGGCGGAACAGCCGGATACGAAACATGTCCAGCAGGCAGAGAAGGCGTCTCATGGGGCTGAACAGGTGTGTTTATGTAGCTGGAAGCCGGGATAGTCGAGTTGCCATAATGCGCTGAAGTTGGGATGATGGTTATGGGATGGGCTGTTGTTCCTGGCTCGTCAGTGCATGTCGTTGAAGCGGTTCCATTGGCCGTGGTTACGGGGACGTGGGAAGAGACCGGGGGCGCAGAAGGGATGTAGGAAGGAACCATGGTAGAAGGTACGTGGGAAGGAGGAGCCAGAGTAGTTGGGTGGAGGGATGGGCTCGGGGGGCTGGGGATAACTGCAGTGCTGGTGGACTGGATATCCGAGGAGGTAACTGGAATGGAAGGCTCAGGAACTACTACGGTACTTGAAGGCTCGGTGGAACTGACCTCGGAGGTAGAGGCCGCAGAAGTGGGCGCAGGCGTGGGAGTAGGCTCTGGTGAAGGTGTAGGCGTGGGAGTAGGCGTAGCCGAGCTGGACAAGACAGACGATGAAGAAGGCTTGGCCAGAAGCGGCGTAAGCTTGTCGACAACCCACGACGAAGACTCATCTGTGTACAGCTCAAAGTAGTTGAGATGCTGGGCAACGTTGGTACCGCCAGCGCAAATTGGGTCGCCAGCAGCGCAGTATGAACGCAAGACGGAAGAGAAACCATTCATGCGCTCAAGATTGGCGCCCGTACGTGGCCAGACCTGCTTGTCGGCGCCATCGAGCACGTTGTATGGCTGGTTGGCAGTATGCTTGACATCACCCCAGAGGAGAACCGCCTTGAGAGCCTGGCCAGCCTTGGATTTGGGGTCAAGACCTGTAGTCTGCGGATCAACATCGCACGCGTCCTCACCTCCACCACTGAGTATAGCACCGCCGACCATGGCACCTTGAGAGTAACCGTTGAGGACGAGCAAGGTGTCCGGGCACTTGGCATTGTACTCGGTGATTTGCCTGACGCCGTTCACGGCACCTTCCTGGATAGTCGGGCAGTACGGGACACCAAGAGTACCATCGAAGACGACGTCCATGTAGTCGCAAGTGATGCCTTTGGCCTGAAACTTTGCGCAAGTAGCATCGCTAAATGGTGAGGTGCGTCCGTCGTGGTACGGAGCATCGTTTCCGCGGGCCATAAAGATGGCTACATCGATACAATCGGCGGTAAGCTTTGGAGGAGTAGTGCCTTGCGCACTGGCGAGAGGAAGAGCAGCGAGGACAACAGCTGTGAGGCTTTGCCTGAGCGAAGGTGTTGATGTCATATTGTCGATCTCGGGGATTTGAATTATCTTTCCCTTCTGGGCAGTTGACAGGTTATATTAAAGGTCGACAGACTCGATAGCGACGGTCGTTATGATATTAATGATTAGGTATAAGAGTAGAGCATTAACCAAACCCCCCTTTGTCGTGAAGTGGAGCGAAAGTGGATGACCCGGATACTCGGACAACGTGGTACACGACAAGCAGGGAGGAGTGAAGACCGTGTAAGAAGAATCTGAGACGACGACGGCGGATACTCAAGATATGTCACACTGTCAGTGGAGCCAGCCCCCCGTATTCAAGGGCCGTCATGGGTCAATCTATCGGGATGTCTGTGGGTACCAAGAAGACGATCGAACAAGGGCGCATGTCGGCAAGCGCATACTCCAGGCTTTGGACAAGTTGCTTGAGCTGTCAGCACTGCGCTAGCTCAGTGAAATATTGTATATCCACAGATGATGCAGTCGTAAATGGTTAGCCAGGCGCTGCTAGCACGGGAGAGGCAGTACAGTATGTTGGTGGTGCGTTGTGCGGCATGCCTTGCATTGCAACCCCGGCATTATGCCGTATCAGGTGAGCAGCAATAAGCCACCCGCCCAGGCCAGGCCCATGCAGCACGCGAGAGACACGGGATTAACGGCGAAACCGTTGGGGCTGAACCTTCTCTTCAGCGTCATTCCAGATCTCTCTCAACGAGCACTCGAAACGTCCACGGTTCGCGTATCGCACGCTGTTCCGTCAATTCGGCCGAGTTAGTGTGCATTTGCCATGTGCGGCGGAAAAGTCGTCCCGAAACTCGGGAGCATGGAGACCCTGCCCATCCCCCGTCTCAAGCTATACTGCTCCTGCGTAAAAGACCGCCGTAGTCCCCCTCTGGTTCCTCAAGTATCCCGAAAGAGTAAGTGACCCCGGATCGACTTCCCTGTCTACCGATGTGCACAGCACAGGAATAAAACCTGGTGATGGTGCACTAACAACACCGTTGTTGCATCCCAGACCAGAGTTTGGATACCAGAAAATCTCATCGTGACGGCTCTCGTCTCCCGGTCAAAAGTCGGCTTCGCAATTAGAGCCCTGCGCTATCTATGACAGCAATATCGTGACTCGCCAGCCTGTCGGCTGTAATACGAATGTAAGTATTTTTTGGGTCGCTTGCGCAATGGCGGCGGGTCAGTGCTGCCACCTGCGTAAGGTCGTTGCAGACGTGAAGCGGCGCCGTGTTAGCGCCCTACCCTTTGGCCTTGGACATGACGACGACGTGTGTGAAGGAATCCACTTGGCACTGCGCGCAAAACAAAAACAGGCTTCCAGAAAGCAGGCTGGGTAGCATTCGGGTAATAGGTTGGGCGACCCGTGTGGCGGGACTCGTATCAAAGTCAGAGTATGATTCGGCCTGTCAAGGCATACCCGCAGTATGCGACTGTTGTTGTCCAGAAATACGATCTCACGGCTGGCGGGACGGGAAGTTCTTTGTCGCCACTGGCGCAATAGTCGTGTCTGTTTTTAGTGTGGCTATTTCCGGTCAATTTTTCTATTCGTCCGTGTCGCATGTTATCGCAGAAAGTAATATATTGGACAAAAAACCCGCTGATACTACAACTCCAGAAGTAGAAGTGTTTTCTATTGAGAATTCCTTTGGTGCAAAATGCCTCGCCTAGCAAACACACCCGCACGTGATAGCAAGCACGTCACATGACATTCCTTGGCATAGCTTCGATCGATCATTGTTACATCTTTGCCGACCGGAGCAAATCATCAAACAATTTACCAAGACCACAAAACAAGCCCGAATCTCTCCGTCGCGACCAACTCACGCCGATCTCTTCTCATCTCCCTAACTTCCCTCCTATCTCCTTTCATTCCGCCTGTCCCTCTACTCCCTTTACGTACTTTACCAATGTCAACCATCGCCAAGTCCCCTCCTCACCCAAACACTCTCAAAAACTCAAGTCATAACCCTATTTTACTACGCTAAAAGCCCTAATCGGTAGTAAAATAAAACATCTACTTACCACTTCTATATGCTACAAGTACACGGTGCAAAGCTACATTGATTGATGTGAACGGGGATCCGTAGGCCAACGGGTAATTAGATTGGCTTTATTACCACCGTGCGTTGCGAGGACGGGGTAATATCGGTTGGTGGGCTGGGATGACAGGATGATAGGTACCCGTATTAAAGTTTGCTCGGTAGCCAAGGGATCGCGGTTCGCGTTCTGGAATGTCAAGTTGTCTCGTTGAGGCCACGTGATAATGATGGCTGCGACTGGATAGTGTTGTGGAAGGTTGCAGGGTGATGTTTGTTTGCCTTTGGGGATGACACGACATATATTTCATATACGATGTAATATGGAGGACCTGTTGCAGTTGGGATCTACCAGGCTTGAAGCTCCAATAGCCTGATCTGAACGGTAATAGTGAAGGAGTTTAAAAGAAGACTAGTCTTGTAATGTAACTGATGTCACCGTTACAGTTACTTAGTTCGATTTCTTAACCTTAACAATAGCCTACTGATAGTACTAGCTATTATGTAGGTGTTAGCAATCCCAAGTTCATAAGCCTAGAGCAAGAACATACCATTGAAGCGAGGTGGCCGAAGTTCTTCGAATATGGTATGCATGGCCAAATCTTCTATGGTATTGCGTCCGATAATCACCTCGGTATGTGGATAATCAATGACCTTGAAGGTGGTGATTTCATAGCGGGGTGGCAAGTTGTCGCGATTGCCAGATTTTACAACATGCCATCTTCCTTGGACTTCACCCAGGAAGTTTACCACAAGGCCATTGATAATAGAGGAATGGCTGTAGTTCTTGTAGGGTTGCCACTCTACACAACTCTCCCTGAGGAATCGGGAAGTGACTAAGTTGTAATCACACTGGGTATCGAACCACACTACGCCAATGACGTACATCGACCATTTTAGGATATTCTTGTCTTGAAGGGAAATATTAATCATTTTCCAGAATGTTACGGACGGCAACCGTGGAAGAAGGATCCGGGTAAGTCTAGGGGAAGTGGCGGAGGAAGTCGAGAAAAATGAATCGTGTGTATGAAAGGCCATTGGGGAGTCGTGGATGTCTTCACAGATAAACGCTTCTGACGAGAAACTGTAAGGATTCAACAGGGTCGTCAACGAACTAGAGGGTCTGTCTTCTCCCATCTCTGGGATATGTTGTGCTAATGGTAGGTCCGAGGGTATTTGCTCTGTCTGTGCAGCCTTGGTAGTAACTCCTGCACCTTCGCCAATAACGTCCGACAGTGTGCCTGATCGATCGAATGCGCATGAAGTAGGCGTCGTAGTGTTTGCCACTGCAGATTCCATTTCTGCTACTAGTGCAGGTGTCGTAGTGTCCCCTCTCACAGGTATGTGATCCTCCCAAAGAGTCTCTTCGACTGTGTCCACAATCAAAGCATAGTTGTCGCGCACGAACTCTGCTGTAAAACGTCCCCGTAGAGCTCTCTCAATCTCTCGCCACATCTGTCTCTCCATATACGGAATTGAAGATGCTGTGTAGAAGGTCCTGATAGATGCAGTGTCTTCTGAATCCTCCGGGCCGTTCATGAGCTCAGCAATTGCTCGTTTGATGGCATCCGCATCAACATTCTGTTTCATGTTTTTGTTGTAAACATGACTCAGATTGATTTGTAGACTCATCAGCCTAAACCTAACATCAATGACCTCTTCATTGAGCGAGAGGGGAGAAAATCCGGTTGTATCTGCGACATTGCTACAGCTGTTGTCTTCAATCAATGGTACAAGCCTCCGCAAATCGAATAATATCGAAGCGCATTCGCGAAAGACACTCTGTAGCTGAGGATCGTTTGGCGGGAGACTAGCTTGTAGTTCTTTTGCATACTCTTCAACAAACTCCGCGGTCCCGTGAAGGACATCTACGCGATGAAGAAGGTTTTCTGAGACACCTTTTACGTCACAGCAATGGTTGTAGAGGTGCTCTGTTACCTGTCGTATCTCGGTGACATGATCTAGAGTCTGTGATTAGCAGGGTCACGTATCGATTACTTATAGGACCTTGAGTGAATAAGATGGCCGTCAACAAACACCTAGTGCATTTTAGTTGACTATTCTTATCGCTTGCGCTTACTGATGGTGATATCTCTACCAGCTTGGATGTTGCCGTAGAAAATCGCGCCACCCCCGCCATTTACTGCTTCGTTCGACCGGTCCATCTGTCGAAAAAAGGACCAGCCTTTGTCGCTTAGAGCTTTAAGTAGCCTCAAAAGTATTGCGATGTCAGTGAATGATGTAGAGGTCAATCAGTCGAACTTATGACTCAGTGACTCATCACCGTATGCGAAGCTAACGTTGTGCATGTGTTGATTTGTCGCTTACAAAACCTCACCCCGCTGCGGCTGAGGCTGTGAGGAAAGCATAGCCTCAGCCTAGCGTTGATGCATTCAGCTCCATTCCCTAGGTTACCCCAAATCTGATCCGATCCGATCCACATGACCACCTTGTGAGATACATATCAGTCGTGTTGGCAGCTACATCAGACTTTGCATGAGACGTCACAAGCCGTATAATTCTGCTATTTGGATCCCAGAGGTATATGCAATGCCTATATTGGGTGTTTTCAGTCAGAAAAAGAGGAAGCAGCCGCAGGATGGGCAACAAGCTAAGCTGGCTGACCAACTGTTCTCTACCGCAGGACCAGAACCAATTCAGTGAGTAAACAATAGTATGAGGCGAGAAACAGGAGATTGATTGAAGATAGAATGGCCGTCCGATCATCTTCGTCGCACATAGTCTTGGAGGGTTGGTTGTTGAGCAGGCACTACTAATTGCCCGCGGCTCCTCAGAACCGCACGTGAAACCTCTTCTACACAACACCGTCGCAATCGCCTTTATGGGAACACCGCATCTTGGTTCAAGAAAAGCTGACTGGGCACATTCAATCACGCGTCTTTCAAATTTGTTGCGCAAGACGAATAAAGAAATCGTGGCCGTTTTGCAGCCAGGGTCGGAAACACTAGCAAACCTACAACAAGAATTTCATACCATGTTAGAAGATAGAAAGAAGAATGAAAGGAAGAGGATCGAAATTTTCTGCTTCTATGAAGAACTGCCTTACCGAGGTATTGGTCAGGTATGTGTCATCTTTGTACGACTAGCGCTCTACACTACCTAGTCCGCTGTTATGTAACCCCATTTATGCCTCTAAAACCTTGTTTTAGCGCTGCGACTTGCTTCTCGAAGTTCATAGTTGAGAATCTGGATTTCGCGATATGCGATTATCTCAGAAGAGCTAACAGGACATTAGATTGTTCCACGCGAATCATCCATTCTTCCAGGGTATCCCAACATCAGTATCCATAGTAATCATTCAGATATGACGAAATTCAGCGGCGAACTAGACTCTGGATATATTCGACTTCGTGATCAGCTATGGCTCTGGATTCAAGCATTCAACAAAACCAAAGGAGTCAGCGCAGTGTCTGAGCAATCGCAAGTACAGGCCCGAGACACACCGCAGGATAGAAGTGCCGTATCATCCAATGGAGGAGCGATCTTCATGGGGAGTGTTAGTGCTGGAAGATACTTCACTTACAACTCCAATTAACTATATCCTACCCAATATTATCTTAGTGTTCTAGACCTAAGGTATCCGGGCCGTTCCGCGACCTATTTTCGTCCGCGCAAGATGGTTTGGAATATCCGAACCCTAATTTGTTAGTTTCTGGGTTGCAATAATTTATGCTGTATGGACGGGACGATTCCATGTCGTTTCTAACTGCCAGAGGTCATGCGTTGTAAGTATCCACCGCTAAGGGCTCCGCTAGGTCTGACAGCGGGTAAGTGAGGCATTGCATGACTCGCCACGACCTGTTTTACTACAGTGAACTTCTTTGAGTTGATGTAGCGTTCTTGGGCTTTTCATTGTGTCGGCATCTCGTGGTTGTTCAGGAGACCTCAAATATTCGCACATCACATTGGATGGGTCAGAATAGGTAGAAGTCTGCCCCTCGGAGAAAGGCCGTGATATGCGCCACTCGCTTGCCAGGTACTTTATTGGTATGGCTTTTTCAGCTGAACATCGTAGGTTGGCTATATCGGGAGCTATCCCGTCCCGCCTGACCCCTCTTTGTCACCGAACTACGAGATCAAAACCGAATCAGGACTCCTAGAAACAGCGCCTTTGATCACCTTGGAGTCGCATCTCTATTGCGCGACATAGGCACAACCACCAACTACCAAATACTCATACTTTGCAAACTCTATCACCACCAGCTCACCATGTACGGTGCCCCACCTGGATTCCCACCACAGCCTCAGCAGCCGGCACCTCCGCCATCAGGCTGGACCGAACACTTGTTCTACACAAATGGGAAGCCCACACCGGCCTTTGAAGCATTGATGAAGGAGTTCTTTGTGAAGCTTGATCCCAGAGGCACCGGATACATAACCCCAGAAGCCTTTTCTAGCTTCTTAGAGGCATCGCGCGTCAAGGATTCGGACAATATCTGTAAGTCGCCTTTTGCACTACAGCGAAGCTTTGAATTGCAAACAACCGTCGCACTAGAGAATGCTAACCCTTTCGCGTTTTAACGTATAGGGAAGAGAAGTCTCAAGAACGGTGGTATGTTTGCAAAGGAGGATATGGCCGACTTCGAGCTCAAGGCCGCACTCGAAGGCTTCTACTTCGACCACAAGGTCGTGGTGCGCAATCCCAACGCGCCACAGTTGCCATACGGTGGCATGCCTCTCCTCAGCCTAGCCGGGTTCATCGATTTCATGTCAGTCGAATATGCGTCGGATCCGGACGACATATTTGTCGTGCCTGGACTGAACAATGCATTGCGCGTGTACAACATCTGGCCAGAGCGTGGGCCCTTGCCGCGATACGTGTTTCCTGAGAAGCGGCCGATGGAGATCCAGCAGCGCATCGATCAGGCAAGCCAACGCTGTGCTGCGAATGCGCAGGAGAAGATCATGGCGAACCAGGCACGGCTTCTGTTGGAACAGCGGGGTCGGCAATATGCCCTTGATTTGATTGACGGGCCTCGTAGATACTACTATTGAGGACTCTAAAGAGCCCACAATACTGAGAACGGGACCGTTGGGTTGGCCTGAAACCAACTTAATGTCTACCTTGATGGTATATAAATCACTATATATCCTTTCATGCTCGTGTAAAGTTCGGCGTATACACTCGTGGTGCACTGTGGCTGAGTACGAATCGCAGCAACCAAGCTTCTAGGCACCCCTGAGCGCTACGTACAACGCCGTAGTATTTTGGAGTGAACTCAAACGCCTCATCAAAACTCGGATAAGACTTACGGGTGAGTCGCCAAAATTATCGCAGCGCGCGGACATGCAGAAGTACCTCCAGTCCGTAGTTGCCTGCGTGGGAGTCAAGTGTTTATCCCTGCTTCTTCGATCTGGTCCTGGCGTGATTGGTGCACAGGTTCGCGCACAAATGCTTTGGGCCGGCCACAGATGCGATTTCAATCCATATGGCTGGTGCATTATTCTTTACTGAGTCCTATTGTGCGCATATATGATATTCATTCCGGAAAATACAATTGGTTTGTTGTCGATAGGGGATTGCGGTACCACGGGTTGTAGTCAATGATAACCACAGAGCAACCTTATGCAACGCCAGGGAATATAGAATTAGCCGACCGTAAAAGAGAATTTGAACGCCCATAAAAGCGATTCAGGACGTTTTGCTCCTCGCTTAGCCAACCTCTTCATCCACAATCATCTCGAGCGGAAACATACAACGACACAAACGTCGCTAAAAGGTCAGGCCCTACGATCTAAGCCTCCATCCAAATCAACAAACATTCCACAGCCGCGATGCGAGAAGTAGGCAAATCTCCGTTCATGGCCTTGCCGACCGAACTGCGCTGTCAAACATACAGTTATTTGCAGGAAATCGTCTACGAGCCCATTTTCCCCGGGCCCTGCATGTGCAAGTGGGACATATGCCGAATGCCAACCGCACTACTGCAACTTAACAAGACCATCTACGAAGAGCTGGAGCACCCCTCGATGCAGAAGTTATTGCAAAAGGCCAACAATCAGCTTCTACCCAAAATTGTTCTCTACCCGACGCGCAATGAGATGGACGCTGCATACTTGGCGCTCGCACATGCGCTCCATCAAGTCAACATACGCTTCTATCGGCATTTCGGTAGGCCCAACGACTACGGCAACGAGACGATCAATAATATCGGCCTTGACCTCACACTTTGGTGCAACGAGCCGCCTGCAGTCTCGCAGTTTCCTAATATATATATATATAGCAGCCTTCGCTACCTGGGCTGGGTGTAAGACCGAGCGTTTCGGCAGGTTTGTGAGGCAGACTTTGGAGAGGATGGCGATCAGGAGAACGTGCGAGATTCGCTTTCGGATCTTGGCACACCCATTGGAAGTTTCTGGGCGAGGCGATGAGTCTGGAGACTTGATGGCATACTACGCAACCTGCGGCTCAATAGCAGCGCTATTAGGTGCATGCAGAGTGCAGGGAGTGCGGGGGGCGCTGGGTGGCCAGAAGGATGACGAATTTACGTATCTCTTAAGTGCGTACAAGAGAGAGATCGTGGCTTGTTTGCTATGGTTGGCTTGCTCTGATGAGTGTTTGCGCGAGCGAATTCATCTGTACCTAGTCTACTTCAGTAATAGTAGCAGTAAGAAATTTGATAATCCCAGAATATATTCGATAAACCCGCCAATGGCGCCTAGAGATATACATAGCTTCACTACTACTTTACAGATCCTTTATTGGCTGCCCATGTGATGGTCTCGATAATGGTGAGCCATGTGTAGGATGGAACGAATGTTTTTTGCGGCCATATGGTGTTCTTGGTACGCGAATGCGATGGCAAGCACTGCTGTTGGAAACATTGCTTCCTAAGCCCCATTTCCTTTTTAAAGTCCCATAATTTATCGCTTATACATTATCAGACGCCTACAGCCTCCATACCATATTATAACAACCACTAAGGGTTGAGACTTAGGTTGAGATTAGAGTGCAGGGAGTTCTTTTCCAAAGGATATCCTTCTATAGATGGATCTCTCTTATCTATCAAGGCATTTTGGGAAAAAAACGTCTAAGACATAGTTCGTGCGCTCTCTGCAAGACACATCTCGCTTCGAAGTTTTAGGTATCTACGAATAGTAGTTTGGCCTGGAAGAATTAAGCGCGAGACTCTGTATCTGACTCACACGCCCGGTTTCCTAATGCAGCATGGGTTCTAAGTCATGAACCTCTCCGTATGGTCTTCTTGATGCCAATCGCATTTTTTTAACCAAGGCGAGCCTAATGCGAGAAGCTGGAAATGTCATGTGTGTCATGGGGTCGTTAAGTCAAACCCCTTATTCACAATTTTGGGGGTTATAACATGTATTCGCACCATTTTTACCTTGTTTCCTTTGAATATCATGATGCCCTGTGTCAAAATTGAAACTATCTAGGCGTCGATATGGGTCCCACTGGGGTTCCTCGCTTACGCGATGTAACAGGCATTGTAACTTTTCTCCTTCCCTTACTAATCTGAAATGCCGACACTGTTGACGATGAGCTACCGAGCTTACGTAGATGCCTCTGACGAGTAACTTCGCGGTAAATGGACTTGAAAGGATCCTCTTTGCGCCTCGAAATGAGCCTGAACCCCACCCCACTAGGTTTGGCGTAAAGAGCATACAGGCCGACAAGAAAGATCATGTAAACAAGACGCCATGCGCTGATTTCTACCCACCGGATGAAAATGATAGGTGCCGTGTTGAGCGCTAGGACGGTATAAGTCTCGATTGGAGTAGGTATGGACGGGACCGGTGCCAGATTGCCTCTATAGCGATCGTACGACAACCATTCAAACTCTTGGCATCGACGACTTCGAATCATTGCGCTGAATTCGTACGGGTATCGTTCGACTCCCTTGAGTATGTCGTTTTCGTTACAAGGGATTCGAATCGAATGGAAAAGATCGATGCAAAACCTTTGGCAATTATTCGAAAGGGGCCTGTACTGTTGTTGCATCATCAGAGAGACCATTTGTACTAGCAGTATTAGCCTGAAAACCATGCTTCATGTGGGGCATACAAACCGTATTCCTGGATGTTAGAGTTGTTGAGCAGAGTATCACCGACAACTTGTCGAGCCCATCCATCTGTTTGGGAATAACGTCGGGTTTGCCGTCGAGAAGCTCCTTTCAGGACTCTGATCTCGTGTAAAGTCCCTTTGTAGGGCTCATCCTCAATAAGAAGAGCCCAGTGAGACAACGTTACCAAGCTTCCCCTGCCTGGATTCCCCACTTTGTTCATCATCCTTCGTAGCCGATCTACTGGGCGTGTTAAGAGGACTAAGCGTCGAAGTCTGAGATTTGAGGGCAATGGCAGGGGCCGTCGAATGCTAGATAAATTGATGATTTGCTCAACCGCAGGGTGCCTAATTATTTCGCCCCCTGAGCCCGTTACAGCGGCCTTCCACGCTGCAAAATGTATTCTCTTTCGGACCCCAGGTACCAAAATGCTGTCTCGCTGGATGATATGCAAAGTACGGATATCGTAGAGTGCAAAGTGCCCCCCATAATCTTGAATGCCCCCATCTTCGATTGTCCCTTTTATATAGACACGATCCAGATATGCCAGGACTTTAGAAAGGAGGGTCGATGAATCCATGAATTTGTCCCATTCTCTGGTGTAAAAGACTAATGGATCTTCTGAAGGGGAGGTTTTTACTTGCTTCAGAATCTCTCCTAAATTGTCTTCAATGTGATCAATGAGTTTCATGTACAAGGACATGCCACGGAGGTTTTGCGAAGCTTTTTGCCACTTTAGGACCATCTCAGGCGGAGTATCAGGGAATTGAGACTTCTTCGTACAATACGCATGCGTCGCACTATAATGTGTCTTTTAGAAAATATCAAGGAAAAGTCGACCCAGTCCTGAACTTGCCTATAAATCTCGACGTACTGTTTCACGTTGTGGCTTCATTAGTGACTTCAATCGCACGAGAAAGGGGACGTGAAGGCGACACATACGAGCTTGGTACGTCCTTGTATGCCTTCAAGCATGAGCAAAGGGAGTCTTTCCTCGATATAAGCCCATCTGAGTGGTTTTAGATCTTGAAATCAACTTGAATTATCAAACTCTTAAGCTCACGTCGAGTTAGCATCCTCCGGGTCAAACTGGTCCCTCAGGATATGGTAGGGCTTCCGCATGAAGGGCACTAAGATGGACATCGATGAAGAATCGGCATAAGCCACTCGAGAAGTCATGAGGCCTTTGAAAGTTGTGACACGTGGTAGGCGGAGGAAATGGATAGCTTATAGAACTTCTTAGAAGGGGGCTTTTCCAAACTGCCGGCAAGGCTATATCCAATCGGGATGAGTATCACGTGTGGATCGAGTGGTGCGACTTCTACTAACAGGCTGCGGCGAACTTGTAGTCGTTGTGATCAGCTAGTTCCGACCAATGTAGGCATTCAGCAAAAAAACAATATCTTTCCCCTCAGGAACGCAGGATGGTAGGAAAGTAAGCACTCTCCGATCGTGTTCAGCCGCACCTGCGCTCGCCAAGTGGCTTTGAGTTTGGCGCCACAAGGCTGTCCACGTTACCCCGCAGCTGAACTTAGGTCAGTATATACTGATAAATGGCCCTGCACTTATCGAAGCTCTTTATGTACCGTTATTTTCCTAAGGTTAGTTCGAAGATCCAACAAGCTTAATCCCCCATCTACGCTCTTTGGTAAGCAGGTATGCTCACGCCGAAACTTCCCTTTGTCTCGTGGTTTGGGCCCTGGAGAGCAGCTTCTCAGCCCATTCATCATTTTCTTGCTTCAAAGGGCGACGATAGGTGGAGATCGAGTAAATTGTCGGAGTTGACCGTTGTGATTATCACGGTAAGTTGTGCGCGAATCCGGAATAGGCGCGTCTCTTTATTTGCTCACCAGCTCAGGGTGCTCTCATTGCGGGCGTTGTCAGTAGCGCGTTTTCGTGGCCAACAATCAATGATGCTCCTTGGACAGCAAAAGCATTACTATATTCGGCCTTGATCCTTTCTTTGACCTCAATATCTATCGGAACTCAGCAGAGCATTGCGTTATACCGAATTGGGGGCCATGAAGACGGCCTGGAGACGCTTCAGGCGCTTTTGAAAAGCCCGCGTGGAAAAAATGCCAGCAAGCTTCAGCTATATATATGGCAAGTGCCCGTCATGATGCTTAACATTGCTATTTTGGTATTTCTGATCGGCCTCATGGTGTTAATTTGGGCTCGCGCGGCAGAGCAGCCGTCGTGGGATCAAGATATGAGGGTACGTATATACATAGCTTACCCTGACCAGCATACTTTGCTTACCAGAATTAAAACAGATCGCTTTCGTTGCGACCCTAGCCGGACTATTTGCCCTCATTAACTACATAATTGGGACCTTTGCTCTTTATAACATTAACATATCCCAACCGACTGGGAACAAGAAATCGCCTCACGATACGAACCCTAATTGTGAAAGCGGTCAAGCAGGTCTTACATGTTCTAGTAATTCCAACAAGTAGCCATGACCGAAAACCAAAAGTAACTCCTAGATTTTAAAGGCTGTCTTCGTATTAAAACTAATTTTCTCTTCACATTCTGATTGGGAGACTTAAACCGCACTAGCGGTGAAGATACGAAGAGTTCTCTCCTAGGTACAAGCGAGCGGGACCGCCTATTATATGCCTTTACTTATCATTACTCCTAACCATAAATCTTAGAATCGCCCACTAAAAAGCGGTTGCAATCATATTAATAATCGCTACACTTCTAGCATTAGCGCTGCCGCACGTGTATACACTCCTATCAGCCACTATAGAGCTAAGAACTTAACGGATTCTAGCCACCGCAACCACAAGATATATAGCCCTTTCCTACGGGTGCATGACAGACTCTAAATCAGCTGTGGGCAACACAGATTTCGACTGAGCTTAAGGGAGCTATTGTATCAGGGAAAACAACTATGTCGGTGAAGTAACCTCGAACAACAAATTGTCAGAGCAAGCTACCACAGCACTTTCCCTAAGACCCCGTAAGGCCCGGAGAATCGCAGGCCCAGAGAGTCTTCTAGGCAGAAGTAAGCCGTCTACAGATATGTCTTAAAGCTCTGTCTACTTTAGATAATATTATGCTATACGTCACATCAATAACTCAAGGATAAAAGTTTTAGAAAGCTTCTTCAGCACCAAACCTTTGAGTACACATTTCCAAGGTCCTAGAAATATCGAAGAAATGTTGTTGTAATACTAAAATCATGTTCAATATCTAAACGTTAATTCTGATTTTAGAAAAGGTGATATTCTGAATTTCGACCTTGTGGATTCCTTGGCGTCATGGTAAGAATTTTGGTACTATCCCGAAGAAAACCCACTGCGCCGCCCCTCCGTAATAGGCATCATCACCCTCACCGCCGGTGCATTCAAAGGTTAATCACGGTACAATACTGGTATGAATATTACTACGGTTCACCGCTAGTGTATTTCAAGCTTTACTATGGTATAATACCAATTATTGCCTCCAACTATAAAGCTCCCATCAGCCACTGCAAAGTCGAGAACTTGACGACTTTTAGCCTCTCCTTTAGCTGTGCCGGTTCCTGCTCGATACTCGTTCCTGTCTCCTTCAACTTAAGCTCCTCCACATTGTCAACCGCAACCGCTATCACAAGATGTCCGGCCCTGCCCCCCCACATGCGTGGAAGGATCCAAAAAAGGCGTCGGCAGAGACATTTCAAACTGAACTTGAGACTGCTGTTATATCAGGAATAGGGTACCGCATCCGCAGAGACTACAAGAAGATGTCTGCAGTCCTTATTCACTCCGAAGACGACACTGGCTGCGATGACCTCGAGGAACAACTAGCAGAGACCCTCCGAAACTTCTACAGCATCGATAATATTAAACGCCTTCTGCTCGGGAACGGAAACCCATATCTGGCTATTTCTCGCGTCATCAATGAACTGGCAGATACGGGCTACACAGGCAAGGGCTGTCTTGTTATCCTTGTTTTTGCTAGCCAAGGACAGGTTCACTCTAAGGCCAATACGGATCCGTTCCGAGGACCAGAGGACAGGCTGGTGTTCGGTGCTGATGGAAACTCCCGCACGAGAGGATTTGATTGGAAAACCGCAACCTTTGCCCTCAGCGAGGAAGACTGTGAGATCCTTCACATCATGGACTGCTGCTACGCCGAAGACATGGAGGCAGATGCCGAGGTATTGGCTGCTGCAACGGAAACGATTAGTGCAGATGGCAATAAGTGCTTCGTGAAGGCCCTCATCACTGCACTCCGTGACTTCGCTCCTGAGCCTTTCAGCATCTACAGCCTCCACCAAGCGCTCGTGTTAAACCGAACTGATCTGAACCTCGAATGCATTCCCTTCTACCAAAAACGCGAGAACAGAAGTTCGATCGTCTTAGGGGGATGGACAGGCCAGGTTCCAGCTCACAAGCCAGATAGCCCACGCATCTTACTCACGGTGCATATTGAAGAAGATCTCAATATGCGGGATATCGAAGACTGGAAGGAATGGCTCGAAGATCTTTTACCGCGTTCAGTTATGAATATGGAAATTAAACTGGAAGGCGTCTGGAATGCTTGGTCTTCAGTGCTCCTCATTTCTCTCCCGATCTCGGTTTGGACCCAGTTGGACCGCTGCAACACGGCGCTCCACTATGTCGGTCAAGTGACCTCGCATAATAGATTGCTAGAGCAAGTTGCTCCTAAAAAGTAGTTTATCGGAGGAAAATCAATTGTGATACTAAAACGTTCTTGGAAGAGAAGAGAGAAGGTTTGAGACCGTGAGCTTGGAGGATTCCTTATCGTGATATTAAACGAATATATCTTCTCGAAAGAATCTACCACGCTACTTCTCTCTTGTAATCACAGACAAGAGGAATAGTGAAGTATTCAAGTAAATCCCCGCTTCCCGCTTCAATATTAATGAATAAAACAATATCAACTCCACTCTTCAATCCCTCTTCCCAGTATCAACAGGGACATCCTGATGACTCCCCGATCCACTCACCACACCCAAAGTCAACGTCCCCGACCTTGGCGCTCCATACCCATTTAGCACCGCCAAATCCTCCTCCACATCGCTAAAATACTTGTAATCCAACCCCCTCAACTCCTCCTCCTCAGTAGCTCTAATATGGCAACCCGGAATCTTATTAATAATGAAGAGCAAAATGATGGAAACGACAAACGACCAGGCAGCGCAGGTAGTCGCGGCGGCAAGCTGGTATCCCATTTGCTTCCAATTATGGTTCCACCAGCCGCCCTCATAGGTATTGCTTACACCATCGAGCGCAGGCACGGTTTTGGAGGCGAAGAAGCCGGTCAGGATGTCGCCCACGAAACCACCCACGCCGTGGATGGCGAAGATGTCGAGGCCCTCGTCGACGCGGAGCAGGTGCTTGTATTTCACGGTGAAGAAGCAAGTGCAAGATGTGAGTGCGCCGACCAACGCGGCGGTTTCGATGGGGATGAAACCGCAGGCGGGGGTGATGCCGACGAGACCCGAGATGATGCCGGAGCAGAAACCTATGATGGAGAATTTGCGCGTGAAGAGGTATTCGAGGGCGACCCAGGCGAGGCCGCCGCCTGAGGCTGCGAGGTTGGTGTTGCAGACGATGTAGATGGATCTGATTGACAAGTTCGCCGTTGAAGCACCTTAGTCACGTATTAGCCATGTGTGCCCATTGCCACGCAAAAGACCTAGATACCCCCCCAAACTCACCATTAAACGCAAACCACCCAAACCAAATAAACACCGTCCCCAGCCCAATCAAAAACGAATTATGCGGCCGAAAATGCGGCACCCGCGCATGCAGCGACTCCTTTGCCGGATCCACACGGTGACCCAGCATAATCGCCCACGCCAGCGCCGCAAACCCAGACGCAATATGTACGGGACCCGATCCCGCAAAATCCAGCACTCCAAGCTGATACAACCACCCGCTCGGATTCCACTCCGCATACGCAAGAATATAGTACACAAACGTCGTCCAGCACAAGAGGAAAATCATCGACGGTCCCAACCTCCCTCGCTCTAGCATTGCGCCCGCCAGAATCATCGCCGTAGCCGTAACAAAGGTAAATCCGAAACACGCATACAGGATATCGGGGATATCGCTATTTGCAAGAGATGGATACCCGAGGACGGTGTGCAATCCTGCTTTGGAGAGGTCGCCGATAAATGGACCAGAGGTGTGGGATTGGTAGAGCGAGTAGCCGTAGACCCAGAATTGGATGCCGGCGGCGCAGGCGCAGAAGAGGGATTGGAAAATCATCGTCATGGCGGCTTTGCGGCGGTGCATACCCGCGTAGAGGAAGCCGATTGCTGGGGTGATTTGCCTGATGTAAGAGTTAGTTTTGGGGGGAGGGGTTTATGTTTCTTGTCTATCGGGTCCTGGAATGGATATACGTACCAGCACAGGACTGTGCTGACGAGCATCCAGCATAGGTCGCCCTTGTCATATGGAGCGTTGAGGTCGGTAGTCAGTGGATCGCCTCCAGTCGGAGTGGTGTTGTAGTCCGGCCACTCCAGTACTGGAGTCGGGGCAGGTGGTGTAGCCATAGTCTACTAACTACAACTACAACTACAACTACAGGTAGTATGCTAGCGTAGGCGGAGTGCGCGCGCGCGCTGAATAGCTTCAAACTAGGAATCGACCTGCGGGATGCTAGTCGGCACCGGGGGAATAACGTTTGCTTATATCTAAAGTAATATTCCGTCACATGCAATATAACATCTCGCTGATTATCCCATACCAACATGTTTTTGATTCGACCGGAGGGAGCCACTGATACGGGCAGCGCACCACCACGGATCCAACGCAAGGTTGTACACTGCTACCAAGGCTCGCTAGCGTACAAAAAGGAAGTATTCTCTTTGCTTGGGCTAGTTCGAGGCTTCCGCCATGCGTTATCGTTCCACTTCCCCAGAGCGAGTGGAGACAGCCAAGGGGGCGAAGGGCGGGAGTCCACACGGCAAATGCTTGGCAAGAGATAACGACGCGTGGGGTCCCGGGAACGGCCCCCGGGGGAAACCTCAAACGAACTGTCAAGTATCTGTCGAGCCCATTTATTTCTCGCTGGACAGAAGGTCCCAGCATCTGCGCATTCCAGTCGACAACGTCTCGTCGTCCATAGCCGCACCGTCCACCCACTTGCGGGCCGGCGGGCCCTTGCATATGGCTGCGAAACCTTGGTCGTTATCAGCGTCGATCCTGAACTGATAGGCGTGCATAGTGAGCTTTAAATGAGAAAAAACATGGACCAATGGCGGCAAAGACGCCACATAACGCGCTAGACTCATATCAACCTTGCCTGCAGCGAGGTCAGCAACGTGTTTCTGGGCGAAAGCCTTGCGTTGCTGCGGCGTCTTTTGTGATGCCGGTGGTGTAGCCTGTGGGAACTGCCTGTGCCACAATCAGTAGATGCTCAGGAAAAGATAAAGAGAAAAAGCCAAGAGGAATGGCCCTATCATGACGGGTACCGCGCGGATATGTGTACAGGGGTGTGGTGTCGAGAAGATAGCAACCTAGGTGTAGTAGCACCTCCGAGTGGCTGGACATGGTTTACGTACCACAAGGATGCCAAAAGCCCTAGCGGCACTTGTTAGTAGGGTAACTACCCGAGAGACAGGATATTATACCTTTGCTGGGTCTTTGTTCGATCAGCCACTTGCTTTCACAATCTGGAAAGCAAAGCTCAATCATGCACACGATGCAGTCTTCTTCCGCAGCCTTCTTCTTTGCGACCTTCATAGGAAACAAAGAACAATAGCTCAATATGGGCTTTATGTCTGAAGCTGGTGGGGGCAATTTCCGCTTCTTAGACTCTTCCACTGGGGTGTCATCGGCGCTCTCTTGATCAGTTTCCGTGTCAGCATTAGACTTTGGCGTGCTGATAGTGAAATAATTCGAGAGGGTGTTGGACTGCTTCGTAGCAGCCTTTCTCTTCTTGGTAGCTCTTGCTGTGTCGTCTGCTGCTTCGCCCTCGGCAATAGTAACCAGATCTTCGGTATCTAGTGGCGCACACAGCATGCATGCATCTTCAATGTCCGGGATGGCAGTAGATGCTTGGCGCTTCTGAGATAACGCTTTTCCTTCGCTGTATGTTCTGCACGTGGCTTGTATGGGACATTCGTCACACCGTGGTCGTGGAGTACAGACGGTAGATCCGAGTTCCATCAGCGCCTGGTTCCATAAACCCGGTACCGCGCTTTTCTGCTGTTCCGGGTAGTTGGATGCGAATTTGATCAATTGGTCCGCCATATCCCACATCACATCTGTCGTCTTTTTGTCTTTGGCGTCCATGTACAGGCCCAGCTGCCGGCTTAGCACTCTCGCAACGTTTCCATCGAGTACTGGCTCGGCTTCGCCAAATGCGATACTAGATACTGCACCTGCAGTGTATCTTCCGATGCCTGGTACTTCTTGAAGTTCAACGGCCCCGCTAGGAATTACGCCCGAAGCACTACGTGCAGACGTCATCTGCTTAGCGCCCTCATGAAGCCGAGTTGCGCGGGAGTAGTATCCCAAGCCTTTCCAAACGGAGAGCACATCGTCATGGTTCGCAGCAGCCAGATCTTCCACTGTGGGCCATTTTGCTACCCAGTTGTTGAAGTATGGAATGACAGTCGACACACGTGTCTGTTGTAACACTAATGCCTGTTAGTATGGATAGCACGTGAAAGTGGCTAAAGCCCACGAGCACGTGACAACGCGTTTTGGCGTGTTTGGCGATTCAGCATGGTATTGCGCAGCATCTATAAAAAAACCAGAGCGCCTACTTACTGACTTCAGACACCCAAACCTCGTAGGCTCTTTTTGACAGAATACTTTTAAGCTCTTCTTCCCGGCCTTCAAAGTCCGCGGGGTCGATCCACGCTTTTCTCCACGGCATACTACGCGTCTCTGCGACGCCATTGAACCAGGACAGTAGCGCGTCGCATACCGACCGATTGCCCAAGAGGAGCGGGTAGTGGTACGATGTGTTGTGGATACGCGATGGCGGTAGTGCAACGGTGGGTGGTGTTAAAGGGGATGTGATGATTGCCTTGGCAGACTTTGCAGCTTTGCTAGAACTGGCTGTTGCTGTTACGGCTTTCTTGCGCGGAGCCATGGTGCGTTTTGAGCAAGATAGAATAACGATGCGCTTTTAAAGGGTACAAACAAGAAGGGTCAATGATACCAACTATCAATCCCGCTGACGAGCGGAGAGGGCAATATGAATAGAGTTGCGATCGCGCTAAGCTTTACTAGCGCGATTACAACAGAGATCGGGCTTCCCTCCTGAATGCTTGTCACTTTTGAAGTCCACAAAAGAATGCGCCTACTCGCTCTGAAAACAGACTCAACAGGTGGCCGAACGCGAGTCAATAGTCTTATTATCCAAATGGCTAACGAAGATAAAACCCACATGTATGCCCGTCAAGATAAAGCAACCGAGGGCAAACAAACACCCCTGTATAACCAAGAAACATATCCAATTCAAACCAATGTGGGGGGGGGGGGGGTATAGGAACAATAGAATATAACCGCAGTAGCCAACTGCGTACCAAAATCCCAGTGCGTGGCTCGCAAAATTCGCAGAATCCAAACCAAGAATCTAAGCCCAAAACACATGCATGCCTAGTCTAGCCTCAAGCGCGCTTCTAGCAAATGAGAATGCAACCGCTATGCTAACGAGAGCTATCAATGCTTCAGCCAGATGTCACCGCCTTCACCCTTTTCCCATTTCTTCCATGCTATTTCGTATGCATCTTCTAAATCCCGAACCCATCTCTTGGTGTCAAAAAGAGGGCTGGTCCACCGTGACTCGTAGAGCATACGTCGTAATTCACTGAGTCGTCCAGTGGATCGGTGACCCTCGTACTTGTAATCGCGTGTTAAGCGGACAGCCATATCCTCGTACTCTTCGTCGCTGGATGCGATAAGCTCTTTCGCGGCTTGTGCACCCGCAGGCGTCTTAGGCAATGCGCCCTTGAGAATGGATGCTGCCATTCGAGAGCACATCTTGTACTTGTATCGTGGTAGGGTTAGCAACGGCGTACCGGACCAAAGCACGTCTGCAGCCGTTGTATGAGCGTTGCACTCGGGTGTGTCGAGGAACAGATCGCAGACACGTGCTCGAGAAATGTGCTGATGTTTCTGGGCAACATCGGTAAACATGATGCGGCTGGCGACTTCTGCGCCTGCCCACATAAGAGCTGTTTGCTTGAGGTTCGTCTCGCCAAGGTCGGGGAATCGTAGTAGCCAGAGAACGGCGTTGGGAATCTTCTCAAGAATGCGCAACCAAGTGCGGAACGTCGTGGGTTCGATCTGGTAGAATAATTAGCCAATGTACGATAGCTGAAGTCATGATCAACTTACCTTGTACAACTGGTTGAAGTTTGCAAGAATGATGGCGTTGTCTGAAAGGTTGGGAAAGATTTCTTTGCGCATCGCCCATCTTCGTTGTTGCTCTTCTTCCCAGTTTGGCTGTCGACCTTGGGAGTCTGGAGCACTCTGTCTGTGATCACAGCAGAAGAACGTGTCCCTGCAGAAGACGATGTTCTCTCCGTATATCCACCTGTCGTCCGTACCGCCGCTATTGTCATCCACCAACGCATCTTCAAGGTCGATGTTACGGCGCCATTGACGGAGAGTGTCTGGGGGCACGGCAGTATCATCAGCAAGCAAATAGTCGCACCATTCGGCGCCAAGGGTACCCGCAAAACCCATGAAGGCCATTTGGATGGGGGCGGCACGGGCGGCGAATACTTCGTTCCTTGCTCCCCTGGTGTATCCGTTGAGGTTCACAAGAACATGTATGCCGTCACTGGTGATCTGGTGGACCAATCGCTCCGCAGACCAACTGCTGGCGTCGTAAAAGACTGGAGATTCCTTCTCAATCTGCTTGCGGTGTTCGGATCCGTCACTTGCAGTGGTCGCATAACAATATGCCTTTACACGGCTCGGGTCGTGCAATCCAAACACAGATTGCATCAGATGTGCTAGTGGATGGTTGTTGAAATCTGAAGATACGTAACCAACTTTCAGATATGGCCTCGGTGGAGCAGGGGGTTGATAAACAGTCGGTGGGAGCCAGGGAACCCTCAACGTCGAACATGAGATGCGCAGACCGTTCCGTTGCGATATTAGGCGAATTTGTTTGGCCGACATGGGGCATGTGAAGGTGTGAAAAGGCAGTACAGTTGGGGCTGCAGGTATCGTCAAACCCGCTGGGAGCTGGGGTCTTCTGTATGAGGATGACGGTCGCTGCTGTCCAGTCACATGTCGATCCTGGTACCACTGCCAGGTCATCCATCTTATGGCACGCTCAACAAGGCGAACGATGCGAGCACCTTCCCACTTTTGACCCTTCCATTTGGTCAGTACCCGTCTCATGCTATCCTCTTTCTCTTTGATGTCTTGTGCGTTGGTGCCAGTGAGAATGAAAGGACGCATGATGTCCTGGATGAAGTAATCGTCCATAACACCTCTGCCCCAGTCCTCGCCATCGGCAAGCTGCTTCTCAACCAACTTGACAACCTTGTGGATCCATCCAGAACTGGAGGCACCTGGGAGAGTGGCGTCCAAAAGCATGCCATTCTCGTTGACGTGCCAGCGGTCTCTGGAGCCGTGATCGTCGGCTATTCCACCTCTGCCAGCCCAGTTACAAACTGAGTTGAGAGCATTAGCAAGCCCACAAACAGCTTCCGCAAAGTCAGGACTCGACTTGACCGCCTTGCGATAATAGAAGATTGCATCGGCGATCCGGCCTTTGTCTTTGACGGCATTGGCAAGATTTGCGAGAGCAATGTCGAATCCTTGATCACATTGGACAGCCTTTTCGTACATGTTGATGGCATAATCCAGTTGTCCAATGTCCTTCAAGAGACTTCCGAGGTTCGTGTACAGGTGAGCGTGGGACGAATCCAACTGAAGTCCGTAGGAATAGTATGCAAGGGCAAGAGCAACGCCACTGCCCGGGACTAAGCCAGGTATCTGGGGCTGAGCAAAAGCGTGCGACACAGGACTCGGTTTCGCAGGAGCAGATTGTTGCACGCTGGCAAGTAAGATACCGACATTGTTAGCTGTTGATGGACTGGGCTGAAGGGATAGTGATAAGTAATAAAGGGCCAGGATCTCCCGGACACCGTGGGTACTCTGATACGATGGAGTCTTTGGCGAGTTGGTAGCCATGCCGTCTTGGAAGATCTTGGCTAATGAGAGCAACGAGTTGCTCATCGTCGATATAGCTGCTTTCCTCGAAAGGCCCTCACTAGAAACATGTTTCAGACCAGGGAGCTGGCCATGAGGCGGGAAGCAAAGCTGAGCTGTCCTAGTAGCTGCATCGGGCGGCAGCAGAATCGGATCGGACGAGGGTGGCACACGGCGTCCACCTGGTGAGCGTTCCGCAACGTCGTATCCAACAACGGCAAGAATGCGCTTGATAAGGCCATCGATGCCATTGGTGTGTGGTCCAGTTCCGATAAGGACTGCGTCTTCAAAGGCTCTGGCAGCGGCGGCATTATCGCCAAGTGCGTAGAGCATATTGCCTTTGGCGTGTACCAGTGCGAGAATACGACCGTTATCGCAGCCTGCAATGGCATATCCGCTCGAGCCGAAGCCTGGTTGATCCGAGCCAGGGAGCTCGTCTAGCTCCTTGAAGACTGAGGAATCTTCGCCTTCGAATTCGAAAATGGGGCGATCAGATGCTTCGGAAAGGCTCGACTCGCTGTAGGTAGAGGCTGAACGCTCGCTTTGCGCTTCAAGACTTCGCAGGGCATCTCCTCGCTTGACGAATCTCAGCTGACGTTCGACGTCTTCAATAACCTGAACCGCCTCTCGTCCTTTGTGATCACTGCAGAGGAGACCAATGAGGTGCTCGACGGCCTCGAAATAGCTTGGACGTAATTTGACAGCGCGCCTCCAATGGCTCTCAGCTTCACGCTTTTGCTGAAGAGCAAGCATGGTAGCCGCTAAATTCGAAATGGCTTCGACATGGCTACACTGGGTTAGCATTAATTGTATACAGAAAACAGGGCGTGCTTACTCTTTGTCCAAGGTCAAAATATGCTTGTACCAGTCTTGAGCTTTTTGGTAGTCACCTAGCGCGTAAGCCAGACAGCCACCTAGAAGAATACCATCTATCCAAGTCCATTTACTTTCTTCGCAGTGTTTGGTGATGGCCTCTAGGGCAGAAGCAGTGGTCACGCTTGGAGGTACACCGTGTTGGAGGCTCTGGTGAACGCCGGCAACCGATCCAGACATTCGACGTAAGGTCCGCGGTGGTTCGATAGCTGGAGTATGAGGCTGCATAGAATGTTGTAGTGGCATACCTCCTTGCCACGGCTGGCTATTCGGACCAGGACCCCCAACTGACCATGCTGATAACGAACGTGAATGCGGCATTTGCGGTCTCTTGTGCACGAATTCTGATCCAGGTTGAGGTGATGCATAGTGGTTAGGGACTGGACACGATACACGTCGTTCTAGAGACGGCATGCCGCTGACGGAAGGACCAGAAACACTGCCTCCAGGTTGCCGTGGGGGTTTGGGGTAAATGTGAGGCCGCTGATGTGTGCGGCCATGAGGATGTGAATTAGTCTTTCTTGTTGCTTGTAGATGTCTAAGCATGTCTACGTAGACGGCATGGGCCCAAGCAAAGACCTTTTCCCTTGGCTGTTCGCTCGGAGGTAATGCACTAAAGTCATCGAGCGGAATGCTGGGCATGTGCTCAGCGATAGGTGTTGTTTGACCAGAATGTAAAAAGTCTTGAGGGCGTTGAGTAGGTGGCGGAGGGAGAAGCTGATTTTGATAGTCCAATGCAACATTTGCATGGGGCTGCGCATATGGCGAAAACTCCAGTTGCGGCCTTGGGGCGCGGCCGTAGGCGCCATGTGCATAGTCTAATTGAACAGGATTCGGCTGATGATGTGAAAGATTGGGCATGACATTACTGTATGGGTGACCTGCAAAGGGGTTGCTATGTGAATGACTCCAGTTGTGATTAGGGTGATGCAAAAATCGAGGATCGCGCATGGCAGCAGGCCGATAGGGAATGTACGTGCCATCGTGCCAATACGGGCCATATGGCCCTTGATCGTTGGAGACTGTGGGGTTCAGGGGGGTCTGAAATGGAGGCCCCATGGGGCCGCAGAAAGGATTGCCATACATCTGGTAGGGCTCAAGGGGTTGCAACGGAGGTATTTGACTGAGCATCGAATCAATCTGTGGTAAGTGTTGGGCAGAGAGGCCAGAACCCGTTTCAAAGTAACGGCTCGCACTCCATTCCAGCACATCTCTGTGATTCTGGGCATGACCACGATGAAGTGCTGGTGAGCGGAGAGGGAGGTCTTTGTTAATGCGATAGGGCATGCCGGATTCGGCGGTCACAGGAAGCAAAATGTGCTTTGTCGCGTGGGGCTCTCCGTTGGTTTCGACAGATGTGCCATCGTATGCGGCGGCCAGAATACCATTTGGCGTCTTGCGACGCAGCATGTGCTCTGCAGGCTTGGGAGTGCGGCCCGTGTCGGAGGGCGGCGAACCGTACGCACTGTGTCTAGATAGCGGATGGGCGTATTGTTGGGGGATAGAGTGTTGGGCGAGGCTGCGGCCGTCGGGGGTAGGGCCATTGCGGAGGTAGGAGGCGTGTGACGGGGCAGGCGCCATGTTGCTGTAGCCTGGGGTGGAGGGAAGCTGCGACGGCGGCTGCGGGGGGTATGGCCGGACCATGGTCATGGTGGGGGATCCGTTGGCGGGAATCTGGTGGTGGGTGTGTGTGCGTACGTGCGTGGGTGAATGGGTCCTGTCGCGCAGAAGACCGAGATAGGCAGCGAGCAAGAGGGTGTGTACCGGTGGTCACCTTGGAACGAGGGCTTGGAGCCAACTGTGTGGTGACAACCCCACAGCACAGCTTCACCAGGAGCGGCTGGTGCCTATGCCTTCGCGGAATCGTCGCCCGTCTGCTGCGCTTGACATATCTCTGGGGGTGGTGGTGGAGGATTGGACTGCTCAGCACCGGGCGTCGGCGTGCTGGCAGGTTAGCAGCAGAGAGCCCGGCGGGCGTGGATTGCGAGAGAGAGCGAGAGAGGGTCGCTCAAGTGCGGGCCCTCTCTTTGCGATGTGCAGCAACGGCAGAACAGGGCGGGCAGGGGTGGTGTCGGGACGATGGGCGTGTTGGTGCAGTGTGCAGTCTCCAGGACGCGGTCTCTGGGCGTCGTGTCGCGGGAAGGCCGTCGTTGGTCGGGTGGGCTGAGGAGGCAGAGTCAGCGTGTTACGGGCGGGCTGCGACTGGGGGCGCAGCAGCGGTTCCGTCGCGTCGTGTCAGCGAGCTGCACGTCGAGGCGGCAATGGCTGCTTTTTTTACTCTCGGGGCTCACGCTCACGCACACACACTTGCGCTCACGCTCCACGCACCCTCGAGGGCGGATAGGCGGGCGCGCAAGATGACGAGGTGTGGTGCAGCGGAGACGAGGCAGCGGTAGGCCTATCCGCTTTCGTATCCACCCAGTCGTTGGAGAGGTGGCTTGGAGCGATCCCTGCCGGGTGACAGACGGTCTGGGGGATGCCCGCCAGGCGATCGAGCGGGATCGAGGAACGCGCTACGGCGGGCGAGCTGGACGAGCACCGGCGGGAGCAGCACCAGCAAGTGGCGGCGCTGGGCATGGATGTGGATGGCGATGGCGATGGGGGTATGGATATGATATGGATATGGATATGGATGGCAGGATGCAGGCAGGATGCAGGATGGGTGGGAACAGGGCAAGGACTCTGCCAGCTTCTTCTACTCACTACTACTATCAGGGTGTAGGTACATGCCCACATCCATCGACGGACGCTGACACTGACGCATGGAAAACAAAACTTGGCTGTGCTAGCAGACGTGCAGACTGTGACTGCAGACAGCGACATCAACAAGCCAGAGACGGCGCCTTGCAGGGGCCCTCGCAGCTCGTCCATTGACGCGGGTGCCGCAATATCCACCATGGCCCATCCTTTGCATTCACCAGCCCGGCCGCCCTGGCTGCTTGCATATCGCATCCTCCTAGCTGCCTCACTGGCCCGCCCCTCGTCAGCCGTGAACACATTCCCTCGTTCATTCACAGACTATGTACATGCATGCATGCACATACTACTCACACCCACAGACACATGCAACAACAACCCTACCCGCACGCCAAGGGCTCCCGCGTCAGCCGTCATCGTTAATGCAGCCGTTTCATGTGCCATGCAGATCCCCCATAGCGCGACAAGGTACCACCACACCACATCATGCCCATCACAATGACAATAGCTATACACAAACACACACACTCACATACAACACTAAGCTACACAAACACACATAATGGCTATGTTGACCGCGGAAAAGGACCGCTGGAGCCACCCGAAAGGAAAGGCTCCGCGGTGAGTAATGGGTCGCGTTCTTCTTCTTCACACCAAAATAGGCCTATACAGTAAGGGAAGTAAGGGCCAGAGTGTTGGTGAAGTGATAGATCATCACAAAGAGTGCAAGGGTTCCAGGGTGCCCCGGACGGCCTGCCATTCCGTCGCCAATCAAGCCTGGGGTCAAACTCATCAGTCCATTTTTTTTCTCATCAGTCGACATTTGCCAAGTTGCCCCCATCTTGCAACATGGGAATTTGCCTGGAAAGACCGCGCTTTGAGGCACACGCTGTACATGCCGCATATGCCCATGCGACACCGCCTGGTCCATGTTCAATAGAGATGCAGCGGGGGTCACCGCAGGGGCCCTCTCGTTCCTGAAGGCCTATGCCCAGCCGATACGTGCTGGCCCATGCTGGCGATGTTGGTGCTGGTGCCGGTCCTGATACTCGAGAAGGGCGGCACCCTTTACATAGAGGGTTGCGCCGTGGCTCCAAGCGCGTTCCTCGAGGCATGTGCGGCCGCGCACCAGACCCTGCCAAAGGGATGCTGAGTGCACAGCATTCGACAACGATTGACCTAGTCGGATTCGTGAAACAATAAAGCACCTGTCATGATGCAGATAGGGGATCCTGGGAGTATGTGGAAACAAAGTGGTAGTTGTTGTGAACAGGTGAGGTGGAAGGAAAAAGCTTTTAGTAGCTCGCAGAGAATTTCATGTACCCAAGCGTCGCTTAGTCACCCCGCCCGGACCTACCTTCCGCCGGCCTGGGGTTTGATGTAATGTGGCATCACGAAAGTCCACCGTGTCAACCGCCGAACGCTTGGTTTTTCCAGAGTCCTCCATCACCAACGTGGTTTTCCTCCTGCCTTGCTCGCTCAGGTCATCTCTCTAGCCCGCGGTTCAAACTCTCTGCTCTCACCATGGCCGAACAAGAACAACCCCCGCCAGAGTATGAGACCCATCAGGGCCCGCCACCACCGGGCTCGATTGCCATTCCGATACCCCTCGGGCCCAACGGCGAAAAGCCCACCCCCGAGCAAATCCAGCAAATCCAGATGCAAATTGCCGCCGAGGCCCAAAGGCATGGAATCTCGATTCAGGAATATGTTCAGCGAATGCGACAGCAAGCCATGGCTCAGCAACAAATGCAGATGCAGGCGCAGATGGAGGCCCAGCAGCGCGCGCAACAACAGCAGCAGCAACAGCAGCCCATCCAGCCAGGCCCACCCAAGCCAGAAGCCATTGCTCTTGCAAACTGGCTCAAGTCGCAGGACTTGAAACCTAGGACCGTCGTGCACGACGAAAAGAGAAAGGACATGTTCAGAGGTGAGGATGCGACTATATATATTTGCCATGTGAATACGCAATTAACAAGTAAATAATAGTCAAGCGAGCGATCCGCGCCATCCAGTCACCCGCATACCAAAAGGCGCGGGCTAAGAACCCTCTCCTCCCAGAAGTCTACGACCGTGTTACTGCAGAAAACTGTTTCAAGCTGCTGCCTCTTTCTCTGCTTGCGCTCCGGGTATCCAAGGCCGACGAGGACGAACACGAGGGCCACAACCACGCCAAGCCCAAGCGCATCAAGGGTCTGTGGACGGTCAAGATTGAGCAGCACCAAGACGCAAATGACGACAGCTACTACATTTGGCTGTACGAGGGATCGCAATGGAAGCAGAAGCTGTACGCTCTGGGCGCCTTGGTGGCTGTGATTGCCATTGTGCTGTTCCCACTTTGGCCGCTGATGCTGCGCCAAGGTGTGTGGTACCTGAGTATGGGCATGCTTGGCTTGATAGGTCTCTTCTTCGTCATGGCCATTGTCCGTCTGATTCTCTTCATCATCACGATATTTGTTGCACCCCCTGGTCTCTGGCTATACCCAAATCTCTTCGAAGACGTCGGTTTCTTCGACTCGTTCCGGCCTGTGTGGGCATGGCAAGAGGTATGTGAAATACTGTCCACTTTCTGTTTGGTTGCAAACTGAACTAACACAATTTTTACAGACTCCCGAGGATATCAAGGCAAAGAAGGCAGCGAAAAAGGAAAAGAAAGCCGCTAAACTGGCTGCCAAAGCTGCGGGTATCAAGGGCAAGAAACACGGTCATGATCATTCGAGGACAACGACTCCTGTGCCGCCAAATGCTGCTCCTTTTGCTGCTCCTCCTGCGCCTGCACCTGCACCCGCACCCGCGTCTGCACCTGTGGATCACGCACCACAAGCTACTGGGGCCGACACGACAGCAGATGGCGGGGCAACTCAGCGGCCACCACGGGCGACTGTAGAGGAGGTTGAGGAGGAGTAGTAGTGTAGTCTAGGCCACGTTTGTTTGTTTGTTTGTTTATCTGTTTAGCTTGCACTAGGTAGTAGTAGTAGAAAGCGCGAGAGGTAGAGACGCGGGGGGAAATGACGATACTATGCATGGGTCAGCAGGCGAAAATTTTGGCGTTTTTTTTGTTTTACTTTCAAACAATGGTCTGTGTTTCTTGAGACGAAGGAAAGTGACGCGTGTGGGATACCGAGGCAGCAGGAGAAAGAGATAGAGAGAGCGAGAAACTATCTGCAATCGTACTCCTCTTTTTTTTTCGGTATTCCAAACTTGCTTCAAATTTTCATCTCACTGTCTATCTTATCTTATTCATTCTACTTCCCACCTCTCTCTCATATATATTGCCGTCCAAAAAGAAAGAAAGAGAGACACATATTTTTCCGCAAAAAAACTTGACCAATCGCCCTTAATCTCTTATCCAGCCATCCTTATAATTAATTCCCTTAATTAGTTCCATCTTAATCTTGCGCAATCTAACCTTTTTTTTCTTCCTTTTCCCTTCTTTTCCCCCACGCGCGCGTGCATGCGCGCCATTTTCTTTCTTGTCTTTTTTTTGAAACTTTGATTTTGCTATCAAGGGTCTTTATTTTGCGTCGGCAGCAGTGAGCGGACACCATGGTGGTCCATGCTGGCTACTAGTGTCCAAGCTTCTGGTTGCGTGTTTTATTTTATTTTTTTTCCTTTCCCTTGAAACAACGATTGAACTAGGTTTGCGAGCAAGGGAAAGAGAGAGAAGGAGGGGCTGGGGGGAAAGGGTAATAGTGTTTATTTCGGAGTTCTACATTAAGGTGTCCGACGGGTAAGGGTCCAGTTTGTGGCGCACGGGGGGAAGAATAGGGTTGTGTTTGTGTTTGTGTTTGCGATAGTTTAGACGTTGGATGTGTGTGTGTGTGTGTACACAGTAAGAAGGGCAAGTCGTGTTGGGACTAGTTCGTTGTTTTGCGTAATTGCAGGCTCTGGGGTGGGCTTACTAGAGCGTGAGTTGCGTAGTTATTGGGAGGGGCTTTTATGGAGAAGAAGAAATTAAAATGGTTCATTATAGTTGTATATGTTTGTAAGTAGTAGTTTCGAACAGGTGGCAGGAGCGCGGGCAGACAAGGGTATCGGGTCTTTAAGTCAGAATACCCATGACGTACTTGCTCCTGTCATGTAATTGCGCCCTATATCTCTGATTTCTTCCTCATACATGCACATGCATCCAAGGCATAGATGCCATGATTATCGTCTTTGTTTTCTGGTCCTTGCCAGGTCGTTGCTCGTCAATGTGATGAGCAAACAATTAATTCGAGACCAAAATTACAGTCATCCTGGACCCACACATGGGCAAACCAAAATAGTCAATTAAAGTGATTAATTCAGCCATAAGCCATTAGTAGCACTTCAAATTACCGAAAAAAGAACGATTGCTAGGAGTCGCTGTTTTTTTCTCTCTCAAAACCAAATCAACGCCATTACCATGCAACCGCCGCCGCCGCCGTCATTATCGTGTCATGAGAGGAGAAGCTCAGCCCGACGCCAGTAGAAAAAGTATACAGCAAAAAAGACCAAAATTTACTCTGCAGCAGCAGAAGGCTGGGCATCCTGGGCGACATCCTCGCCGTCATTGGCCTGGCGATTAGGGGTGGGTGCAAGACTAGAGTGGACAGAGGGCGAGTGGGTAATCTGGCTGGTAGGATTTTGTTCTGCTAGCTGGCGCTCTACAAAAGATATGGTCAGTGCTAGTTTTGTAGTACAAGCAGATGAGCACTCACCTAGTTCTCGTATGCGTTGCTTGAGCATCTGGTTCTCGCGAGTCAGGTTCTGGGTCTCTGCCTGGTAAAAAGCACTTTCATCTCTAGTGGCTACAGGGCTGGGAAGCATGTCGTGGGGGTCGTAGGAGCCGGCTTGGCCGGATATGGGCCGCAGGGCGGGAGAGCCCGCATGACTGCTGTGGCGCGAGCGGTCTGCAAACGACGACTGGCGGCTGATAGAACCCAGGCCAAAAGGCGAGCGGGAGCGGGGCTGGGCAGCCGAGGGCAGCGGCGACATGTGCTGCGAGGCGGGGATGGACATGGAGCGCTCCGAGGTCGGGGTGCCGTCGTCCACGACAGCAGAGGCGGACGAGGGGTGCTGGCTGGCCTGGAGGCTGTTTATCTGGGCTTGCTGGGCGCGGATCATGTTGAGGAGGCGGTTGACCTGGCCCTCCTGCTCAGCCTCGAGCTCCTGGTGCAGCTCGCCCAGGCTGGGGGCGCGCTCGTGGTGGGGGCTGTGTGGCCAGGTGCCGGTGCCTCTAGCACGGGCTGAAGGGCTCTGCTGCATCTCGCCGGGGGCAGGTAGGGCGGGGTCGTTGAGGTTGAGGTTCATGCGGATGCTGGAGCGGCGACGGGCACGCTCTGCATCCCTCCGAATGTCACCTGACGAAGGCGAGCGCGAGTCCTGGTTGTGCATGCCGGCATTCAAGGCAGCCGTGGCGGCGAGCGAGTGAGGAGAGCGTGAGCTGGAGGGCGATTGGGTGCGAGGCGAGGGCGAGGCGTGGGGAGGGGGCGAGATGGTGTTGACGTCGGGCATGGCGGGGACCGGATGGGATGGGGTGAGGTGGGGTGAGATGCAGGCGTGCGTATGGCTTTGACTTGTAGGCGTAGTCGCAGTCGCAGTCGCAGTCGTAGATGTGAGGTGGATGAGAAGATTGATGGATGCAGATGTACTTACTGCTGTAGTCGCGGTAGTCAGCGGGCAGTCAGTCCGTCAGTCAGCGTCAGCGTCACCAGACAGCTGTGGTGGGGTGACTGCAACTGGCAAAGCACAGCTATGGCGGGGCAAGTCGGACGGCGGCGCTACTGCAGGAACACCAAAGTCCGCCAGCCCTGCCCTGCCCTGCCCTGCCCTGCCGTTCCCTCCCCCCTGCCCCCCCTCTCCCGCTTTCTTATACCACTCCCACCATCACGGACGGCACTTGTCATCCGCCATCATCATCTCCCCCATCGCCATCGCCATCGCCATCGCCATCGCCGTCAGATCAGCNCAGGAACACCAAAGTCCGCCAGCCCTGCCCTGCCCTGCCCTGCCCTGCCGTTCCCTCCCCCCTGCCCCCCCTCTCCCGCTTTCTTACCTCTACCACTCCCACCATCACGGACGGCACTTGTCATCCGCCATCATCATCTCCCCCATCGCCATCGCCATCGCCATCGCCATCGCCGTCAGATCAGCCCTCGTCCCCGTCCGTCCGCCTCACCTTCATCATCCCCACGCCAGTCGTCATCGCGACGACATGTCACTAACGGGAATATGATTTGCAGCCATGCTACCTGCTTGCGCAAGCTAACTTGGCCTTCCCCGTGCACCCGCACCGCACCAAACTCTACTCATGCACCTCGCTGCCTGTGGCACACGCTGAGACACCAGGCCAAACATTGTGCCCACGCCCCTGGTGGCCTGCTACTCTCGCTGCCACTACGACTGCATTTTCCTTTTGACCTCGCCGTCGCACCCTGACAGTGTTTGTAACGGACGTGCCACACTGGCCGTAAAAACAACTTCACCGCCCAAACACGATCCAATATCTCCCCATGCCCCAGTATTGCCTGGCGTCGGCTGCTACGGCCACATTGCCGCTCCCTGCCCGGCCTTGTCCTGTGCCTGCAGAGTTTCGCTAATAATACTTTTTGCTGCGACCCTGTCGTTTGCACCCCGCCCCGAGAACAGCCCAGGTGGTGGATTCTGCTACAAACTACTCTGTCTGTCCTCGTCATCATTGTCGTCTCCGCTGTTGCAAGGCCTTACCTGGACTCGCTGCCAAAACGCGTCGCGGCGCACTCACTTACACACCCTAAACCCCCCCCCCCCATTTACATCGGCGCGCTTCGCCCGCGTGCACAGCCAAATGCTCGTGTTGGCTGGGCCAGCGCACTGTCAAAAGACGTTGTGCCGGCCCTCCCCCGGCTAGCCTGCTTGCAGCGCGCCAAAATAGCCCTGGCCTCGATTAGCGCATGCCGTCGCCATCTCTCCCTTCCCAACTTTGTCTTCGAGCTGGCCGGATAGGGGCCACATTCCACCCCCTGCGTCTTCACATCACACAGGGAACTGCTCCCCTGGCGCACTACCATGATTACCCATCCTTCATCTGCGGCAACTAACACTCGCCACCACTCTTCTCCTCCTCCGCGACTCTCGTCACCAAAGCCGACTCGTGTCGTCGTTTCACTTTGGTCAGCTTTCTGGTCCTGTTCACATATCTGCCGCCCAGCGCCGTCGTCTTGTTCATGGGCTCATGTCCCGTCCGCTCGTTTGATCTTCGCTTCTCCTGGTGCTATACTACCACCACCTATATCCCGCTCCTTGTTCCTTTCCGCTGAATCTCCCCACATTGCTTGATCCCCAATTCGGCTCTTTCGATATCCTCGACTTCCCAATCGCCATTGTCACACACACACTCTCTCTCTCTCTCACACGGACCATATTTGACCAACGTCTGCATCCCGGCCGTCCCTTCCGAAAGCCCTTGACCCCCGAGAGACCGGCCTTCCCTGTCGCTATCCATATCGACAGATTCGACTGTCCCGTGCCGCAACCAATCTGCCACGCTTACTGCCCACTTGGCTTGTCCCTTCCAAATCATCTACTCGCCAGGACTCACATTTATCCTCCAGTCGCTCTCTCACATTCCCACACTGCCACCGTGCAGTCACAGAACATTCACAATGGCCGACCTTTCGGCACGGCCACCCATGTCCAGATGGCGCCTTACCCGCTCTACAGCAAACTTGCGAGAATCAGCACGCTCACCCTCGGTAGTATCCAAAGCACCCGTACCCGCTCCGCCAAAAACGCTCGAGCGTGTATCTTCCAGAATGTCCTTGTTCAATCTATTCAGCAGGCCAAAGGTAGAAAAGGCCCGCGGTCACACAGAGGTTGGTCTCGCAGTGCCAATGCGGCCACAAACGCCGCCAAAGCCGACTGCTCCCATGTCCGTACCCAAGTCTTCACTGCGACAAAACCCTTCGCCCCCAGCTCAGCAGACAATACGCGCCCGAGCAAGCCAAAGATTCCGGCCTACATCTATGCGCTCCACTGTATCATACAACGAGTTTGGTGATTGGGAACCCCCGCCACTCTTCCAGGCTTTCCCCCAATCTATCAAGCATGCTACTGTACAAGCCTGTGTCTTTGCTCCAGAGGTCCTGATGCGGACACAGAGCCAAAGACGGCAAGCAGAGTCTCTACTCGAGAGAATCGACCATGAGCGCGAACTATCCACCATTACTGAGAATAGTACAGAGGCCAAGAAGCTGGAGAAGAATCACAAACGCCTCATATCCCACTCGGTGCTTCACCCACCTACACCAGAGCTTGTCAATAAAATTTATGTCCTGGTCACTGGCGGGTATATCCTGCAATATGCTGGTGACGGTCCCTTTGATAGGGTACCGGAAAAGGTACTCAAGCTCGGCAAGGAGTCTGCGGCTTTTGCCTGTGATCTCATACCAGGCAAACACTGGGTGCTTCAGATATCCAGCCATGCTAGCGGTGATGGCGCACTCGAAGTTGGCCCAAAGAGCTCGATCCTTGCACGTCTGCGGACACAACATCTTAACACACGCAGGTCTGTAACGAGCTTTCTCTTGGTTCTTGAGAGCGCCGAAGAGATGGACGAATGGATGACGAGTGTGCGAAGAGAGATTGATAACCTTGGTGGTACAAGAACAAGGGATGACCCTGCCCGAGCTTCTTGCTCTACCGATGGCGGCTCAGTAAGCAAAGAGTCTGCAGAAATTGCGAACCATCGGTTCAGAGTCAGTCGAGACGCGTACAACATGAGCAAGGTTGTACCAATCGAACCACGCCTTTCAGCGTCGCCAAAGATCATCACTTCAGACTGGGAAACAAATCCTGAACAGATCAAACGTAGTCTTGACTCATCTAGCGGACACTCTCATCGACAAAGCAGCCGTCTCTCCGTCGAGACGTCATCAGCCACCTCGACACCGATATCTCAGCACCAGATGCAACTCGAACAATTGTGCAGCCGCTCACGGTACTCCTTCATGTCGTCATCGACATCTTTTTCTGGCGCCGGGACTCGGAACACGTCGCGCGAATCATCACCCGCGCCACAATCACCTCTGATGGAAGAGTGTGGTGCAGCTGGCGACAACGAGCCTCTCCGAAGTGCCATGTCCCTACGATCCTTCCAAATGAATCCAAACAATTCAATGTCATCCCGACGTAGATCCATGCAGCCACTGCCGACAACTGACGAGAATCTTCTGCAGTCAGCCGAAGCATTGTCTAAAAGCATGCGTCATTCTCTCTACAGTCCTGCATCACCCACATTTCCCGGGCTTGAAACCCCTTCCGCCCCAGGCCTAATTGCATCAGGTAGCCAAGCACCAAGTTTGGATCAACCTCAAGCAATTGAAATCGGCTTGGCATACTCATCGCCCCCAGAGCCCAAGAACGATATCCCAGACCAGTCCGAGGAAGAAGACAGCCTCCCCACTCGCGAGGATAGCCCAGTGAGGTTCAATGCTCATGTATACAGCTCGCCACCTAGGAGGGACATCATCTCGCCTCCTCCCAAAGAGCCTGCGCCACTTCCCCCACCACCTGCTCGACGCCAGTCCACCATGGGTAACACGACAACAACAGGCATGTCAAACCCAGCACCCTACCTTGCTTCTACCAGCAAAGTCAGCGGGACAAGGCGTCGAACTTCAGGATCACCAAAGCCCTTTCTGCGACCTATTCCAGTCCGCCCTCAAGCCCAACATATCGATTCTGCCAGACGCCGAGCTAGCCAGACACCCTCTCCTACGCCTTCCATTTCTCCCTTGATCACAAATCGATCTGTGACTGCGCCAATAAGGCCAGCTTCAGCAGCGTCCAATATGACAACATCCCCTAGCCTTCATGGCCTTAATTCAGCACAGTCTAACCCATTGCGTCGGCCACCCTCAGTTCAGATCCGTTCTGATCGGGCACCTTTCTTATCATCCCGCCCACTGCGCCTCATCTCTTCTACACCGTCTTTTGTTCCCGGCCAAAGAATGTCAATCCAAACAGCCCCTACAACAACCAACGTTCAAGCATTTCCTCATATCGAGGCGCTGAGGCAACGAACGCTAGCCCAGCAAACCAGCCAAAAGACCATTGTACCAAAGCATAGTTTAGGTCCAATTGGCCTGCCGCCACCCGCGCCGCCACCAAACATGCCTCTTCCTCCACCTCCTCGCAACATCACATCGCCTACTCCGCCGCCCAGCATACCACTTCCTCCTCCTCCTCCACCACCACCACCACCACCACCAACCGTGGATCTTCCAGCCATGCCTCTCAACATGCCGCTTTCTCCGCTCGTGGGTCTTCCAGCACCACCACCCACTGCACCACTACCCCCTACACCACCCGAGGTTGCACTTCGGGCCTCTATCGTCTGATTATCATCACAAAAAAAGATGTCTTATACGAACATCGTGTACACCGTGAAGTCGGCGTTTCGAATCGGTCGTCGTTATCATCCTGTTGAGATTTGGGCCGTCTCTTCTTTCCTCGCCGCGGCTATGACGCTTTTACGCCACTGTTACTTTGATGCTTTTTTGTTTTCAAACTATTGATCCTGGAGGAGAAATTGTCGTATTTCTGTTTTCTGCGCTATACCAGCCCGCAAGGCCTCTCCGTCTCTCCTTTCATTTCTTTTCCTTATTTACATGTTCTCTTCGTGTATCTTCTTTTTTCTCTCGCTTGATTGCGTCATTTGCATGCTGTACTACGCACGCACGTCTTGATGGGTTGTTCTTTTAAGCTTGGTACCGGATATGGCCCTTTTTTGATGGACCAGGGTCCGCAAGGGTCTTCCGTGTAGCTGGGTCTATTGCGTTTGTTCTTCAAGCAAGCCTTGTAATGATTTTGTGGAGTTTGATTGGTTGTCCTGGTACGGGAGGGGATACGGAGATCAAAAGATAATTTTTGGGTTGTAGAGTTTAGACTAGGTTTTCCCACGTTGATTCGTGCTCATGCATTCGGCCCAGGCCTCTGATGCACTTGGGGAGAGTTGTTGATTAATTCTATCATCTTCTCCTTTTTCACTCGCATGGTCCAAATCTTTATATGTTCTTGAAATCCGATTGCCTTTACACACGTCAGCATTCACCCTTCCCCCTTTCCCTTTCATATCAACAACTTACAGGCAAAAGCTCCTCCCAGATCGCTCCTTACCACCCACTCGCTTTATCTTCTCACATTTGTCTCCATTCGTCCATCGCGCGCAACCGCAGTATTTCCACTTGCCCGCAAACTGCAAAGCCTTTGGCATTTCCTTCTCCTTCTTGTTCTTCTTCTTCTTCTGCGCGGTAGCGTCGACATTCGCATCCGCAGCTACATTCGTGTCCTTTGCCTTTGACGCTGCGCGCGCAGAGATGGCAGCCCATTCAGGGTAGAAGACGTCGTCGTCGGTTATGCCTTGCCACCATAGCGAGGGATCCTTGGGGCGCTTGAGGGGCTCGTCGACGGGTTCGGTGGGCACGCCTTTGCCGTATTTGCCGGCGGGGCGGGGAGGGTAGGATTCCCCTGCGAGAGCGAGGGTGGGGAGGAGGGCCAAGAGGCTGAGGAGGAAGTAGAGGGATTTCATTTTTTTTGGGTTGGTTTCGTTGGTCTCTCTGTCTCTCTCTCTCTCTCTTTTTTTCGAGGGGGGATTCGGGGGAGTCTATATGGGAGGGAGGTTTGAAGCGAAGTGGGTATTGTGAGTGGGCGGAGGGAGAACCTTGGTACAGATTTTGGGCATGTACAGAAACATGGGGTGGGATTTCTTACTTGACAGTTTTTTCTTCTTCTCACTCTGGAGTTTGGGTTTTTGGACCCTGAACCAGATTGGGCTATGTAAAGAAGATAATATTGGGAATTGGGAACAGCCAGTTATGAACGTTTGATTTCAAAGCTGTGGTATCAGAGGGACGTGGATGATACCAGAAGAATTGTGATAGGAAGCGAAATTGGAGTTTGAAATTGGCCTAGACCTTGCTTGTCCCACGTGTAGGCAGTAAGTATCGCACATGTGCCATGGATCCAATACATCCGAAATCAGTCGCGATTGTATATTGATGGGATACACTGAGTGGAAAGAATAATGTTTACATTCAAAGACATGGGGAACTGGTGACTTGACTATTAAATCCCAACAGCTCTTTTACGCAAACCAGCTAGCCACTAGGTGACGTACAAAAATCATCTCCGGTACCAAACCTCTCTGACACTAAACTGATAGGTGATGTATTACTGAGGCGGAAAATTGAACCCGAGAACCCCTTTAATACTACCAGATGCTATAATGGCTGAATGAAATCTCAATCGATAAACGTTTCCCAGTCCATTTCGCTCACCTCGTCGTCTGAATGTACCGCCCTACGGCCACCGGTCTCGATGGATTGCCTTACTCGGTACCTCCCCTCACCACTACTGTCACTGGATCCACTACTCCTACCATAACCTTGACGACTGCTTTCGCTCATGGGCAGCTCCATCTCCTGCGCTAATTCTCGTGCCTTCCTATCTGCATAAGCGTGTGCGCTCTCCGCCTCGAGTTCGACTAGTTCCGGTTTTCTTGGTCGCTGCTTCTTCTTCCCCGGTGCATCTGTGTAGTCGGAGCTAGAGTCTTCGCGTTCTACAGTATCGTCGTGTAGAACAGGTGGGATTACCAGAGGCATTTGGTTTGCCTCAAAGTCTTCAGGTTTTGGTAGTGATTCAAGTTCTTCCCATTCTGCGCGGTACTTTGTGAATGATCGCCAGTCGTCGGGCTGTGTGATGACTCGCTCATCTTCATCGTCGTCTTCATCGCTGACTGGATCGATCTGGTTGAGGTACTTGGACTTGTCTGGGTCGTGACCGAGCATGATCCACATCTCCAACTCATCTATTTGGGCGATCTTTCGGTCATGCTGCTTCAAGCTCAGTGTTGGCGGCTTCGGTGTTTGACCATCTCCTGTCATGTACCGGCCAGTTGTATCTCGGGACTGCTGTGTGGACTGCGATGGTTGCGTAGTTTCGTCCATTGACGACTCATCCCAGTCAGATAGCGCGAGCCGGTCTATAGGAAGAGGCGTTGCCTTTCGTGATGCTCGTAACCGGGCTTCAGCCTGATCATCTGAAGACTCCACATCCGTTGTCAGAGTGCTGGCAATGGGCTCCTCTGGTCGCATGATGCGTTCAAACTCATCCCAAGGCACTTCTTTCTTGATTTTTTTGCGACCGTTCCGAGATAGCTGCTGATCGTAGACTCTTAGTGCACACCGCCGCGCAACACCTCTCCATCTTTCTTGGCTGTTTCTAGGCATACCCGCAAGGTCGATGGCGGTACGCACGTCCCTTTTCCTTACTGTAGGAAGTGCACCATGTGTAGTTCTCTTACTCCGTGACCGTAAACGAGACATTGATTGTATCATAGCCAGTCGTACAAGTCGTGTGGTTACTGATACGACGAGGTTGTGAAAGTCACCAAATGCAGTACGATAGATGGACGGCTCTTGGGCAATGTCTGATGTATATTGCGACCAGTGCGACCAAGGAGAAGGTATCGTTGGCGAGCGATTCATGAAGACATCTCTTGACAGCTTCAGCATGTTTTGTGGGTGTAACAGTGATCCTTCTGGCAGTGACTCTAGAATTGCGGCTGTAGTTGGTGCATGATCTAGTTTACCTGGTTTTCCGTCTTGTTTGGGCCCCTCAGAATTGACGGGTTGATCGGCCTTAGTAGATGACTGAGGATACACGCATTGGGCCATTTTCCGTCGCCTGCAGTTACTGCATGGAAGCTCTCGGTCGCACTTTTGCTTAAACTTCTTGCACGAAAGACATGCTCTGCACAAGTTAGTACTGTCTTCTTAGACACAAACACACATACGTACCCTACAATGACCCTCCCCCCTCTACGAGGAGGTGCTGGCTCGTCTACCTCGCCATCGATAGCGTTCTCAATCGCATCAGCGACGGCGGAAGTGATCAGCCAGTAGTCGCCATGCTGTTTTTGCTCTTGTCGAGCCTCCCACTTCTCCTGGTACCACGCCAGTGCATCTGCTACAAGTTCTACTTGGGCGTCGCACTCGTTGCCAATCTCAACGGCAGCCGGGATGTCGCGAAAAGTCAGACCAGCATCGCCCTGCTTGACTGCGGCGCCATGGAGCAGCAAGAGCAGTTCGCGCACCTCTGGTATGCTTTTGCCGACTGCATCTGCTATGCCTGGGACATTGTCTCTTCCCAGTCGCTGTAGAGCCGAGTAAAAGGTAGCTTGCTCGGCTGTGGACCACAATGAAGAACCAATTTGCCAGGAGTAATAAGCATAGGGCATGTGGCTACTGTCGAAGCGAGTGGCGGCTTCGTGAACAACTCCATTGAAGAGAAGGCGGTATCGGTCACAGTATTTTCCTTCGAGGTGATATTTTCGGGGACGTGCCAATCTCTCTGCATCTGTTCGGCGACGTTTGGACGACCGCGAAGGTTCATCAGTCCAATCGGACTCAGCTTGCATGGCGGGCGAGACCCGGGCAGCCGTCGCCCAGTACACCTGTATTGACCGGAAAAACCGCAGCAAGTGACAGTGCGTACATGCAGCTAGGTGGTGAAAGTAGTTGTGGTGGAGTGGGTAGCAAAAGAAGAGAGGCTTCTTCCAATATCACGTGATAGACACTTTGCCCTGATGAGTGAGGCTGCTGGCAGATGCTTCGCAGGCACTAGAACAGTTCAGGACAATGCCATGCCCGGATGTGGCTTGCTCTCGGCTATCCTACTACCATTGCTTTTGCTATTCGTCTGTAATTATAGAAATATTCCTGCCGGGGGTGGTTGGGGGAGATATTTCAGGTGGGGCTCTGCCGCGGCCGACTTTGCCTGTACTGCGTCATGCGTCGTGACTTGGCGACAGTTTCGCTCCCCCTCGACGCGTCTTCATGTTCCGCCATGCGCTGAGACTGTGCACTCGGCCAGGCTACCGACCTGTCTGGGTGGTAGGAAGAAATGCTTCCCGGCTGGCCAGAACCAGGAAAAAAGCTGCCGTGCCAGCTGTGCCCTCATCATCGGCATCCTCGCCACCATCACCGCCTTCACCTCCACCTCCGCCTCCACCCGCAGTTGTCCTACGCGAATACCAAGAAGAATGTATCCAAGCTGTCCTGTCGTACCTCGAGCGCGGACACAAGCGCTTAGGTGTATCATTGGCAACAGGTTCTGGCAAAACCGTCATCTTCACCCACCTAATCGACCGCGTCCCCGCCTGTGGCAGTGCGACCCAAACACTCATCCTCGCCCATCGCCGTGAGCTCGTTGAGCAGGCCGCGCGCCATTGCGCCCGCGCATATCCCACCAAGCATGTAGACATTGAAATGGGCTCCCATCAAGCCTCGGGTGCCGCCGACATCACAGTTGCCTCGATACAAAGCATCACATCAGGCGACCGCCTTCACAAGTTCGATCCCGCACGCTACAAACTCGTCTTAGTCGACGAGGCCCACCACATTGTCAGCTCGACCTATCTTCAGGTCCTTAAGCACTTTGGTCTGCGCCATGCCACAGATTGGACCAAGACCACCACTCCTGCTCTCGTTGGCGTGTCGGCCACCTTGTCCCGCTTCGATGGCAGGAGATTGGGCGCTGCTATTGATCACATCGTCTACCACCGGTAAGTCTCGATATGGGATGAGTGGTAAGGGACTGAGCTAACCTAAGACAGTGACTATGTAGACATGATCGAGGAGAATTGGCTCTCTGATGTAATCTTCACAACCGTCGAGATCAAGGCCGACCTGACCAAAGTGAGCACAGGATCCAATGGCGATTTTCAGGCTGGGGCTCTTTCCAAAGTCATTAACACCGACGAGACGAATAATCTCGTACTCAAAACATGGATCGCAAAGGCAAAGGATCGGCACTCGACACTCATCTTTTGCGTTGACCTCAGCCACGTCACCAATCTCACAAACATGTTCCGCCAGGCTGGAATTGATGCGCAGTTCGTTACTGGAGATACGCCACCCAAGGTCCGGAGCGCAAGGATTGACGCATTTCGCAACAAAGAATTCCCTGTATTGCTCAACTGCGGTGTATTCACTGAAGGCACAGACATTCCCAACATCGATTGTGTGCTATTGGCCCGGCCAACCAAGTCTCGTAATCTCTTGGTTCAGATGATCGGACGCGGCATGCGTCTATATGACGGGAAAGACAATTGCCATGTCATTGACATGGTCGCCGCTCTAAGTACTGGAGTCGTTTCGACCCCTACCTTGTTTGGTCTGGACCCTGCAGAAATCGTGGACAAGGCAGACACAAAGACTTTGGCAAAGATCAAGGAAAAGAGGGAAGAAGAGAAGCAAAGAGAAGAAGAGGCTTCCCTGTCAAAACAACCGACTGTCGCCAAAAAGCTGCCTGGCAGCATCTCTTTCACCGACTACGACTCTGTACATGATCTCATAGCGGACACTTCTAGCGATAAATACATACGCAGCATTAGCCCAAATGCGTGGGTGGGTGTAGGCGAGGGCAGGTACGTTCTCTCCGGCAACACGGGAAATTATCTCGTCCTCGAGCCCTCGGATACCGCAGATGGTTTCTTCAGAGCAAAGTACTATTGGAAGATTCCTATCGAAAAGCAGACGAAAAGCCCATATGGTACACCACGCGTTATTGCCGAAGGCGAGTCTTTTTCTCATGTCGTCCATGCAGCTGATACATATGCGGCGGAGGTGTTCCAGTACATATGGATCAATAAGAATCATGCATGGCGAAGAAGCTGCGCTTCCAAGGCACAAATCGACTTTATCAACAAGTCTCGGCCTGAAGAAGACCACCTGAAGCCAAGCGACCTCACAAAAGGCAAGGCAGCCGATATGATTACACGCCTCAAACACGGTATCCGTGGTCGGTATGATAAAGCCAACGTGAAGCAAAGATCGGAGCAGCGCATCAAGGCTCGCGCGGAGACATTGCAACAACGACTCCAGGGGCATGTACAAGTTGGGCCCTTAGGACAAGGCCAAACACTAAATGAGAAGCTTCTTGGATGAACTGGAAGTATATTTTATGTTTGCAAGGTCATGGGCGGCCGATCGCTTGTGGCTAGGGCCGCCAGGCGCACTGTGTACTTGTAAGTACACTACCCCGCGGAGAAGCGCGCACTGTTTCCACCAGCCCATCAGTACAGCCGGTTTCCTTACAGCTATGTACACCTACAGTGAACCCTAGCAAGTTCGCTCGGTCTGATATTTTCCCCGGACTCCCTCAAAGATCGGATGGGCTCTACTTTGCAAGATTCGGTGTGGTAAAAAGTAAACATTAATCCCATGATTGCGCGGGCGCTCCGATTGGCCATACAACTGTAGAGGTTGGAAGACTGGTATCGTTACCAATGCTTTTGCTTCGCGCGATTCCATCCAACCCGCATAAGAAATGGTGGTCTCAGGCTGAGCCGGTGCACCGAACATGGCTTGAATCGCGCTATACTGCGGCGTCTACGGGATTGTGGTGACGCGAGAGAAAGTATGCTCGGATGGTGCATCTCCGCTGAAAGATCTTCAACCCAATGTTTCCATGATAGCCCCCACACTTTATCCACTTTGTGCGGTCCGGCCAGGAACATCGTCTAGTTGCCCAGAATTCGCTCACTGTTCGCCACGCCGTATTGGGCGCTAGTCCCCTTCCAGCGTCAAAGATAAGGCCGCATATCAAAACTCTGTAGTAATTCGGTATGGCCAGAGCCTAGTCCGCCATGACGGTCTAGGCGATGACGACATACAGGGTTTGACGTCTTCTCCACAGAATGAAGTTGGGTTTCCGCGGTATTCCTATGTAAGCTTCTGACGTTGGTGGAAAGATCATCTTTGTTACTTACTGGAGGGCCGCTCGATTTGCACCCCGGAAGCACTATAGCATCTAGCTGAAAGCCAATAATTCCAGGAGTTCAACTTCTCGCCACTACCTCTAAATACTATCACTCCACTCCGCTTTTGTGCCTGATTGTTTTTTCTCCTTCTTGCTTGGTCTTTATTCTACATTTGTACATAGCCAAGCACAGTACCCGTCTGTCGGCACCAATTTAAGTTTAGGTACCGCACGCTGCATCTGCACGATGAGCATAGTCACCCAAAAACAGGCGGCAGTCCCTATGTCGTTTCTTCATGAACGCCAGTCACAGCCTCACGCAGGCTCCACATCAAAACAACTACCTCCATCACCACCAGAAACAGTCGATGGCAACGATATCGAATCCACTGCCTCGACATCAACACAAGAAGACTTTCCACTCCCACCACCAGCAAATACTCCACCTCAAGTCCTAGAGCTTGACAAATCCACTCCAGATGCGCATGTCCCGCGAGATCCGAGGTTGATTCGGCTGACGGGTGTGCATCCGTTCAATGTCGAAGCACCGTTGACTGATTTGTTCAACGAGGGCTTTCTTACTAGCCCCGAGCTTTTTTACGTTAGAAACCATGGAGCAGTACCGGAAGTTCAAGATGACGAATGCTTGGACTGGGAGTTCTCAGTAGAGGGGTGAGTTAGTGTTGATTCCGACGCAGTATTTTGATATTGAGACCCTTGTAGCATGGTTGAAAACCCCCTCAAGATTACTCTACGACAACTACTGGAAGAGTACGAGAATGTGACATATCCTATTACATTGGTCTGTGCTGGCAACAGACGAAAAGAACAAAATGTTGTGAGAAAGAGCAAGGGCTTCTCGTGGGGTCCAGCTGGAGTTTCCACTGCACTCTTCACTGGTGTGGTGATGAAGGACATTATTGAACGAGCGAAGCCACTACGGAAGGCCAAGTACGTTTGCATGGAGGGAGCTGACAAGCTTGTAAGTGGTAGTACTTCGATGCATATGCTCAATACTAACAATCCACATAGCCTAATGGGTACTACGGTACTTCTGTAAAACTCAATTGGGTCATGGATCCTAATCGAGGCATTATGCTAGCACACAAGATGAACGGCGAGATGCTAAGACCCGATCACGGCAAACCATTGCGAGCTGTGATACCTGGCCAAATTGGAGGCAGAAGTGTCAAGTGGCTAAAAAAGTTGATTGTCACCTCTGAGCCTAGTGACAACTGGTACCACATCTACGACAACAGAGTACTGCCCACCATAGTCGACCCTGATGAAGCGGCAAATAACACCAAATGGTGGACGGATGAGCGATATGCCATTTATGATCTTTCGCCCAATTCAGCCATCGCGTTCCCCCAGCACGGAGAAACATTAGGCCTTTCTTCGAGTCAAACTTCCTACAATGTACGTGGCTATGCCTATAGTGGTGGTGGCCGGCGCGTAACACGGTGCGAACTGTCCTTGGATCAAGGAAAATCGTGGAGACTCGCAAATATCGACTATCCAGAAGACAAGTACCGCGCTTTCGACAATCGACAGTTGTACGGTGCAAGGCTGGACATGGACTGGCGTGAAACAAGCTTTTGCTGGTGTTTTTGGAATATTGAAATCTCAACCGAGGAACTCAAACGAGCAGATGACATTGTAGTCAGAATCATGGATGAAGCCATGTGCGTGCAGCCAAAAGACATGTACTGGAGTGTCCTGGGTATGATGAACAATCCCTGGTTTCGAATCGTGATCCACAAGGAAAACGGCACACTGCGGTTCGAACATCCTACCCAACCTGCTCTGATGCCTGGCGGTTGGATGGAGCGCGTCAAGAAGGCTGGTGGCAATCTTTCCAACGGCCATTGGGGAGAGAAGGTAGGCAACGAAGAGCCAGACCATGCCCAAATCGAACAGGTCAAAGATATTAAAATGACTAAAGATGGGGTTAACAAAGTCATTGGCATTGACGAGCTACGAGAGCACGACAAGGCAGACACCCCATGGTTCGTTTTGAACGGAGAAGTGTACGATGGCACCGCATTTCTGGAAGGGCATCCTGGCGGTGCACAAAGCATTGTGAGCGCCGCAGCAACGGATGCTACTGACGAGTTCATGGCGATTCGTAAGCTATATGCTGAAACTTCACATTGAGTAGGAATACTGACGGCCTGCAGATAGCGAAACAGCAAAAAAGATGATGCCAGATTATCACATTGGCACCTTGGACGAAGCCTCTCAGAAGGCTCTCGCACAAGGCCAGGTGACTACAGAATCCACTGAGCCACGACCCGTCTTTCTTCACCCTCGCGAATGGCGCCAAGCTCATCTCCAATCAAAAAAGAAGGTCTCATCAGACACGCACATCTTCCGCTTCAAACTCGATCACGACGACCAAATCCTCGGCCTACCCACCGGCCAGCACCTCATGCTTCGACTTCGCGACCCAGTCACCCGCGAGGCTATCATCCGCTCCTACACCCCGATATCCCAAACCAACCAAAAAGGCTACTGTGACATTCTCATCAAAGTATACGCCGACACACCTTCCCGCGCCGGCGGTAAAATGACAAAAGCACTTGACGCCATCCCCCTCGGCCACAGCCTCGACGTCAAAGGACCCATCGGCAAATTCGAATACCTCGGCCGCGGCCTCTGCAGCATCAACGGCAAGCAAACGAAGCAGATAAAACGCTTCTACATGATCTGTGGTGGAAGCGGTATCACGCCCATTTACCAAGTCCTACGCGCAGTCATGCAGGACAAGGAAGATGCGACACGGTGTACTGTTTTGTATGGAAACCGCAATGTCGAGGATATACTTTGCAGAGAGGATTTAGATACTTTTGTGAAGGGGGATAGGGATCGATGCAGGATTTTGCATACGTTGACGCAGGGAGGTGAGAGCTGGGATGGACGGAGAGGACGGATTGGAGAGGCGATGCTCAAGGAGGAGTGTGTGAGGGGGGAGGGAGAGAGTATGGTGCTGGTTTGTGGACCGGAAGCGCTGGAGAAGGCGACTTGTGAGGTACTGGGGAAGTTGGGGTGGGCAGAAGATGAGATTTTGGTGTTTTAGTGGTTTACAGCATGCAAACGTTGTTCGGTATTCTGTCATGTTGGACATTTGAGTCTATTGAGTATACTACGATAGTTCTTTTTTTCTTTCTTATACTGGATTAGGTAAAGCGTACAGTATGGCGTTGGATTTACTGCGACTTCAATGGTTCTGTACCGTTAAGAAATAAATCGTGTTATCGCAATGCACTTTCTCCCGCCTCATCGATTTTAAAATACCAAACATCCCCTCAAGCCTACAAACTCTCCGTCTACACCTTCATCTCTCACCCAAACCCACACCCTTCCAAAACTTCCAACGAACCCATCATCGGAAACGTCCAATCTCCCCTCAGCATCTCCGACACCTTCAACCCACTGATAAGACCCCTGTCGCCAAGCCCCACATATCTGGTCCCACCTCGCGATAAGGAACAACCCAACCCCCAAACCCTCAAGCCACGCGATCTCCACGGAGAACCACGCACCCACTCGCAACCCCCCGCAAAGATAATCACAGATATCATACCGTCTGTTAGGCTAATGGGACGGGCACTGCGGATTGACGTCTTACACGCTTGGCGCTAGTGCTACTAGGAACATGTACCGGAGATAGTTGAGATTATTGCGCGCTGGGGGGAGATTATGGTGCATTTCCGTATGTCACCGCGGAGGAGGGTACGGGCGTGTGTGAGTGGATTGCGAAAGAGAGAGAGGATTGTATGATGTAAGTGCGATTTTGGGGTGGTCTGATTTGCCCGTGTGGTGCGCGGAGGTGGGTGGTTTTGAGGAGGGATATGGGATGGGCTGGATGGATTTACCTAGCGGGCGGTAGTTTTTGTGCTACGGGAGTCTGTTTTCTAATGGATAGGTCCGGTTTGTGTGCTTCTGACTTATCAAGCTGAGGGATACGCCTTTCTTTGCTATCTCGCTCCGTTTGCCCTACTTTCTTCTTCTGTTGTATTTGTGCTTTTGGTGTGTTTTTGGTGTAGGCGGATAGTAGTATCGCATCGTACTCTCATAACTGAGCCCACGACGATATTCCGGAGGATACTTACTGTACGGCTGCCCGAGCGATTGCCTTGAAATCACAATGGCGGAAACGGAACCAATCATCACACAAGGCATTGAGCCTTCATCTGGAGAATCACACTCCCCGCCAGGCGACCGCCACATCACAGCGACCTGGGGATCAAAAGATGGAAATATTTCAAATCGGCAATGGAACGATCCGGAAGCAAATAAGCTACCTGAAAAGGTAGCGGATCTGGAGAAGAAGGGTGAGATCAACAATGATCGCCCACGGAAAAGAATTGTGGTTGTAGGATTGGGCATGGTTAGCATTGCTTTTATGTAAGTTGAGGATACTGAAGAGATATTTGCTGCGCATGCTGATTGAGTCTAGCGAGAAACTCATGAAGTACGACGTTAAGCGGAGAGAATACGACGTCGTTGTCATTGGCGAAGAGCCGCATCTTGCATACAACCGAGTTGGCCTAACGAGCTTTTTCCAACATCGCCAAGTGGAAAACTTGTATCTCAATCCGCAAGAATGGGTTTGTCGCAATCATTCGGCCGCATATAGATGAGGCTAACTTTGTCACAGTATTCCTCCATGCCAGAAGGCGCATTGAGTTACCACCTCAATACACTTGTCACCGAGATTAATTCTGAGGAAAAGACGGTCAAGATATCATCTGGGGAGACCGTCTCATACGACATCCTAGTGCTGGCAACAGGCTCCGATGCGCTTCTTCCCCGACACACCCCCGGACATGATGCACAGGGTGTATTCGTATACCGTACCATTGAGGATTTGCAAAGATTAATCGAATTTTCATCTTCACGAAAAGGCACGACTGGCGCTGTCGTAGGCGGCGGCCTACTGGGTCTCGAAGCCGCACATGCGATGATGGATCTTGAAGACTTTGCCAAAGTCAAGCTAATTGAAAGAAACCGCTGGGTGCTGTCAAGGCAATTAGACGGCGATGCCGGTGGTATGGTTGTGGAGCAAGTACGAGCATTGGGCTTGGACGTAATGCTAAGCAAGAGGGTGGGCAAGATTTTAACTACCGAGGACAACTTTGTTAGGGGCGTGGTGTTTGAGGACGGCGAAGAGATGGAGTGTTCTTGTATTTGCTTCGCGGCAAGTATTTTTGGTATTCTGGAATGGCGACCAAAACTGACATGCGTAGATTGGTATCAAAGCTCGAGATGAGCTGGCTAGAAAAGCCGGCATCAAATGTGCTGACAGAGGAGGCGGCATAGTCGTCGGACCCGATCTAGCAACATCCCAACGCGACATCTACGCCATTGGCGAGTGTGCGAGCTGGGAGAACCAAACCTTTGGCCTCATCGCTCCTGGTGTCGAGATGGCCGACGTACTAGCTTTCAACTTGACCCAAGCGAAAGCACATGCGCCGCGAAAGTTCAAGGCCCCAGATCTTAGCACAAAGCTCAAGTTGCTAGGTGTCGAAGTTGCGAGTTTCGGTGACTTCTTTGCCGACCGCGATGGACCCAAGAATCTGCCTGGACGCCAGCGCGCCGATAGCAAGGAGCTGAATGCAAAGACGACACGAGACAAGGTTAAGAATCTGACAGATGGACCGGCACCACCACCGGTCAAGGCGCTCACGTACAAAGACCCATTCCAGCAGGTCTACAAGAAGTATCTATTCACCATGGACGGAAAGTATCTGTTGGGTGGCATGATGATTGGCGATACGAAAGACTACATCAAGCTTGTACCTATGGTGAAAAACCAGAAGCCGCTTGAGATACCCCCCAGCGAACTGATTGTCGGCACACAAAAGGATGAAGATGATGGTTCTGATCTGTGAGTAAAAAAGCAGTGACTAAGGGAGTGCTATTATTGACAATCGCAGATCCGATGATACCCAGATCTGTTCATGCCACAACGTCACCAAAGGTGATGTAGTCAATGCCACCAAAGATGGAACTTGCAAGAGCATCGGCGACGTCAAGTCTTGCACCAAAGCCGGCACTGGCTGCGGTGGCTGCATGCCCCTCGTCCAAACCATTTTCAACAAGACCATGGCTTCTATGGGCAACGAGATCAAAAACCATCTTTGCCCACATTTTGAGTACTCACGCGCCGATCTCTTCAACATCATTTACGTTAAGGGTCTCAAGGATTTCGCCGCTGTGATGAAGGAGGCAGGAAAGGACGCCAACTCTCTGGGATGTGAGGCCTGCAAACCGACCATTGGAAGCATCATCTCTTCGCTGTACAACAAACATCTGCTTGAGGTGAACAACCGAGGTCTCCAAGATACAAACGATCGATTCCTGGCCAACATCCAACGCAACGGCACATTTTCCGTTGTTCCACGGGTTTCTGGTGGCGAGATCACACCGGAGAAGCTCATCATCATTGGAACAGTGGCGAAGAAGTACAACCTCTACACTAAAATTACGGGCGGCCAGCGCATCGACATGTTTGGTGCGCGCAAACAAGACCTCCCAGATATCTGGCAAGAGCTTGTCGATGGCGGCATGGAGTCTGGCCATGCGTATGCAAAGTCGCTCCGAACTGTCAAGTCATGTGTTGGAACTACATGGTGCCGCTTCGGCATTGGTGATAGTGTAGGCATGGCTGTGCGTCTAGAAGAGCGCTACAAGTCCATTCGTGGTCCACACAAGTTTAAGGGCGGAGTTTCAGGCTGTGTGCGCGAATGCGCAGAGGCTCAGAACAAGGACTTTGGTCTCATTGCTACCGAAAAGGGATTCAATATCTTTGTTGGTGGCAACGGTGGTGCAAAGCCCAGGCATTCGGAACTACTAGCCAAAGACGTGCCACCAGATGACGTGGTCCCTATCCTCGATCGCTATCTCGCATTCTACATCCGGACTGCCGACAAGCTGCAAAGAACGGCCCGGTGGATGGAGAACCTCCCAGGCGGTATCAAGTACCTCCAGGAAGTCATCCTGCAAGACAAACTCGGCATCTGCGCCGATCTAGAGAAGCAAATGGAAGATCTCGTGGGCACTTTCTTCTGCGAATGGACCGAAGTCCTCAAAGACCCCAAGAAACGCGCTTGGTTCTCCCAATTCGCAAACACATCGGAGACCATCATCGACACTATCGAGCCCACACAAGAACGCGGCCAAGAACGCCCTTCCTACTGGCCCAAAGACTCCGTCACTGAAGACTTCCGCGGCACAAAATGGACAGAACTCTCCTGGCAACCCTTGGTCAAAGCCTCAGAGTTCCAAGACGCAGATACTGGCGATAGTAAGGCCATCAAACGTGGCGACACGCAACTCGCCGTCTTCAAAGTCCGCGGCAAATACTACTGCACGCAACAAATGTGCCCGCACAAGCGTGCTTTCGTGCTCTCCGACGGCCTCATTGGCGACGACCTCGCAAACAACAAACTCTGGGTCTCGTGTCCCTACCACAAACGCAACTACGAGCTGTCGGGCGAAAACGCAGGCAAATGTGCAAACGACGAGTCCGTCAACATTGCTGTATTCCCGATTGAAGAGCGGGAGGATGGCTGGTTGTATGTTAAGCTGCCGAGTGTGGAGGAGCTGGATAGCGTGTTTGGGACCAGCAAGTTTAAGATTAAGAAGAGTGAGACTGAAGATCCGTTTGTGGCGCTCGATAAGAAGTTGCAGAGGTTGCAGCTTAAAGGCAGGAAGGGCGTGCCAGTTTCGCATCTTGAGGAGGGACTGGGGGAGAAAGGGAAGGCGGCGCAGATACTAGCTGGCGGGGAGAGGGGTGCTGGGGGGTTGGATTGGTAAAGAAGGGGATGGTTAGCGTGGAAGCATTTGGTGTGGCGTCTTTTTTTGGCTGGACTGGTAGAAGATTCCCATAAATGGCTAGATCAAGGCTTTTTCGACTTTTTTTTGAACCTATTTACATGTTTTGGAAAGTGTGATGTCGTTATCTTTGGGCATTGAAGCTGTGCTTGTGTCGCATGTTGACTGCCTTACTTTCAACCCGTCTGGAGATTGTCAATACAAAGTAAATGTCTGTCCCAAACTAATACGGGTACTTTCGATATGCTTAAACGCTAAGGTGTATAGGTCATAGCAGTGACAAGCAATACCTTCATTAACATCACGTCTGGTGTGACATACTGGGAGTAGTCATTTTACCACAGTTTTGGCGGTTTGCTTGACAGACTCTCACAAGGCCGTTTTAGAGAAGTATGTCGCCCTACTATGGATACCAATCTACCCCGGCGTTTTCAAACCAACACACCCTTTTGGAAAGATATTGCTAGTCTGCAATCTTGTTGACCATGTGCTGCGAGCGTTGGTTGGCCTTGTTTTGGACCTGACGGAGTTAATGTAACGTTAAAGGTTTGTTGTCAGTTAGTGAGCATCGAAATTGAGTTCAGAAAATACATATGGTTGGACGTTCTCATCCCGGGACTTGCTGTTGTAACCTTGAGCTGACGTGTCCAAAGTGGCGATCGTATCGGTGCTTGATGCTTGAATGGCTAGGCACCAAATACTGCTGAGAGCAAACATATTCACAATTTGTGTGACTGGAGTACGTAGCTGAGACGACTGGATGGCCGAAAGGGTTTGGTGGTCGGGCTGAAGTGGTGGTTCGACCGAGTTGTCATAATACATAATAGCGAGATTCTGACTTCAACGTGGCAAGCACGCAAAATTTAATTCCTACCCCAAAAGACCGTAACAGTTTCGACCATAAGTTGGTCTTATACCTCTCTTGTAATTCTTCCGACACCATTTTCGATTATGGAGAATATCAAGATCCACCTAGGGCAAAAGCATATATGGGTGGACGCGCAAACGTTCCGCGCATGGTTTCCCAAACAGAGGTCTGAATACTCAATACAAGGAGATATCTGGGTACAAAAGCTGCATGGCTATTTCAACGGTCATTTCGGTATACGGAAGGAGATTGTTCAGAAGACTTTGGAGCGATTCTTCGGTACACTCGGACCTTACGCGCAACATGGCAATGGGGAGACACGACATCGTGTTCGTCAGGTCCTCCGGCACTATCTCGATCAGCAGTGCCTCAACAACGCTTATAGGCCCAAAGATCTCCAATGCTTGCGGCACACATTCGTCATTCTAGTGCAATTGGCGCGGAAGTATGAGTCCTTGCTGCTCGCCGAGGCGTTGTCAACTTTCTGGGACCAGACCAAGAGCAAGATTAACCGCCACGAGAAAAGCGAGTACTTGGCAGACTGGAAGAAGGCAGCGGAAAAGCTTGAAGAATCGCATGCAGTCCGCCCTTTGTCTGCTCTCATTCCACAGCGTCATGGCCGAGGACGGCCAGCACCTGGGGTAAAATACGGGCGCCGCAAAGTGGATTTCCGACTTGACGCCCAGGCTTTCGCCAACCCAGCATGGGCGCCTCATGGAATTGCACCCGTCGGATATCGTCGAGACGAGTATTTTGCCAAGCTGAACAGGATTCAACATCAGCAGCGGGAGATGAAGGAGACACTAGAGAATGTGAATGGAAAGCTAGACCGGCTGATACGTGGCGCATATTGATGGATAGTAGTCGAGGGTTTGGATGCCCAGAGAGGCTTTCTTGTGGCAAGATAATCTGTCAGGATAGAAAGGATGGGATATGAGTCGTACTGAAAGAGAAGAAGTTTCCTTGGCTAGGCTATAGTAGACTAAATGGACTTGCTATTTTAGTAGGAACGATATGTTTGTACTGGCCGATTTGGAAGGCAGGCGCAACCATGTCGTATTGCAATATCCCTTCCAGAGTAATGGCTTCCACTTTCGTGCTATACAACAGCTCAGCTACGACTCGCAAAAACTGGGTTCTGTGAAATGAGATGGCGCTAAATTGGATAGAGCAACAACAGTTTGCCAGACGCTAGTAGCCTTGCCATGTGTCTCTAGTAACAAACTTGTGCAATTTAACAAGGACGGTGTATGACCAACAATTCCTGGTGGATGGACTTTGATTGGACGCAATGTTTACCGATAGGGCTAGGCTCGCAATCGAGTATGAACTATTGGTTGAAGCCATTTGATAAATGATAGCATTTGTCTATGCCAAACGCGGCTGGAGTCTATTTGGAAACCTAGACGTGGTGAAGGAACGCATGATGGCACCTTAGACCAATGATTTCCTGCCACGCAACAAATGTTCGTAACCCCCCACTGTGTTGAATGCGCCGGACGCCTTGCTGACTCAATTGAATACGCCGAAATCGATGCAAAAGGAAACCGGGTCGATTGGCATTAGCGTAGATAGTGTATGACGAGCCAGCAGAAGAGGAAAAAGACGACGACGCCGCCCCAGAAGATCCACTTGTCCTGTTTTGCTCGCCTCTCCACCATGCGTATCGTGTCACCGCTGATGCCGAGGGTATTGGCAACCGTGTATAGCCTTCTCTGAGTGCCCTTGAGCATGTCTCTCTGCTGACCAAGATCACCGAGCACGGCTCTTCCCCTATCGAGGAACTCGTCGAGTTGTTCTGAAGTTTTGTTGAAAAATGTATTTTCGCGCAAGAGGTGACCTTCGCGATCATATTGGCCGCCTTGAGGGGCGCCTGCTGAGTATGGGTTGGGTCGGTAGGGGGCATTGGGATCGTAGGGTTGGGAGGGCGCAAAGGCTGAGTGCTGGGTAGCTAGGTTGTGCTGTGCATATGGATTCTCGGGCGTGGCTGTGTTATGAGGACGACGGCCTAGAAGCTCGGTGCGGGCTTCTGTTGTTTGCTGTGAGGGGGTTGAGTAAGCATTTGTCGCATGCGATTATGACGGCGGACAGTGGTTCGAAACGTACAATATCCTCATTAGCGCTCTTTATGCGCTTAAAGCTGGCACGGTATTCATCCAGCTCTATCTTGAAATTCTTCAATCTCTCCTGCGCTTTTTCCGCCTTTGTCTGCACCGGCTCTTGTCTCGCGAGCTTGCCATAGTCGTCGATGGTGCGGGCAAATGTTGCAAGGGATGCGTTGAGTTGGGCCTGGAGGTGTGGAGAGGGCGAAGCTGAATCGGCAAATTGATCCAAGTCTTTCCGTATTGAGGTCGATTGCCGCAAGGCGGAATTGAAGAGGGCGTTCTGTTTGCGACGTGAGCTTGCGCGGTGCTATATATGTGCCACCAGACGAACCATTGCGAGCTTTTTTTTTGCTGTTTTGGCTGCGGTCAAATATGGAAGGGTCGCGTCGTGATTGCGTGCGAGGATATATGCAATCCTAGACAACTGGTTCCGTATGTATTGGTGCCTTTTAGGCAGCGTTTTTTGGTGACTTGACAGATTGCATCATGGCCACATGCAATCGTCGTCGCATTTTTGCGCTAGCCCAAAGCGGACTGGATCAGGAATGCGAGCACCATGCCGAGCGGTGCGCTACACACGCTCTCATCTCAATTACATACGATGATACCAATCGCGTAGGCGCCTTTGACTATATTTCTCTTGATCCTAGCAAACTTCTTTTCAACATATGCCACTCGGCGCATGTTGATAGTCCGTCTCACAGGAACGCGACATGCACACCAGCCGCTTGTCGCCATCTACTCGCCCTCGGCCATCCATCCAGCCAGGTCTTCTCCATGGCCAACCTTACATTATTCCATCTCATATCAATTCATGCTCACTCCCGTCTTACTCACAGTGGTCCAATCTTGACGTCTGTCTCTTCCCCTCCTGCCTATCCGGGTAATCGTCTACGCAATCCCTGCTCACTGGACGCTCGCTATTTGTAACTGCGGATCCGGTGGCTACCACCAATCGCAAAAGGTGCAAGACGAAATCAAGGCGCGGTACCGTCGGCTGAAGCCTCTAACTGACATGGGAAGTTCGATAGCATCTCGACTTCCGAGCAGGAGTTTGATGTCATGGCATGCCGCCTTGCTTTCCTGGCCGCAGGCTATCCGCCTTTCTCTATTTGAGTCGCTGTCCTGAGAAAATCCAGGTAGCCCCGTATTCTCCTTCTCAAACATGACCATGCGATTGCTGTCGCTGTTGCATTTCAGTACGCTGATCTCAGCGACACTCGCACATGATGTTCATGACCGCGACCTTCCCCCTCCAGTTGCCATCAACGACCAGACGTATACTCAGTGCGCCAATGCAGCATGGCCGCCCTCAAACATCGGTACTGAACTCGTTCCGCAAGCTCCGGATGATGAGATGCGTGCAATCTTAAACGAAGTGAGCGCTGCCAATATCCAAGCCACCATCGAGAAGCTTGTCTCTTTCGGAACTCGCCACACCCTTGCAACATACAATAGTTCAACGCGCGGTATCCATGTAGCCAGGGACTGGATTGCTTCTGAAATGCAAAAGTATGCCGATGAAAGCAATGGGACCATGACGGTTGAGGTCCAGAGCTACATTCAAGGCGTGGCCAGCAGGATCCCTTTCCCAGTCACCATCTCGAATGTCTTAGCGACCGCCAAAGGAAGCCAGGATCCAAGCAGGGTCTACGTCATGACCGGGCACTATGACAGCCGCGTCACCGACGTCCTCAACTACGAAGCCGATTCACCTGGTGCCAACGATGATGCTAGTGGGACAGCTAGTAAGTTCAGTATTGCATCTTCTGTAGAGTGTGGAGACTGATCTCGATTAGTCGCCATGGAGATTGCTCGTATACTTTCCAAACACCAACCAAAATCTACCATTATTCTGGGTGCCGTCGCTGGCGAGGAGCAAAACCTCTATGGCTCTACTTACCTTGCCGAGACACTACGAAATTCTAGCACTAACGTCGAAGGCATGTTGAATTGCGATATTGTCGGATCATCGACTGGCGACCGTGGACAAAAGGACCCCTTTACTATTCGTGTTTTTGCAGAAGGCGTGTCGCTGACAGGACTTGACAACATTGCGCCTGCTCGACGCCTTCAAGTCGGTGGCGATAGCGACACCTCTGCACGAGAGCTCGCTCGTTTCTCCGCTGAAGTTGCTGCTAATGATGCCACTGGTATGAATATTGCTATCATATATCGTCTGGATCGCTTCCTGCGCGGTGGTGACCATACTGGTTTCCTTCGGGCCGGGTATCCTGCCATTCGTTACACAGAGCCCAACGAGAACTTTGATCATCAGCACCAAGATATCCGCACTGAAAACGGAACTGTATACGGTGACCTGATTGAGTTTGTCGACTTTGAGTACACAGCACGCGTTGGCAAAGTTAATCTTGCTACACTTTGGTCGCTCTCGCAAGCTCCCGGCATGCCAAAGAACGTGACCATCGACACAACCATACTTGACAATGACTCGCGGATCAAGTGGATCAATTCCGATAGTCCTGATGTGGCTGGGTATGAAGTTGTCTGGCGATCCACAACGGCCAGCTTGTGGACGCACGCAGTCGATGTGGGCAAAGTCGGCTTTGTAGTTCTTCCACTAAGCAAGGACAATGTCATCTTTGGGGTGAGGTCGGTTGGTACCAACGGATATAAGAGTCAGGCTGTCTATCCCATCCCTGTATAAAATGACTCTGTCAAGACTCATCAAAAGGGAAAAAGGTTGAGAAAATGTATTCGAGTTCTGACCCTAATCCGAATCGCCTATGATTCAGCATTCATGCTTTGCATACGTGATATATGCATACGATAACGCAGAAAATGGGCTTTCGCGATCGCCCCCGTTGTGATTTTTCTTTCTCATGGCCGCCTAACGTTCTAGTAATGTTGTCTATACAACAAGACTGCAATGTGTTAGCATGAAACTAGGCGAGTGCAGAGCTGAAGCTTGAGTAAAGAGTAAGCAACGCCACTAGCATGGTCGCAGCACCAATGAGGGACCGGACCGTGCCGCATACCCCAAAACTAGTGGTACATTTCACTCATGCTTCCATTGCCCAACCTCATGACTACACTTGCACACACCTCACTGGAAGATCTATTAGAATACTTCATAGTCTGAGCAGGTACACTCCCTGAGTTGGCTTACTTCAATATCATCGCGGCTTAAGTCGCATATTACGATGCGTTCAAGTGATGTTATTGACAAGAAGGAGCTAAGTGGAGTTGGCTCAAAGAATCCCCTCCACTATTGACGTAACCTATACCGAAATCTTGGGGAAATTTTAGGCTAGCGCCATACTAACGAATACGATGAAGTAGGCGAATCAAACATACTTGGGTAGTATTTCTGTGGATTGTGACACTCCACCAATCGCATCATTTCTCGGCCCAAGGACTAGAGAAATTCTCCCTAAAGCCTTCGGTCCAAATGTTTTCCGCGGCTGACCCTCGGCTCTAAGGCTCTTTGATGCTGGCACTTGGGCTACGTTATTGACTCCTTTAGAGCCAGACGGGCTAAAGATCTAATTGACAGCCCGAGCTATCTGTGAATCAAATACTCAAAAGTAGGATGTATCTTCTAACTGCGTTGTTTTGTTTCATATTGATGATATGAAAAGATAGAAGACTGGCGCATAAGGCGCACGTGCGTAATGCCAAGATATGTCGGTCAGTCTAGCCTAGCGAAAGTATCGATCCACGTCCGAATAGTTCGGACGAATGCGCCTTCGTCCCTGAGAAAGTCTACTCACTTCTTCCCGTCCTAATCACCTGCTCCAACCAAATTCTCCCGTAAAACTTAATTCGCTCATCTGAGCATTAGCAGAAAGGAAAAAAGAAGATATGATCACTCCTTTGTCCGAAAGGCGCACCCGAAACCGACCTTTGAAGCGGAAGATGCGAAAAGGGACCCACAGCTGTTCTGAGTGTAAGTGTCACTGCCTTTGGCATGACAAGCTAAAGCAACTAAGACTTGTTTGAAAACAGGTAGAAGGCGTGAGGTGAAATGCATTTTTATTGCTGGCCAAGAAAGGTGTAAAGAATGTCACTTTCGAGGAAGCAACTGCGTTAAACAATGTCCCGGCACTGCAAACATGTCAGCCAAGAGAACAAAGAGCATGCAAGAGCGGATTTCAGAACTAGAGGCACTTATTCAAACCCTTCGTGCAGAGCGGGGGACCGATTCATCAGCAAATCAGTCACAGATTTACGTTGATGATATCGAGTGTTTGATCCTTGTAGCAGCCGACAATTCACCGGAAGCCAATCTACCCCCTCTGATGCGACTGTTCGATAATGATGTAGTGCGTATTCAAAAAAAATCATATCACTTTGTGCGTAGGCTAAAATACTGCAGATTGCCCCTGTAAATGACCAGGTCATAGATGATACGAATTCTCACTCTGGTGGTCCATCAACTCCTAGTAGCCTTGTTGAAACCACAGAAAATGGATCTTGTAGCGAAGGAACACCAAGGAGTGCTGAAAGCAAAGCCCGGACCAATCCAAAGACTTCGAAAGACCAACGTACCCGAGAAAAGTTGTTGGAATGCATGTATTTTGGCGATAGGCTAGATGACTTGCTTCAGAAAAACGAACAGCGATGGATCACCTGGCGCACCCGTATTCTTGCCCATCCTCCAAATGAATCTTTTACAAACTGGAGCAAGAGAGTTATCCATTATGGATCACCATCTGATCTTGGCGCACTCATCTTGCTCATAGGCACTGGATCAGACCGAAAGAACTCGCAGAGTTTGATCCCTCCAGTCGCGACTTTGATCACCTCTGACGATGGCTATGCTACTACCTTGTCTGGAATCGAATGCTCACTTCTGCTCTCCGACTATTATTGCAGCATTGGGCAACCAAGGAGAGCTTGGTTAGCCATTCAGAGAGGATTAGCATGTGCTCGATTAACTGTGCGTTTCTGTGAGAACATAATGTCCGTTTTACTAACACTGCACAGGGTATACACCGCCGCAGCTCCTCGCTAATGGCAAGTGGAATAATGCTACTACTGCACTACGAGAATCAGTTTCTGAGCCTTATGCTGGGGACGCCGCGTGGCATAGACTTTCATTGTAACATCGAATACGCAAAAGAAGATGTCAGGTTCTTCAAATCCGCGCTAGGAGCTGTTTGCAGTAAGTTCTTGATCGGAACACAAGATCAACGGGAGCCTTCTCTATCATTAGTCCTTGAACTCAACCAGCAGCTCCAAGCCCTGGCTCTGGCCATACCAAAGGTATGGAAACAATCGCAGTTGAAACATTCGAAGCCAGCAGAATTGTTGTTGCCTGATGTCGATCAAGACAAGGTTCTGATCCAGATACACATACAACAACTGCGGACATATTTGTATCTGCCATTGATGCTTGGCTCAGGCGCCACTCAAAATTTACCTACTTCCATGTATGAGGTGAGTCGGATAGCTTGTCTCGAGTCCTCAAGGGAGCTACTGGGACTCTACCAGTTCCTGCATCAACAGTCTCTATTCGAGAATACACTTCTAGACTTCATGGGCTTCTCAGCAGCAATGTTGATAATTCTCAACCTACTTGGCTGTCCCAAATTTAGAATGGAGGATGAGTGTTCTATACGAACGAGCAATCAAGACGAGCAAGATTGGGACTTTGTTGAAACGACTGTCACCATATTAGACGACCGAGCGAAAAGTCACGATAGTAAAGTCATCAGACAAAGCCTGGAAGTCTTGCGCGCGTTATCTGGTGCCCGAGATCCCGCTTACCTCGTATATCCAGGATGCAAATATCGTCTTGTAGTTCCGTTCTTCGGCGATATCCTAGCGCAACCAGGTACAAAATTTGGTTTCATCAGTTCACTTAACAACGCGACCACCTCAGGCGAGGGAGCGACAGCGCATCACGGCGACTCTTCCAAAGACATGAATTCTAGAAGCGTCTTAGGAGGTGTATCGAATGGTTCTAATACCGAACATGCGAGGAGCACAATAACAATTTCAGAGCTCTCTGGTTGGAATGCATCTAGAATTATGCCAGAGCTATCAGAACATGCGTTTAACCTATTGCCTCAGGATTTGGAGAATGAAGAGAATGGAAACATTTTCAACGGAACATTAGATGTTGATCTTGGACTTGGAATGCAACCCACGCGATACAGTCAACAGTGGCAGTACCTTGCAGACATGGACCTTGACCAAGATTGGCTATTACTAGCTGAACCCGGCACAAGCGATCTGTTTGCTGGAATTGAATAAGTCGTGCATTTTTGTCTCTTTGTACTAATATATGGGAATCTTGCTTTGGGAGCCATTCGTGCTGTTGAGTGAAATATAGAGCTAAGCTGCTATACATCCGTAGTACGAGGCATAAGATTCAATAAATCTTCATCTTCCTGTACGAACATGGTGTTTTCTAGTCTGTTTTGAAGTGTTTAGGCTATGTATTCGAGTATTACAAGAGCCTATGTGAACCACTGAAGCACAAATGACCAAACTGATTGATCGACTGCACACCAACTCACTGCTAACCATAAGGTAGTCCTCAGTCAATCTGTACATCTCCCCAACCACACATCTTTCATCACCTAAACATTCATACTACTCCTGTCAGCACATATCGACGTGTTGCTATCATACCAAACTTGATGCTTATAGTCTTTGCTTCAACGAAATGCATCAGCCCTTGCCGTCCACCCTCCCGTCCAATGCCGCTCTGCTTGTTACCGCCAAACGGAACACCAATGTTAAATGACTGAGAAGAATTGATGTTAACATTGCCGGCGTCAATCTGCTTTGCAATACGGAGAGCACGGCTGGTCAAAGCAGTATAGATGCACGCTATAGATTTATTAGCCATATACATCTTAGGCGTTCAAAGAATAAGAGTTACCGGAAAGACCAAAACATGTGTCGTTAGCCAATTTAATAGCTTCCTCTTCTGTTTTGAAAGTCTTGATAGTAATCACTGGGCCAAAAATTTCCTCGCGATAAATGTGAGCGTCGTCCTTGGGGTTCAGGAAAATAGTCGGCTCCACGTAGTATCCGCTGTTTGAGTAGCTGTGTCGTTTTCCGCCAGTGATGAGCTCGGATTCCTGCTTCCCAATCTCGATGTAGTTCATCACGCGTTCGAATTGCATGCTGTCGGCTAGTGGTCCAAAGACTGTCTTTGGGTCCAGAGGCGATCCAGCAGTCTGAAAGACTTGTTCAAACCGAAACTTCAGCTGCTCAATGAAGGCCTCAGCGATATTTCCCTGAATAAAAACTCTTGTTGCGGCTACGCATGCCTGTCCACTATTGGAAAGAAAGTTGAGGCTATGGTGGTGAAGAGCGTTGTTCAAGTTTGCGTCATCGAAGATCAGACTGGGAGATTTCCCTCCGAGTTCAAGGACAACTCGTTTCAGATTGCTGCGTCTTGTCAGTTTGCTGTCTGAATTATCACTACGTTGCTAGATATACCTCTTTGCAGAAAGTTCCTGAATCTTTTTCCCAGTAGCAAGCGATCCCGTGAAGGATATCTTATTGATGTCCATGTGACTTGCAAGCATAGCTCCTGTAGAGCCGGGACCAGTGATAATGTTGATGACGCCTGGAGGGAAGCCAGCCTCTTTGACGAGGTCACCAAGTTGAAGCATGCCAATCGGAGTCTTTTCCGATCCTTTGAAGATGACGGTACATCCAACAGCGATAGCTGTAGCAACTTTGGAGCCAAAAAATCCTGGCGCCCCATTCCAGGCACCAATCCCCGCACACACTCCGATAGGGTCAAACTGGACAATCTTTAACGGCGTTAGCTTGTGGTGAGGAATATCGGAATACTACCTGCCCTGTAAAAGCCGTCGTGCGACGGATATTGCTCGCCATTCAGTTTGTCGGTCCATCCGGCGTAATCTTACTCAAGTATTAAAACGAGTCAAATAAAACTTCCGTGGTGGACTTACATCTGAAGCTAGCAATGAGTATCTGGTAGATAGCTTTCGTGGTAGAGATGGCCTGGCCCATACACTTGCTTTCCCAAAGAGCTAGCTCATCAGCATGCTGTTCGACGAGATCCGCAAACTTTAGCATGACTGCCGATCTTTGCACCGGTACCCATCTAGACCATTCTCCGTGGAAAGCTGCTCGCGCTGCTGCAACAGCTTTATCCACATCTTCCTGACCGGCGATTTGAAGCTGATCTGCTACAAGTGATTCGTCGTGGGGGCTGTAGACAGCCAATGTTTCTTCATTTTGAGCGTCCACATACTTTAGGTTGTGAGTTAGCAGTCGTAGGTATTTTGTTATTGCGGGCGCATGGCTTGGTACTTCGTTGTTGATGAAAAGTTGGGTGCGCATCTTTTTGTCTTGATGTTGAGTTTGTCGTAGCTTCGTAATGTTCAAGTTTTGCGATCTTTTGCTTTATTGCTACTTGTAGTGACAAACCTCCTTATATACGTTTTCTAGTGTAGGATGATAGATAATCTACATTAGTCTGCCAATGGTACCATTATCTCTACTCGCATACGCCGGACCAAGAAATCAGTAATACTTGAGACATGGATATAATGACTAGGCCTATATGGTGCTTGGGCTTACGCGTTCAATCTTGTCTTCTAATATGTGATAAAACTTCTACGCCCAATATCCCTGCCTTTTCCTGATTGTTTGGGCTAAAGTCTTTGCCCGAAGCGACGATCCGATTCCAGTTGGTCGATCCTCATACTAGTAGTGCCTCGGATGAGATTTTCGGGCTTAAAGAATCGCCTTTTAGGTTACACTAGAACCGGAACAAAAAGTCGGACGAAAGGCTTGTCACTCTTCGTGAGCCTATAGAAGAGATACGTCTGTTATGGATGACTATGCAACCCTATCACTAAGGTGGCTGGAAGTTGTCAAACTGCTGCTCCGTAAAGAAGCTGATATCAACCTACGGGCAGCACCTTACCCAACACGTCTAATTGCGGCAGTGGCAATGGGCAAAAGAAGAACGGCTGAATTTCTATTATAGAAAGGTGCCAGCGTGTATGCATAATCACATAGGACGAAATACAACGACGTTGTTATGGCTGCAGAGGAACAATGCAGTATTGGATGCGCGAGCAACATCCCGTTTTTATGGTCGTTGGTTTGTACCTGGATAACAGAGTGTCTTCTTTTTGGAAGGCATGTACGTCGTTGGACAAGCTCGAATGCTTCGAAGTTTTGTTTAATTGCATATGCTTGAATCTTTTCCTCATAAAGCAGGTACTTGCTGAGGCGTCTAGATTCTGCAAAGTTACCGCGACTCCTATCCCTACGTGTCTTTTCGAGATGCCTTTTGTCAACCATGCTTTATTGACTGTAGTATAAGCTCTGCTTAACAATCATATCAATAAACCCTGTATTTGTGTTCCTTCTTCGTACCCGTTAGCCATTGGCCTGACAAACTGTCGAATTCGAAGCTAAATTGATTTGGTATTACTATTCCGTCCTTAGGCAATGCAGTTTTACCCTCAGAGTACGTTACGATATAACACCTTTCGTAAGATACTTAGTAGACTTTGGAAGGACGCGCGTAAGTACGCTAGCTACCTCAACCAGCGCTGTGACAATGTGACCATTTCTACTTATCAGTATTGGTTGCTTCAAACTGCGTGCTTGGCTTACACCGCGACAGCATGGCGATGACGGGCTGTAGGACCGTCCAGGCTGACAGCGCACATGAGCGAAAATTATAAACTTTGGCTTTCGATCGCCCGCAGCATGACATGCTCTTACAGCCTTATCTCCTACCCGCGCCCCCTAGTCCAGTAGACCACATGCCACTACCCTGTTCCGCGTATAACACTCTACCTTGCATCAATCATGTTCTCTACCATCACCCCCGCTTGCTCAACCAGACAATCAAGCTCATCACACAACACAACACAACTAACTCCATGTGACCAACATTGTCCGTCTCATCACTCAGCTCATCTAGCGTGTCCTCTATCCGTTACTTTATATCCAATTTCTTCTCCTTCACGGCTTCGAAGAATTCCTTGTCGGCTGCCAGACGGAGGGAATTTGCATGATACTATATGTCGTTGGAAATGGCGGTGAGTTTCTTTTCAGCATGTTTGACGGCACGTTTTGTAAGGGGCAAACGGAGTTGGCAGATGGATTTGAGTGAAGGTGCTGCTGTTTGGGGGGGGGGGGGGTTGGATAGATAGAGGACGATGAGGATGGAGAGGCCGAGCGGAAGCGGTCGATAAAGGAGGCAACCATCGCGGGGAAGCGATTGAGCACTACGCAGCGGACGTTGTTCTTTAACGTAGAAGGGTCATTTACGTCAGTTTTACGGTTAGGGGGATACGAGTTCTCAGCATAGGAGTGGGAATGCGCTAATACAGTGTTCAAAGATGTCATACGTGGTGATTTATCAATCATAGAGGACAAGTACGCCGGACTGTTGGGCAGCGATGCCCTGGTAGCTCTCTCTATTGGCGAACTTGGAGGTGTGAACATACACTTCGTTGGCGGCGATGAACTTTTCGATAGTGCAAGATCATAGATTAGCTAGAACAAGGCAGGTCTTGCGAGTACCTAGGAACACTCACCCCCTCGAGACCGCTTGTGTTTCGCGTTTGTGTACGGAGGAGGCTCCTCTAACCCCACCACGTTCTCCTCTTCGGGACTGGAGATAATCCAGTCGGCCAGTCGCTGTTCTCTCAGGTTCTTCTCATCAATAAGAAATCCGTGAAATTTTTCTGGCTGGCTGACAATACTCAAGAATGACTCGACACATTTATGATCCAGCCATTTAAAGTCAAGAACGATCTCCATGTGTTTGGATTTGACCAGGTCAACAGGGCACCGGGAGGCGGTCTGGCAGCTCGCCTTGGGCACAATGCTACTGGACGCAGTAGGGCAGATGATTGGGCACGATTTCTGAAGATGCAGTGACCAAGCATGAATCTTAGAAAAGCCAATTCGTGCAGCATGTGTTTCAACTCCGGGTGAGAGAGCACGCTTTGGAATCGGGCATTGAGTCGAAGTAGGGAGGATATTATCAGCATCATAGATTAGATTAAACGGTTGTTTGTCCTTGATATTATGTGTACATGTGTGTTGCATTAGAGCGAGAAGGTAGCATAGAGGCAGTGGTCGTCATGCTTGACTCGAAGAGTGCATTGTAGGAATGAGGCATGATCAGATGGACAAACTATGCACGCCTGTGCATGAATGCCGCTTTTGCGCAGGAGAATGTGTGTCACTAATGTATTTATGACATCTGGTTTATTAGATTCGTAAGGATGGTTGCCGGAGTATCAGTCTAGGCTGTGTTGGTGAGTGGCGAGGACGAGGGACAAGTGAAGGAATAATCAAGAGAGTGTAGAGAGCAGGGCTGGGCGAGCCAGCGCGTGAAGCTAGTGCCGAAGCGCGTTGTGATGAAGGGTGTCTGAGTGGAAATTGCAATGGGGTTTCTGTTGAAGTTTGGATGGCCGGTGACGTGTAGGTGTAGCGGAGAGCGTGCGACGACGGAGGCGATGCCGGTAGTGATGAGTGGGGCGTGATGGTGATGAGTGGTAAGTGGTAGGTGGTGAATGGCTGGAAGTTGGCGGGTGGAGCCGCTGCACCATGCGATTGCTTACTTATTTCTTGGCATCCCGTAACGAGTCAGCCATCATACGTACTTCGCCCCTTACATACGTACGCACGTACTACGTTAGCTGACCGAGGCCCATTGAACCTTCGAGGTTTGCACGCATTCTGGACTTTCTTCCATTACCACGCGCTACAACACAGCTACCCTGAGTCTCTATTGCGTTTGCAAATGTAAGAATACAATTGAATTTTCCGACTTGTTCAATGTGGGTCGGACGTGGACGCGGAAACTCGGAATGGCTTGGCAGTCATGCAACATCGAGTCAGTGGATATAAATGTCACATTGGAGGAGCCACATGCATTGACTCAACTTTGGAACCCCACGGCAGAAGACATGTTGTTGATTGGTCGTGTACAGTATGATTTACAGTGTTGCATGGTTGCCAGTTGGGCCCAGAAGCTTGTTATTAAATGACTTTCTCCTATACTATGTATATGATAGGAGTGATACGCTACATAGCAAACAGGTAGAAAAAAAGTCAAATAGCAATATGATAGGAATGAGAGTGTTACAAGTAACAAGAAGGATTCTCTCCTTGACGGGGGACGACGAGGTTGAAGGCCAACCACGTCCACGTCAGAAGGTAATGATCATCGCGGGG